TGTGATCACTACTCTTCAGTGTGGCCAAGTATCAGGAAGCCAATCCAGGTGTATTCACAATTGTTACCTTCCCCTTCCTTTTCGCTGTTATGTTTGGTGATTGGGGGCATGGAATATGTATTCTGCTTGCAACGATGTACTTGATATTGAGAGAAAAGAAACTTTCCAGCCAGGTAATAATACCCCAACTGATGTAACTTACGTTCTGACTGTGAACACGAGATTGAATTTTATCTCATCAGCAGAACTTGCTTATAGTTTAGCTGTCTGTTTTCTTATGGAGTTGCATGCAAATATGAAAGCATAGGAAATTCACTTGACGTTTCTAAAGATCACATTAGTCTGTTGCATTTTGATGTTTTGTGCTTGCAAGTTCTAGATGCTAACTCTTCACTCGTTGCCTCCTAACAAAAGAAACTTGGGGATATTATGGAAATGGCTTTTGGTGGGCGTTATGTCATTTTGATGATGTCACTCTTCTCAATATACACTGGTCTAATCTACAACGAGTTCTTCTCTATACCATACCCATTGTTTGCTCCTTCAGCCTATGATTGCCGTGATACCTCTTGCAGGTATGCCATCTAGTTCTAATAATTCAGGTTTTTAATGAAAAAGCATATTAGTAGAACAATTGCAGTTATACTTTACGGGTCTGATTTTTTTTTTCTTATTCTTTATCTTGTTTATTTGTTCAGCGAGGCTACAACAATTGGTTTGATAAAGGTCAGAGACACTTATCCATTTGGTCTAGATCCTGTGTGGCATGGAAGTCGTAGCGAGCTGCCATTCCTGAACTCGCTGAAGATGAAAATGTCAATCCTTCTCGGAGTTTCTCAAATGAACCTCGGAATCATAATGAGCTACTTTAATGCTAGATTCTTCAAATCAAGTGTAAATATATGGTGGGTTCAGTTGATATCTTCTGACCATAGCGTGTTCTCTCTCTCCAGTTCCTTATATACTAAAACTCAGTTATTATCATAGCGTCTAATTTTTGGGCTTGCAGGTTCCAGTTCATTCCCCAAATGATATTCTTGAACAGCTTGTTTGGCTATCTCTCGGTCCTCATCATCATAAAGTGGTGCACTGGTTCTCAAGCAGATTTGTATCATGTAATGATATATATGTTCCTGAGCCCAATGGACGAGTTAGGAGAGAATCAACTGTTCCCTCACCAGAAAACAGTGCAGGTTAGTATCTCTACGTAGCAATTGCTGTTACGAGATCTAGAAAAGCATGTCATTTGCTGTGGTTCACTCATCCCTTTCCTTCCCATTTTTCAGCTTCTGCTTCTCTTTCTGGCCCTTGTTTCTGTTCCGTGTATGTTGCTTCCAAAGCCGTTCATCTTGAAGAAACAACATGAAGCTGTGAGATTCTAAACTTTCCTCTTCCCTTTTTAGTTTCTTTATCCTTTACTGGTCGTTCTAAACGGGTTCCTTCTCCAGAGGCATCAAGGTCAGTTATACGCACCTCTTGACGAGACAGATGAGAGTCTTCATGTAGAGACAAGCGGAGGATCCCATGGGCATGAGGAGTTTGAATTCAGCGAGATATTTGTGCATCAGCTGATTCACACCATAGAGTTTGTGCTTGGAGCTGTTTCCAACACCGCTTCTTACCTGCGTTTATGGGCTCTCAGGTATGAGTAGTAGAAGCTATACATGAATTACATAACCTGCCTATACTCGTGGCTTAATATCCATTATTTTGTTTCAGTCTTGCCCACTCAGAGCTATCATCAGTCTTCTATGAGAAGGTCCTCCTCCTCGCTTTTGGGTATGCATCTTCTCTCTATCTCCCTCTCTCCCTCCTAAATCTCTCTCCCTCTTTGGTTCAACATGTCTAATCTTTTTGTGTCTCGTTGGCACTAACAACAAAACAGTTACAACAATGTGTTGATCTGGATCGTTGGGATCATCGTGTTCATATTCGCGACCGTGGGAGTGTTGCTGGTGATGGAGACACTAAGCGCGTTCCTTCACGCGCTGCGTCTCCACTGGGTTGAGTTTCAGAACAAATTCTACGAAGGAGATGGTTACAAGTTCGCTCCTTTCACTTTTGTTTTCACCGCAAACGAAGACGAGTGATGTGATTCATTCCTCTCATACGCTGCATTTTGCATATATAAGGTACAAACATGTTTGATTTCTTTCTATTAAAATCCAATATATTTTTTCCCCTTCTCTCCGTATAAGGGTCATTTAAATTTATTTATTTGCCTGTGGAGATAAATTTTTACCAAAAAAATGAGGGGATACTTGGATTTGTACGAGGCAAAAATACAAAACGATACGATTTGTTGTTGTTGTTGTTTGTTTGGAATTAAATAATAAGCTGTGGATATGAATAAATTGAGGAATTGGACCTTCCCAACATGTATATGTTTTTCCAGCCCATGGGACTATATGATGGCCCAGTAGTGCTATTTTATTATCCCATTATTACATTGCTGTTTGTCCAAACGTTTATTTATTTTTTGAGTTGTGCCAAATATATAACATCTCTTGATAAAGATAGATGTTGCACAGAAATACAGTACAAATAATTAAGTTATAAGAATTATAAAAATTATCCGTGTTAAAAAGGCTCATTTACGGCGAATCATTTTAACGGCCCAGTTTCCATTATATATTAAGCCCATGTAAACTGACCCTTGTTAAAAGGCTCATTTACGGCCCAGTCTGGATTAAACTTTGATATTTTAGGCCCAGGTGAACCGATACTTGTTAAAGTAGGCTCATTCGTATTTAACTTGATTCAAGTCATCATCACTAATGAGCATTGTACGGTTTTGCTCAATAGAGTGCATTTTATTTACAAGCAAGAAGCACAGATAAATAGAGAGTCAGCAGCGTAAAGAGAGCTCGCTCATACAAATCACCAAAGTAATTAAAACTTATTGACGAGATGCTTAATGGGCGGTGGTTGAGACGGCGGCTGTAACTGTGGAGACAAGACTGTCAACGCCACAAATGTTACGGCCTTTGCAGATTTTGTAGAAACCATTCTCACCCCAAGTCTCTCCCCACGAGTTCTTGATGATCCAGTAAGGCTTCTCCTTGAACCTAGCTGGAGCGTAACCTGCGGATCCATAACCGACCAATAAGACACCGTGGTTGAGCCTCCTGGTGCATATGTAAGGGCATGAGACTCCTCCAATGTAAGTCTGCATATAACCAGCGTTGATGGCCACAGCAAGAGGTCCATTCTTGACAAGGTTTGCAGCAATCTGTTCTTCATCAATGGAGATAACACTGAAGTTGGAGACAGAGGCAACGATCTTGGACTTGTCTAGCTTGCAGGTCTTGCCGTCCTTTCCGGTGTAAGGATAGTCTTCTTCTTTCATGAGGCCTCCGGTTTTGAGGGTGTATTCAAAAGCGCTGTTCATTAGCCCACCATTGCAACCAGAGTCGCAGGAACCTGCCTCCTCTGGATCACACTGCGTAAAGAGATGACAAGGACACTTTATTAGACAGAGATTATTACATGATCATGTAACCATTATGGCTTGTAACAGCTCAAATTATCTAGGCACTGATGAGAAACAAGATCATTTAGAGTAGGCCAAATGATGAACTAAGTAGTGAGTTGTATCATCTTAATCCGAAAAACAGTAAATATCATCATATTGATTGATAAGTGATCAAACATGTATATATTTAGCACAAGACAAACACAATCTAACCCTGATGAGATTTATCATAATCCAAAGGTAATCGAGAAGAAAGAGAAAGAAAAGAGAAACCTCATGATCACAGTCGACAAGCTGTTGTTCGCTGAGGCTGACGAGTTTGCCGGTAGCGAGGAAGTTAGCACCTTCCAAAGCTCCAGTGGCGCTGAAACTCCAGCAAGAGCCGCAAGATCCCTAATTTTGTACACCAATATTATTAGAACGAATTGAAAACTTAGTTTTCAAAATCATCTCTGAGTAAATAAAAGACCTGATTTTTGACGGGGGTAACAGCACCGCGATCTCTCCAATCAAAGTCCTCCGGGAGATTTTCGGTAGGGAGAATCGGAGCCTTGTTGGCATCTTTAGGAAGCTTAAAGCCAGCTCTAACCCCCAAATGCTTCTTCCGGAACTCAGACCGAGTCAGATCTGAGAACTGCGTTACACCATGACGCGCCGACGGATCCAACTTCTGGTGACGCCTCGCTCGCCTCAGATTCGCCTTGAAAACCGAGAATCTGTAGTCATGCTCCTCGTTGGATGCGTACACCTTCCCGAACTTGCTCTTGAACAGAGAAAAGTGATCCTCAGAGGTCAAAACCTGGGGCTCGGCTCCACCAACCACCTGACGGATCACGAGATCATCGCCGTCGTTGACATCAGACGACGAAACGGAGACGATCAAGAAAAACAAAACGAAGACGGAGAAACAAAGCTTAAGACGATCCATTTGATTGTATGATTCGATTCAAGCAAGAGACAAGGATTAAATATATAGAGGGGGTGGAAGTAGGATTCACACGTAACGTGAATGTCTAGGTGTATGTATAGATACATGTCTTTTTCCCTTTGAGATTAGCTTTCGGTTTCTTTAAAGATAATTTAAAATATTATTATAGTCGTAGAAATCGGAAGATATTTATGGTATTTATTATTATTTTAAGATGGCTTATCCAACAGGAAAACGGAGATAACCAATGATGAACAAACACGTGTTAATCATTGAATGGGTATGGAGTCATGGAATGGGATAGGTTCAACTTGTTAGCAGTGCCGTGTTGTGTTGGAGAATATTATTTTATTTTCTATAAAAACTTTAGAAAGAGTTGTATCTTGTATCTTCCTCGCGACAAATGTTGAAGCCCATGGACCGTTTAGTTGCAATGTTTGTCTTCTCTAATTCATTTATTTTATGTTACCAGTGTATTGAATACTTTATTGATTTCTAAATACCTCCTGGTTTTTGGATGAACTTTGATCATCAACCAAATTTTCAAGACACGATGATCAAATATGTCTCTTTCAATATGCGTTTAGAATTAATAAAGAACGAAGCAAGGGTTATGGTTAAAAGTTTCTATAGAGTTCACAATGAAGAAACAAATAAAACGCAACTTAACCCTCTCTTTGTTTGTATTGTTGTTATAAACAAAACCATTTAACCCAAATTTCATGTGACAACTAAAGGAGACGAGAAACCATAGGCTGTACATATAAATTATACAATAATCAAGCCAACAACCTAAACCCTCATTCTTCAAAAACGAAAAAACTAGTGAGAGAAAGAAAACAAACCACCTTTGTAGATTACACGATTGATACTCAACTCACCCAACCAGATTTATGTATATAGCCTTTACAGATTTTTATGTTAACCTGGTCGTTTAGTGTGTTTGTTCTTCGACTTGGTTACCTCCAGGCTGCGCTTTCCATTCACCTATTTGTTGAGACCAAACATTGCATTAAAGGTTGTCTTTAACCTTTAACAACACATATACTTTGGGTTCATGAGTTTTTTCTGCCTAAGTTGGTTTACTATATCAGTTCAAGAGCTTATTATTGTTGGCAGGGATGGTTCTATATTGGCCGGTTCAAATACACCCTGCATTTTATTTTATGGCCTGCCAGGCTCTGTGATACAACAAGACTTGTGACGGGTTTGACCAGCCCTAAACAAATAAGGGTATTTTTTCTGAATTGAGCGATAGAGAAATACCTTAGCATCTCTGTTTTTGGAAGTTGAGTTAGAGTTATGCAAATTCTGCTCTTGTGGGGAACACTCTTCGCAGTAGAAATTATCTAGCTTTTTAGCTTCCTCTATTGTTGTTCCTATACAAGAAGGATGAAACCTGAGCCAATGTTAGTTTGCTGTAACATCAAAGGCAACTGACAAAGACATTTGAAACAATAACCTTTTTACAAAAAAGTAAAAAGACTAGGCTTAACACTTAACAGTTCCAACTTCCAAGATCAAATATCAATATTTGTTTCAGTGTGACAAACTAAGAAGCTGCAGAAAAACCCAAATCTTAGCAGCAACTCTATCAGTAACTTGTAATCTTACAAGGTTCCTAACTTAGACATTAGGATGCTAATCACAGTTATTACAAACGTTCAGACTAGAGTATCAGCTTATGTTCCCATTCGTTGGCGAATTCCACAGTATCAGATAAGACAAAACATGAACATGAGTAAGGACGAGCATCACCCAAGTAAAAGCGTGACAAAAGCATTCATCTCACACTTGAGTCAAGAAGATTAAAAAAGAGTTTCAAACAAGTGAACACTTACCACTCAGAACACTCCTCGCATTGCACCATCAAGTCATCAGGGTTATACGGCATCTCACACTTGCAGAACCTGCAAACAGCAAAAAATCAATTTAGATTGCATTAGAAAGCATATGTGACTCAATTGATTACTTCTCCTTGCAAAAACCCTTAAACATACCATTGAAAGCACACTAAAGTCACATACAATAAAACTTCAAAAAAGCTAAATTCAACCAATCACTTCAATAAGCTATCAGTTGATCATTCAATCTTCTCTGCGCGAACAGAGAGTCTAAGGAACACATACACGGCGACTCTGTCAGGATCAAACGCGCCGGTGGCGGAATTATACTCGAAACGACAGAAGAAGTCGTCGTTTCCAACGGAGTCGAGTTTGGTGTAGCTACTGAAACTGTGGACCTTACACTTTCCTTCGATGGTATCGGCGCTTTGAAAGTCGAAGTGGTCAGAGAGGAAAACCTCCTTGGCTCCATGAAACTGTCTCCTCCCTCCGATAGATTCCTCAGGGCGATAATACCACCTCACACGAACTTTCGCGTGCGATCCACGCGCGTCCGTCTCGATCGCCTCTACCCTCGCTACGTACGACGGCTTCCCAGGCTCCGACGACCGCATCAACACAGCATCTCCATCTTTAACCACAAAACAACATCGGATCATTCACTTCGGAAATCAAATTAGGGGTGAAGAAGTCAGACGTACCTTGAATCGTCTTGTTGATGTGTTTGAGCTTATAAGACTTTAGTTGCTTCCTTGGAGCTTTTTGCTTGGGCATCTGAAAGGTAAGTGAAGGGCGAGGAAGAAAGACGCTCAAGGTTTTTTTTTTTCTCGAGAAAGTGAGGGAAAATATTTTGCGATCAGTCTTCTCAATGACAAAATACCGTCAGGAAAAAATCAAATGTCTCGCGGACTATGGTGAGAACAAGTCATGTGGGATCTCAGGAGCGTACGATTTGGTGAAGAATGGCGGGATCGTGAATATAGAGGAAAGCTAGGGACAAAATGGGTAGAGAGAATGTCAGTTAGTCAATTGACCACGTCAGCTTTTAAGAGGACGCGCGTGTGAGATACGCGCGTCTAGCCCGCTCCCTTTTGTCGTGAATCATGTAAAATTAGCCACGTAAGCAATTACTCATTATGACTTGTCCTGACTTTGTCTTTGTATGTTGCATGTTTTAAGAGAAAAAGAAATGTGAAGGAAAATATTTTAAGAAAGAATTTATATCCTTTTTCTTTCATTGTTCATTGCCTTAATTTTCTAATATTCAATTCTATTTTTATCCACTTATTTATTCATTTCTATGCGTACGTATGATTACATTCAAAAGGATTTCCAACATTCTGTCCCAAACAAAATATACGCAAATTGGAACAAACACATCCAAATCTACATAATTTGCGCAAGAAGAAAAGATAACCACAAAAAAAAAACAGTAAGGAAAATCAAAATTGGATATGAATGACGCCCCCACACACTGAAATTTGTGTTTTCAGTATTGGGTTTAGAATAAAACCAAAGGGGCTACTAAATAAATTGAGAAAATGTAATCTTCTTTTTTCCTAAGCAACACAAGGTGAGGAGCAGTGGGTGCTACTAGAGACTCTTCGACAAGGGTAGTTTGAAAAATTCACATTGCTGTTAATAGCAGCAGAAAATGAAGATGAAGATGATTGCTTGTTCTTCTTCTTCCTCTTCTTGTAAGCCTCATCATCATCGTCATCATCAAAAGTTTGGGTTGGTTTCTTGAGATCTTCGAGGCATTTTACATCTGAGATACAAATGAATGATCTTGCCTTCCCTGAATAGTACCTTGATAATCCTCTCCTATTTCACAAAATCCAAAATTAGATAGTCATCCGGAGTTCCATAATTTAGAATAAGAATCATAATCAATGAAATCTTTTTTCAGGATTTTACTTTTTGGGAAGGTTGTTTCTTAGCTCTCCCATGTCAAATGCCAACCCACTTATGTTTTCCATAATTATAGATATAAACGAGGTAACAAAAACAAAAACAAAACAAAAAATTGGTTTTCTTTGGCTTTTGTGGGAAAAATTAAGCTATCCATTTCTATATATACACATAAGAAGAGAAAAGGAAAGAGAAAAAGAGAACTCATTTGCTTAATTGAAGGGAATGGTTTCTATTTCTGGGTTTATGTTTTATTTTACTTTCATGGTTCTCTTATTTTTTGCAGAATCTGTGACTGACCCTAATCTTTTCTCACCTATACTTCCTCTCCTACAAACACTTGTGAAGAGTTTGATATCCAAACATTTACGATTGTGTAAGTATACATATACATAATATTGCAAGGTTTCTACAATGATTCGATGGAAAAATTAATGGCTTTCCCTGATTAGAACCAAATTAACCCATCTAAAGAAGGAAATGGTTTCTATGATTATTATTTATTAACTAACAGAGGTCTATGACCAAACACTAAAATTCCATTCAATGAATCAAAGCTTGAACCCAATATTTAACAACACACAAACCATTGAGTTCCTTTTCTTAATATAATTCAGGTTCAAATGTGACAGCTTTAACTAGAGTTTACACTAGACAACAGAGTATGAGAATAGGTTACCCTTTTTTTCCAAGAACTTTGGGAGAACGAACACATTGTTCCCCAGTTAATGTTTAGGTACCTTCTCAGAGAAGAGATTCATTTGCACAAAAGATGATCTAATTTCTACTCTGAAACAGACCTTTTCTGTTCTACTCGATGCTCAGAGTTCAGACTGTAAAACCAACTTCTTAGAATACAAAAAGAGAACTTTTTGTATTCTTGTGTGTACAAATGATGTAAATTTCATAGGAAGATTCACACACTTATGTTTCAATGTGAATTTGTATTTGTAACCTGATATTAACAACTACAATAAAGGAGGATAAGTAAATGCATCACAGCATTTAGTAGTACACATACATACATATACATATCCACCCACAAAATTACACTTCATACAAAAAATATATAAATTTGATAAAATACACCAAAATATAGATATATCACACGTCTCCCCGATCACCACCAAAAAAACATAAAAAGAAACAAATATATCACCTTAAAAAGTCAAATGTTTCTATTGCAATTACTGCTTATAACGACAAATTCGTTTTGGTGCATTCTTTTTGTCTTTTTTTTTTTAAAAATTAATTATCTGTTAGTTTGTTTTTATCTTCCGTTAAGGTTAGCAAACTGAGTAAACATGGCTGTTCCAGAGTGTTCGTCCACGGCCTGACCCTCGGCTGTGCCATTGTTCTCTTCCACCTTAGAAGAAACGGGAACAGTAGCCGCTGCATTGGTGGTGGCTGAGGGAGCGATCGGAGATGGAGCAGACACCGGCACCGAGCCAGGTGTCCCTACACCAGGCTTAGCGTTCTCAGTCTCTTCGGCTTTTCCCTGGGTGAATGCCTCTTGAAGCTGAAGAGCATACTCCAAGTTCCATAGAACATCTCCCATTGTTGGCCTATCAACACCATAGTCTTCCAAACACTTCTCTGCAGCTTCAGCAAACTTCTTCATCGATTCAGGATTAATCGTTCCAGCCAAATGAGGATCAATGATCTTTTCGAGAAGTCCTTTTCGTTTCCATTGCATTGCCCATTCAGCTAGGTTAACCTGCTCTCTTGGTAGCTGAGGATTGATTGCTGGTCTTGCGCACAGAGCTTCTAGAAGAACAACACCAAAGGAATAAACATCGGATTTGTCGGTAAGTTGCTGTCTTCTAAAGTATTCCGGGTCTAAGTATCCGAAACTTCCTTTTACAGCCGTGCTGACATGGTTTTGTCCAAAAGCAACATCTTTAGAAAGACCAAAGTCAGCGACTTTAGCAACTAAAGCGTCATCGAGAAGAATGTTGGTGGATTTGACATCACGGTGGATAATCCCCTGAGCTGTTCCTGTGTGTAAGTAGTGAAGCCCACGTGCAGATCCAATACATATCTCAAGTCGTTGTTTCCAGGTTAGAGGAGCAAGGTTCTTTCCATACAAGTGGTCCCTGAATGGACCATTGGACATGAACTCATAGACTAAGATCATCTCAGAGTTCTCATCACAGTAACCAATCAAGGAGACCAAGTGTCTGTGTCTGAGCTTAGAAAGCATCTGGATCTCTGTCTGAAACTCAGTGATTCCTTGTTCAGACTGTGGATTACCTCTTTTGACAGCGACTTTGGTTCCATCGTCGAGGGTTCCAATGTAGACGTTACCGAATCCTCCAACACCGATAATCTGGGATGCTTCAAAGTTCTTTGTGGCTTCTTGAAGCTCTGAAAGGGAGAAATAGCGGCCGAGACCAAGTGTTGAGTTGTAGAAGTTGGATTTCTGAGAACCACCTTTGCTCGTCATGAAAGTGCTATCACCAGCATGTATTGGTAGCAACCAAGAGGAGAAACTGTTTCTCTTCTGCCAATCTTGTGGCCTCTTCTTCCACCTGTAAACCATGGCTCCCAGACCAATGAAAGCTCCAAACATCATCACAAACCCCGCGGTTGCAACCATACCATGCTTCCCCATGCCAGTGGTTCTACCATCAACTCCAAACTCTCCATCAAGGCTGTTCACGGAATTGCTCATCTTCAGAACCTCAACACCGTTCAAGATCGCGTTTTTGGTCCCTGTATCTTCTCCCATGGGACCAATCTGGACTTGGAGCTCAGGGCCCATAAGTGTTGCGTTCACAACAATGTCTTTGTAGTAAGGAGCTGCTAGATTCCCAGCGACAGTGGACAAATCCAGCCCAGAAATGGCAGTTTTCCCGTTAATGTACACATTAAAGTAGAGGTCATTGAGAGACTTGCTAACGATATCACAGAAATGAAGCCGGATAAGGTAGTTAAACGATGGGTTGGAGGGGAAATTCCAGGAGACGTTAAAATTAGGGTCTATGGTGAGAGAATTAGCCATTTCCACAGCTGTTGCATAGACCGTCTGTGGAGCAATCAAAGGTGTAACTTCCGGTGGGTACTTGATTGCTGAAGGGGTTGTTTTGACGTCCTTTGCCAAGTTCTCATCTTTCAAGAATTCCTTATCCGGTATCCAGGTTCTTCCTAATGTATCATTCTGAGGCATGATCAAGGGACCACCGACATTGACTCTATAAACAGACTGGTAAGCGTAATCAGACAGACCCGAGAACCCATTGACAGGGAAAAGGGCAGTGCCAGAATCAGAGATCAGTTCGTCTGGAGCTGACACGACTTCGATAGCGTTGATGAACGCTGCAGAGCTTTTCATAGGTCTGAACCTGAGGGCGAATTGAGCATCTGTCATGTTGACGAGATACTCCTTCTGAACAACAGCTTGACTATCATTGTTATTGTTACTTATTTTGAAGTTATGAAGCAGCACATATTTCTCCGTTAAAACGGAAAAGGTTGCTTGTTGAAGATCGAACTTGTCATTAGGGAAGGCCAAGAAATGAAGGCGAACCCAATGCCAACCAGGTCGAGTCAAATGGAATTTGTAGGTGGCTTCCTCACGGAAGATCCTTGCAGTTAGGTAGATAGGAGAAGCGACCTTGTCTGAAGGCGGGGCCGAGACCTGAATGTCTTCCTTGGCTTCTATGTATTGGATTGTTTCTTGGTCACTCTTAAAGACTCTTCCATCAGGGGTTTTTGATGACGATTTGCTTCCACAATCAATGAGAATATCATCTGCCGGTTTAAAACCAGTAGCAGGTCCCACAGCAGCGGCAGCTACCGCAGATGCAGAAGGGCCTGAGAGGAAGAGGAGAATAGCCAGAAGGAGAGCCATGGAAGGCATTGAAGAAAAATAAATGACGAGAACCGTGAATATGTTTGGTTTCTTTCTTATCTCCATCCCTCCTGGGTGGGAAGGAGAGAGAGAAGAGAGGGGGATGAGGAGGAACAAAGATAAGAAGGAATGAGGGAGTTTGTTGGATAGCTTGTGGTTGAAGAAAAGAGGGAGAAAAAAGGTCATGAAAGAGAGAAAAGGTGAGCTGTTATATGTGTGGCCAGTTTTTGGAGTATGCTGTAATTTGGTGGAGGATATGAGCATTGATGATATTCAATGGTCTATTTTTAGCAAATTGCTAATTCTGTTATCTTGACAATTTTAACACAAAGCCAAAAATAAAATAACTCTGGTTCCTATTTCAAGAAAAATAAAAAACAAGCTCTAACCAGAATCATAACCTAACTACATCAGTTTTTTTATCAAACAACTGAACAAGCAAATATGAACGAAGTGATCATAATTATCTGTCTTAAAGAAAGAAAGTATGAAGAAACAATAAATAGGCAAGAACATACCAGTGAAAGCTTTTCACTGCCACTCAAGTGACTCCAAAGTCTGCTGATGGATGTCTAAATCTCCTGCTGCAACTACATTAAAGCCTGTGACAAATGAAAAAGTAGATAAAGATGTTTAATAAATAGTTCGACATTCAGGGGGATAGTGATCTTTTGTTTTGATGAGTTTGTGAGAAATGAAAAAGGAGATAAAAATGAAACAAAAGGTTTTTTCTTTTTTTTTTTAATAATAAACATACTTGTCGCAACTGCACTGGATGAAGCCTCCCACAGAAATGGGTTACCAGTCCAATCGGTTATGGTACCTCCAGCGCCTTCTATTACAGGCACCAGAGCAAGGAAATCATATGGCTGACGAAGAATAACATTGACTTCAATTAGTATAATTTGAAAGGACAGTACCAGTTTAAGATTGGTACATGAGGCATTTACTTTTGACAGGAAATTATAGTGGTGCCATTCTGAAAAAGAAGTTTTACCTTTAGACCGGATTCAATGACAAGATCGACAAATCCAGAAGCCAGGAGAGCGTAAGCATAACAATCACAGCCGTATAATGGCACTTTCACCTGTTACAATAAAAATTAACAAGCCAGAATGGAGTCAATAGTGACCAACATTGCAATGAAAATAACAGAAAAGAAGGGATTTAAAGGAAGCCATACGAAAATCAACTGGATAAGAAGCTCAATTGAGATACTAATTATTGTGAGATGCGTTATTCTTCTAATTCTCATAAGGAGGTTTCATCTAGTTTCATTTCCTTGTACTATGCTCCAACCGATAAACAATTCCAATTTAGCTAAATCCCATGTAAGAATATATATTAGAAAAATAGATAAGAACCTTGTCTTTAACTCGAGCATATGCCTTTTCTGCCTCTCCACTGAAAAGATGTGGACTAGTGGTGTATCTGGGCAGTCAAAATGTGAGAAGAGAAAAGAGTGAGATCTTAAGTATGATGATGATCATGACAGTGGTATTTGCCTTCTTGAAACACGAAACTATATAGGCATCACATGTCATTCTAGGCTATTTCCTTCAAAAGATGACCACAAAAGTATCGCTATTAAGGCTCAGTGGACGCAAACTTACAAATATGCTTGTGATAAATTTGGGCAAGATCGCGTTGAGATATCCTCCCCATTTAATTTAGTTTTTCTTCCATTTATTCCTATCCATCTCTCTTTTAGAATAGGCTGATCAATCAGTCCTAGAATCTGAAAGTGAAGACAAGGTCAGTTAGAAAGCTTAAAATGCAATTCTTCAGAATCAGAAAAGTAGTTAAAACACATTTAATAAGAATTCCCGATCTGACATTAGAATGTGCTTATAATGCATAACACCACAAACATGGGAAGCTTGCAAACAACAAGAGAGTCTGATGTCTTACTGGTTTACCTTTGTAGAGCAGAGCTATCAGCGTACCAAACACGGGTTTCCCTGAGACAAAGCAATTGATAGCACAATCAAATCCTCAAACTCTTGATAAGAAAACAAAATACTAAATATTAGAACAAAGAGTCCACCTGTAATAAAGCTCTTTGTCCCATCGATTGGATCCAAAACCCAAACATAGTCTGCAGATTCTTCTTTGCATCTCCAACCCTTCTCCTCACCAAATCTACAGTTTCAGCTTTTAATAAGTGAATAAAGATGAACACATGGACTACTAGATGCTGTGGAGAAACAGAGCAGTTTTCATATATAATCATCTACTGAAGCTCAAGGTTAAAGAGCAATCAATGTGTCTTTATCCTGGAGTACAAAAGTCACAACTAAATTCCCTTGTGATCTAGCAGAGCAGAGTTCAAGCACGATCACCTCTTTATATCTCATATAAAAGAAGAACAATAGTCAAATTTTGAAGAAGCAATATTCAAGGAAATACACTCACATAGCATGAGAAGGAAGATTCTGGAATATAATAGAAACCATCGCCTCTTCAGCCATTTGATCAGCGATTGTAACAGGACCTACAAATTATCCAAATCAGAAGTCTATTTACCAAACCAATGATCGTTGCCTAACAATCAAACTTCAATTTCACTCTGTATCTTCGCGGGACCAGAAATTCCCCTAACACTCGGTGCTCAATCACCAGTGACTCCCCTATTTGAGCAGAGCTCCATTGTATACTATCAATTTACCCTAAACAAAACTAGAGAACCGATCGAGACTTACTCATATCATCTTTATCAACAATGTCGAATTTCTTCCGGAAATACTTTCTGATAACCTCGCCGGAAGCGTCAGCTAATGCATTACCTACAGCGGCGAATCGATCCAGCTCAGTATCGCTCAGTTTCGAAGGAGACTCTTCGCTTACGTTAGGCCGTTTAGAGTTCGAAGCCATTGTCAGTGAGATCCGACGGCGGGAGACGGGAACAGCGATTGCAGAAGAAGATAGAAAGGAGAATCGGCTGTTTCTATAAGAAGAAGAGAGACGAAGAGAGGAAATTTCAGACCGCAACACCGGAGACGGTGGCGGAATCAGATCGAAGGACTTAGAGAAGAAGTGCGACTGAGCTAACATTTTGCTACGAGTGGGAAGTTGACGGAACAGCCAGACTCATCAACGACGGAAAAGGTTTGAATAAAGATATGACGATTATGCAATTTCATCCGTTGGATCGACTTTCCTTCTCCCAAACTCGGTTCGGTTCGGTTCGATATTGGACTAACGGAACCATATAAGGTAATCAACGTTGAAATGCCAACAACACTTTAACACAATTACACATTTTGTTTAACAAGAATTACAATAACAACAACAACAAAAAAAAACAATAATTCGAAGATGATTTAAGCCCATGATTGTGATTACAAGTAATCATGACCATCCGTATGGTAACTTTCACATTAAATTACGGTGGCCAGAAAGTTTCTCCTTGATCTTCTTAAAGAAACCTTTCTTCTCGTGGGGCTCTTGAATCGATCCTGATCCTGATCCTGTTCCTGTTCCTGTTCCTGTTACGGTTGCAGCTGATGGGTTGTTGACGCCTAGCTTCGATTTAGTTTCTTCCGTAGTTTTACTCCTTGCTCCTTCACCATCCTCCCAGTCCTCCTCCGGCTACATATTTATACGCATCGGATGATCAATATGATACTTACCATGCATAGGGATCTTGATGATAATATTAAAAAACAAATACACACGCATACATAAATAAATTAAAGATCCATTTAAAAAATGAAATGGATATATAAATTTACATGCTAGTAAAACTTAATTATGGTGCTATTAGAATTTTAATAGTATTATGGTGACTTGGTGAGATATTAATCTTACCAAGTTGGTGCCGAACCAGCGGAGATCATGGTCTTGAAGAGGGTCGTGGGACACGGAGATTGGTTGTGCGTGGTGAGGAGTATTGGTGGTGGTGACAGGGGCAGTGATTGGGTGTGGACCGGTGTAGCTGCTCTCCTTAAGGTGAGGAACGGTGGTTGCCACACCTTTAAGGTGCATGGCGTTACCAAACTCATCCATGAGCTGAGCCGGCTTCCCGTGTTCGTCTGTGAGATAGATCGGGTTTCCTCGTTCGTCTTTCAGATCCGCCATTGTTAGAAGTTTCTCAAGTCTCAATCAAACGTTTGCTAGCGAGTACATTATGCGTTTGCGTGAACATTATATGTACTATACATTCATCATTCATGTGCATGGTCATGACACGTGCCGCAGTAACGAATCAAGATGCGTGGGGTATTGCCACTAAGCACATATGTGTGATCTTTAACGAACGAACCTACTGATACGATTGCTTGAAAACGATAGTTCTGATGTGTATATATATATGACCCATAACTCACAAGTTTCGATATTTGCTTAATATTGTTAGTAGAGAAATGATGGTGTCATTCACCTATAATATTTAAAAAGCTTATCGATCGGTCTATATATTACAATCACAAGTAATAGAGGGAGAAACAAAACAATATTTACATATAAGAAGTTTGATTGAGAGGTCAAACAGGTAGATATAATACAAACTATACCCAATCGGCTGCCTTCAGAGTCAGATCTATGCACAGCCAGAACAAATCAATAGATTAATGATCCACTGTTGTTTTTATCCCCAACCTTGTAATCTAAATTTGTAACTTTACATGTGTGAAAATTTAGTATTCATTAAAACAAAAAAAACATGATAAGACAAATTTTGTTGAGCTTTATGAGGAAAGTGTGTAACAACAAATAGCCTGCTTTTAATTGAATGGTACCGTGTCCCGGTGTGTGTGTGTGTGTCGACTTCTATGCTTCAGACAGCAGTCAAAGAACAGAGCACGGCGAATCTGAAACAACAACCACAAAGTCTTACTTGTGATTCACTGATTTGACTTTCAACTATATAAATATATAGCAAGAAAAAGAGAGGGAGGCTTACAAGTTCATATTTTGCTGGATTTGGTCCAGAAGAAGCCTTTCTTTTTCACTGGAAGATTCTCTTTAGGGGATTTATAATTACTTCTGGACCCGAAAGAGAAGTGTCGAGCCAAGAAAGGCTTTGCAGAATAGCTTTTAGCACTCGAACTCGAGAGCAGTTTAGGGCTCTTGCTTGCTGTTGCTGCTGCTGTCCTGTGGCTGTGATCAAACATTACAAAATCATCGCAATCAAAGTCACTGTCCAAAACTCGGTTTCTGAGTCGTTTGTTGTGTCGTGCTTTCAAATCCATCTCTACTTTCAATGCTTTCTCCGACAGCTTCGCCGTTTTCTTCTCACCCATTGTACAGATTGGGCATGAAGGGTCGAATTTATCGATTTCCGGCGTCATCTGCTCTAAACACTCCCCATGATAGACATGCCCACAAGCTAGAATTGCAGACACAGAGAGCTCGTTGGTCATGAAGATCTTTTGGCTGCTCCACAAGGATTTCTCTGACAAGGGTCTAGAGCAAGCACCGCAAGTTTGCTGCTGATGCTTGGACATTCGGTTGCCATGATGGTCTATCTTGTCACGTTGAAGCCCAAAGCAATCATTATCATAAGACAAAGGCTCGTTGCTCCGAGAAGATGACATCATTTCAGAAAAGGCTTGCAGTGACCAACCTTCAGATGGTCCAGACTGAGAAGAATCATATCTCAAAGGAGTTCCCTGCCTCTCTTCAGTTGCTGAGCTTCTACTTAGTGAGTTCGGACCATAGATTTGACCATCTGAGACTTGCTTTGATAGACGAGGGCGATGTGTCAGTTTAAGTGTCGATGAACTTGCAGGGTGCAAGTAGCTTTGGGACGAAAGTGGTGATGTAGGGAAAGATGATGGTTGTGAAGCCAGTGAAAGAGACAATTGTGCAGGAGATGGATATGATGGTGCTGCAGACTCTCTTGAAATATTTTCTTTCTGTACGATACATAAGAATGGAGACGTTAGGCATCAACAATATGAGAGAACTCAGCTACTGGTGAGTGGTGAAACACACTTTACCTGTTCAAAGACTGTATTCATGGAAGAATTTCTTGGAAAAGATAGATCTGCCACAATAGATTTTGATTAAGACAGGTGCAGAAGCAAGCCAAGAATCAAAAGACAAATCTTATCATTAAACATAGCCACGTCTTTTTGCTAATCATGACTCCAGAGGGACATTTAACAGGTTCTGTGAAAAAAAAAAATCTAAAGTCCCAAGTGAGTAACACCAAGTAACATGTGCTTCCCTCGAGTTTACAAGTTCCACTAAAAAGATGAGCCAGTGAGGAATACGAATTTTAATGTAACCATTTCCTAACAAGCTGAAATTATATACCTGAGGCAGGGGATTTCTGCAATGCCTGTGTCCGAAAACTGTCCAAAGGGGAACCTTCAGATGATACAAAAGCAGATTCAAATTTGATCTCAGAGCCATCGTTCCGACTAATCCCATCAGATAACCAACTGAGAGAGGTTTCTTCACCAGCTACACGTCCTCTATTATCCCAACGGAAACTCCAAGTCGGAGAATGCCTGACATTGCTCCTCTGCAAATTCTCACCAGCTGATAAATTAGGCACCACCATCTTGTCTCGAGCAGCAACACAACATGCATTCCCCATAACTCGCAAGTCGCAACTACTAAGCACTACGCAAAGACAGTGCTTATAATTCTCAGGAGAAAGAGACCTCAGTGCTCAGTAGAATTCACAGCACAACAATCCCTTTCTAGCTACAAACTTAACAGGCAAAATAACAAAACACAAAATCAATTTCAGAAACGAAGATTCAGGAATTCAATCAGCATCATCAACAGCTGAGAAACCAGAAATCCAATAAAACAATCAAATCATCACAGAGTTAGGTAATCCCCCAATAAAAGTCTAAGGTTGCAACACTTACAAGCACATTTAGTAGAGAGACACATGTTACTACTAGTCATGGATCAAATAACGAAGCAACAGTTGGAAGAAAAATCTGGATAAGGAAATAATCATATCGATCTATCTACTGATCACTGGAACTGCCATGACTCTCTTCTTCAGTAAGACAATCCGAAATAAAAGAAATCAGGAATATCAAAGAAGTAGTAATTGAAGTAAAAATTAGCATCAAAGAGATCCGAAATTAAGGCCGGAAAATCTGCAAGACATGTTGAGATGACCCAAAATAGATACGAAAACCCTAAAATCAAATCATAAAATTCCGAAAGAGACAAAGGATAACAGAAATCAAAATAGATGCTAAGAGAGCCACGAACATCGAACCTGCTCCCAGAAGTCTCAAAACGTCGCCGGAGAAGAGGAAGATGACGGTTTCACGGAGAGAGAGCGATGGGTCTGTTAGAGTGAGAAAGGGAGAAAAAGGAAACGAGCACTGCGAGGCTTTTGCTTTGCTTTGTTCCTTCTCGTTAGAGAGAGAGAGAGAGGGCGAAGAGAGGGAAAGACACGAATACAAGTCTTTTCTGACGGTTTACTTCACGCCGTCAGGAACCGGTAGGTGTGTGTGTGCCAAATAATCAAATCAAATCAAACCAAACCAAACCGACTTGAATATGGTTTATTTCGATATTTTTCATCAAATTACGAAAGGTGAAATAGTCAAATACATAAGAACTTGTCAAATTCATAAGGTAATTTTAAAAGAAAGTCAGAGAAATTACAACCCGTTTTGCCATGATCGAACCAAGATAAGCCGGTTTAGTTGTGACGCCGTTAAGAGTTAGCGGAATTATAGTGCCTTACGGTGAGTAGAGCCACGTCACGTTAAAAGACAAAAAGGGAGGGAGAACGAATAATTAACCGGCAACTTTCCGTCGTGACGTCGTTAGATGGGGCCTTTTAGAAAATAAAAAATTAGATTCCAATTTAAAAACATCACAATACTATAGGGACCAATTTATAAAAATCCCCCCGTCCCTGTCTATTATTTATCTTACCGGATACGCGACCTGGAGTTTTGTGAAGCCAACACGGAAGAAAAGAGATCCAACGAAGAAAGGGAATACAAAGACGAAACCATCACTTCCGATTATTATTTAAAGTTAATTAAAAATACGAAAAAAATAATATAATCGTTACAATACATTCAAGAATTCTCACAAAACCACACTGTTCTGTTTCGAACCGATAGATTCGAACCTTGGTTTTTCTTGATTTAAGTTGCCGGCTTCGAGGAATCTCCGGTGTGAGGTTTCACGGTGGCTTCTTCTTCTTCATGACGCAAGCTGTTTTCTCTAGAATACGCTTTCTTAGAACCCTGTAAAATGTTTAGCAGAGTTTCAGTCTGTTATGTTAGAGAACCAAGACTTTTGTTTTTGTTATATGACTCACCTGAAAAATGTTTCCGAGCTTCCTCAATCCTCTAGCTCTAGCTCGAAGAATATCCTTTGAAACACTTGGATCTTTAAGCACCTAAGAACAAACAAAAACATGAAAAATCTTATCTACAACAGTGGATGTAATAGTATAGGATCATCAATTTCCGACCAAAATCATGGTGTATCTTACCGCTTGGCAGACACGAGATAAGGTTGATTCGATGTCAACAACATTGATTTGCCAAAGGGATTGAAGCATTGCATCTTTTTTAGCTTCAAGGGCTTGCTGAATATTATCTTCTTTGTTCTCTCCATGATTCAGCTTGCTCACTTCATCCTGCAACTGAAGCAACGAGACCGCACCTACAGAAAAAAGAAGAGGTTTTCGGTTGATCCGCTTTAGGAAATCAAAAGCAGTCCCCAAATTCAACTTAAACATTGTTTTTAGCGTTTACCCGAAGCAGCCATCACTTGAGATTTTACTTGGTGGCCTTTGTCACGAACCCATTCGGCTAAAAACGGTACTTTCATGTAACGTTTATCCTTTCCGAGTTCTTTAGCAGCTTTTCTAGTGTAAATGTATCCAACGGTGTGAAGCATTGCCTCACCAAAACCTGACAGTAACGGATGATTACAAACAAACATCAGTTTATTCGGTTTCTCAGGTTACCAAAGTTTGTGCCTTTCATTTACTTGAGGAGAAAAAAAGCAAACTTAATACAGTAACTGAGAAAGGATTGAATACCAGCTGTAGAAAGCCGTTTTGCCTCTGCGGTGGCCCAGTTCACAAATTCATCAGTTTGTCCTTCCACGAATGGTTCGAGTTTGATTTTCAGTGTAGCGACGAGCTTGTCTACTCTATCGTTTTGCATCGCCTGCAAAAAGTTCCAAAGAAAACATACAGATATGTAAACAACAAGGCATAAGAAAACAGTTAACAGAGAGGGAAAACAACCTACTTTGATCTTTTCCCGAAGCATCTGTTTTCTAATCTCAGGCTCATAAGATTCTAATTCAGCATCGATTGAGGCTATTGAAGCAAGTGCAAGTTGCCCAACGTACTCCTCAAAGAGCTCGCTACCAAAGAGCATACCAAACACAGCTGCAGGATCAACCATTGCATCCCTGGAAGAAAATGAAAGTGAAATTCACATACTAAAGCAATTAAGCAATTATGTTTGCTTATATGGTTGGATTCTCAGTAATGCATCTATTGTGTTGTCTAGTTTGAGAAATCTCAGTCCTAGTTGAATGTAGAATGAATCATGAGGAATGGAAATAGTGTGAAAACTTACTGTTGAACCCCTTGTTTTCCAAATTTGTCATAAGCTGTTCGCTTCTCCGGATCGCTAAGAACTTGGTAAGCTTCACCTAGTATCTTCATTCACACATAACAATTTACAGGTTCAAGCGATCCAGAATATTATTCAATCAAACACTCGTTGAAAACCCTTGTGAAGTAGAGGTGATTCTATATTTTGCTCAAAAAAAAGGTGAAGTACAAAAATGACCTGAAAGTTTTTAGCAGCTTGAGGATCACCATGGTTCTTGTCTGGATGAACTTGCCATGCCTGCAAAAAAACTTTCAGGTCATATTGTTCCGTTTGATTGAATTATTGTTTAAGAAGTTTATTTTTTCTATTTCTTCAAAGCTAGAGCTACATTAAGTTACATCAAAGCTAGAGCTACATTAAGTTTACATCAAAGCTAGAGCTACATTGAGTTTGTTTTGTTCAGCTGAGAATCTGTAGCCTCTGCTGCTCTACTAGTTTTGTGGTGTTCCATCCGTGGTCTTTGGCTTGCACTAGACATAGAGATACATTTTAGAGAGTCTCTCCTTCACCATAGCTCAACTCTAAAACTGATGTTAGAAGGATACAAAAAGACACAAATTGTTAGACCCCTCGAGCTCCCTTATAAAAACCATAAATACATGAAACAAAGACCCTTGAGGAAATAATGCGAAACAAACGAAATCAGAGGAGATAAAAGGGAAATTGGAAAATTTTGGAGGAATTAGGAATTGAAAATCAAATTAGAACACACTAACTAATTTTGCATATGGAAAGAAAAAAAAATCTAAAATTCATAATCTGGAAGCTATAGATTAATACAGAGACGAAGACTTGCTGCTGTTCGTAAAGCACAGAAACTGTAAAGAAGATTTCAGATTTGGTGAGTTTATATTTTTTAAGATCATCAGAAATTGTATTACATTCATTGGAAGAGAAATTCCTGAGTTGGCCACCGGGTATATTTGGGTTTTTTTAATTCCAAATCCCTTTTTATAAATTCATATAAGAGCAGCATAATCTCATTTAGCCCATCAGGCCCACGATGTATAAAGCATTAAAGAGGTTGTGATGTGAGGTGAGAGAGAATCGAACCCTAGTCTAGTGCGAAGTCAAAACATAATAATTGACCACTAGCCTGCACGATCTTCTTATTAAATCCTGTATTTTTATTTCCCTTTATCAATGCGATAATAGAACACGCAGATCTTTCCCGGCCATTCTTCTCCTCCGAGTAGCTAAACCCTAGCGACGGCAACAATGGTGTAGATTCATTCAACGGTTCGTTTCGTTGTTTATCGGGTATTTCTTCTAGTTTCCAATTCTCCGAATCGCCGTTGATTTTTCCACTCAATGGTGCTTGAATTGTCTCTGGAATGATGTTCAATTTGTTCTAATTTCAAAGCTTTGCTGATGCTTCGACTGAATGATTGATTACAATATTGTCCTTGTTTTTTTTTTTTTTGCGTTTCTGTGAATTTATGAGTTTTCGTACATATATCTTGAGATCTTGTTTTTGGCTTAGTATTGCTCACTTAGATAGAGACTAATGGTTTGACAAGAGCTTTTGTGTCTTGTTTTGAAGGTGACACTTTGGTGAGAGGGAGAGTATTTGTGAAACAAGTCAATGGATTTAGATTTTGATGATCAACCCTCGGATCATGCTGCACCAGCAGGTAATTGGGGTTTTCTTTTGTCCACTTTCATTAGTTTCATGACTTTTTTTTTTTTTTTTGGAATTGGTTGATGTGGCTGATTCATATCAATTTGGATATAATAGTTAGGGCTGGTGCAAGGTTTAAACCAAAAGGTAGACCACAACCCAAGAAGAAGCAAGTGTCTCTTTCAACATCCCAGACAACAATCTCTACCGATGCTGCCAAGGAAAAACTCTCAACACAAAACGAAGATACGGTTTCCCTAGACGGATCGTCGGCGATTCCCAGCAGTTTTGTTTCTTCCCTCAACCAACTTGTTTATTATGTGTTGTTCTGAATCTGAAGTTGGCAGTGTTTTAAGATGTGGATTCTTTTTATTTGCAGATGCTTTACCCTCTGAGACTAATATGCCGGATAGTGAAACTATTATCAAATCTACTACTGGAACATTATCAGAAGAGGTAAAATTGCATTGTGTCTACCTTTTGAATTGCTTTTAGCGTGTGTCACAGGTCTTTGAAAAACGTTTTTGTTTCTTACAGAATGTAGATGTATTCCCAAGAGGGGTTCATTGGTCTACGAGACCATCTATTCTGCGTGCTTGTAATAACGTGGATTTGGTGGGAAAAAGCTGTGGTGATGGCATAGAGGCGGCGTCTTCATTTCCTGATGATCCTAGAACGCAAGATTCTACAATATTTGGAGATTATGTGACTCCTGAAACCAGGGTATTGTGAATTCTATCTCTAACACTGATCACTTGTTTTACTGCAAATTTAGAACTGATTAGTAAGTCTTGATATTGTTACAGGAAGACGAAGGTCGTGTGGACATGGAAACTCTTGATATTGTACAGGAGGAAGGCACCACCAGTTCATATGGTAATTTTAAACTCTTGAATGTTGATATTTCATATGATTTAGTTCTGTTAAAGGTATATAATTATAAACCTGTTTCTGTGTAGTGCAACATACTGGAAAGTTGCAACCAAAACCTAGAATCCTCGATACTGTGGTTGAAGAACCTGAGCCTCATTACTCCGCTGGTGATACTGGTTATTTTCCAATGGGTACGAACGAGTCTGACTTTATGGTCAATGTGGAATCAAGAAACGGTTTCAGTAGTTATGGAGATACTCAAGAAGAAGAACTTAATATTCCTGAAGCCCCCAGAGACATGGTAAGATTGGCAAGTTCGGTTGCTTTTTTAAGGGCACCGTTTTAAGTTAGCAAATTTGTTAATTGGTTCCGCTTGTAATTTTTTTAATCAGGTCCATGAGATGGAGGCGCGAAATGCTTCTGGCGGATGGGAACACGAAGAACAGGGTGTATCGCCTTGTACAAACAATACAGTTACAGGAGAAGAAGAAAATTGTTTGGGTAAAACAGTAGAAGAACAGTCTGGAAGAGAGAGCAAAACTAGAAAATCGAAGAGAGCTACTTCTCGAAAGCGGAAAAAGACTAGTGAAGAACCAAATAAGTCTAGCGAAAAAACAGAGCAGAAGAAGTTCAAGCATTCGAGTCGTCGACAAAAAAGAACACGTAACTAACTAACTAAATAACTGATATTGTCATCTAGATTATGATAAACTATTTTCTGCATATTGATTCATGTTTATTCCCTGTCCTAGTGGAGAAGGAATTGCTTGAAACCCCGGATGATGAAATCAGATTTCTGCCTCTTAGAGATATGCTTCGCCTTGTCGAATATAAAGAATGGATGGAGGTAAGAACACTAATCATCTGAGCTCTACAGGTTCTTTGGAAATTTAGCGTATCGATGAAGCTGGATCCTAACTGTTCCTTGATGTCAATACCTTGTTAATTATTATACAGAAAAAGGAAGCAAAGGGAGCTGGTGTGCAACCTAGCCAAGAAAGGTCTTATTTTCATTCAAAAAAAAAATTGAAAGTGCGAGATGATAAAAAGCAGATTGTTTTAAGTTTGTTTTTTCTCGTCTTATGGGAGTGTGTTGTTATGTGCAGTAATATGAATGCATCAGAGAGCCAGTATCATTCTCAAGGTTTTGACGACGAAGATGAATTTGGTGAATTTGGTATAGAGTCGAGCGAAAATCAAGAAAATAATGTAGTTAAACCGGATTCACCGGTTAACTATCAAACCTACATGAACAAGACTTCAAGAACTAGATGGTCAAAACAAGATACAGAACTCTTCTATGAGGTAAACTTGACAGCCCTGATTCTCAAAAGACGGGTTTTACTGTTTAGGATCATTGTCACATATCTACTTAAGATCGAAATGAAACTCTAGGAGACAAAAACTCACCTTTGTTCGTAAGTATTTATAGAGCGGATTGCCTCTTTTTTATTTTCGTAGGGAATTCAAGAGTTTGGGAGCAATCTATCGATGATACAACAGCTGTTCCCTAATAGAACGCGTGAACAGATGAAGCTCAAATTCAAATTGGAGGAACGCCGAAATCCATTGAAGCTTAATGATGCATTATCAAGTCGCTCAAAACGTGAGAGAAATCCGTTTTCTCTCTCTCTCTCTCTTTCTCTCTGAATATATAATTTTCTTGGATGGGCTATAGAAACCTGAAAGTTTTGTTGTTTTTGCAGATTTTACTCATTTCAAGAACGTGATTAAGAAGCTTCAACAAGAAGCCGCGGCTGCAAAAGAAGCTGAAGAAGAAGAAGCTGGAACAGAGGCAGAGACACCTGATGTTCCCGAGAATGTAAAATCCACAGCTTTTTGTTTGCGGCTGCGCCATAATCTGTTAATTTTGTTAAGAAGTTAACGAAACAGTAAAACGCTGTCGTTTAACTGGAAACACTAAATGTTGTCGTTTTGGTATGTGTAGGAGGAGCCGGAGAAGTCTGAGGAGACGGAGCGAGCCAGTGATGGAGTAGCAGCTGGAGTTAAAGAATCGGACGGTGGGGATATTGAGAATGGCGTGAGATCGGACGGTGGAGATGAATGTGAAGATGATGAAGATGATTTTTGGAGTTCTTATAAGAGTGACATGTAAACTATATAAACAAATTAGTCTTTTCGTCGTGATTGAATACATTAATCTTTTGATTGAGAGGAAGAATATACATTATTCACGTTTAATTATGTTGAATAGAATTTTGTAGAAACTAGAAACAATTATTCAAATGTAAGTACTAAACAAGGGAATATATTTTGGTATAAACAATTAAAAAAGAGAATAAATAATAAATCCGACAACAAATGGCCAATGACTGTTGACTCATCGTTTACTGCTCCGTTTTGTCGGCGAAATTCTCATCGATCTTCTTTAATTCTTTTTTTAACTTTTTCTCTGTGCTTCTGTGATTCTGACGTTACACATAGCCAACCTATACTGATCGTAGATCCGTTAAATTTTAACCTACGATCATTAACGACCGTCAGATCTTCGTCGGCTGGTGACAAAAAGCGAATCTCTTGTAGTAGTATTACTTTTCACTTAATACTTTTATTAATTTATAGTAGTTACGTCCCAATCTCATGCATATTTATTATTTTCAGGCCATTTATTAGATGTTATTACAGAAGTTACCTCGATTTCTACATTAAATGCACAACCACGATTCTTTCGGCCAAATCTCTTCTTGTTGACTTGTTGTTGTTGGTGATTCAAATTGATATACTTTGATAGTACTAATCATAGTACTACTTATCTGCAAAGGCATGCAAAATAAAAAAAATTCTGGGTTTCTAAGTAACAAACAAACAATTTTGCAATCTTTACGAACGATAAAATAAGACCAAAACTGAGATCAGGAAAAATAATAATTGAGTAAAATACGAAAATAAAAACAATTTTGGTAAAATTTTCTTAATGCTAAAGAATTAAAGTTTAGCCAAATTTTAAGTAAGAGATCTGAAGGAAAATAGTGTGGGGTTCACAATAGGAAAAGAGTGTAAATAATAGGGCTATCATTAAATAAGGAGTAAATAAAATTTAGATATTTTTAATTTTGTTGGCAAAATTAAGATACAAAAATACAGAGGAAATAAATATAAGAAAAAAAAAAAAAGAAAGAGTCCATAGTTCGCTCCGAATTCTACTCCACTTTTACCTCTGAAATTTTGTTTCCTGTTTTTTTTTGTTTGCGAAATTTCAGGAGTATTTCTGGTTAATGTGAGAAAGAAAGTAGATTCGCAAGAAACCAAAAAAAAAGTGAGCGATTCGTGTTGGATTGATGTAGTGGATGAGCCATTTTCTTTCTCCAATATTATTTGATTTGAGCGCGAGAGTTTTGCTTCATTCGGAATCTTAAGATGTCAGGTCATGTTGATCGATTCGCAATACCATGTAAGTTTTATCAGATCTGTTTTTTTTAATCTCAGGATCCGTCGATTTCTTTCAATGCGATTTCTCTGGGATTGCTTTGCTAGGGTTTATTCGAGTAATGAGAAGCCAAACTCTTTGCAATTTCGTTTTTTTCCCTAGTGGGTTCTTAGGGTTTTGCTATTTAGAAGCTCAATTTTGAGAAGTTAGGTCTTTATTTCAGCTGTTTGTTAGATGATTTTGTTCAGTGATCGGTGAATAGATAGTTAAAAAGTGTTCTTTTTTATAGGTTTTGAGGGAATCTTGAGCAGTGATGAGAAAAAGGAAAGAAAGTCTGATTTTGAGAACTCAGAAGATGAGAGGAGAACAAGAATCGGTTCTTTGAAGAAGAAAGCAATCAATGCATCTACCAAGTTCAAGCATTCTCTCAAGAAAAAGAGAAGAAAAAGTGATGTCCGGGTGAGTTCTGTGTCCATTGAGGATGTTCGTGATGTCGAGGAGCTTCAAGCGGTTGATGAGTTTAGACAAGCATTGGTAATGGAAGAGTTGCTTCCCCATAAACACGATGACTATCACATGATGCTGAGGTTCTTGAAGGCTAGGAAATTCGACATTGAGAAAGCTAAGCACATGTGGGCAGATATGATCCAGTGGAGGAAGGAATTTGGTACCGACACTATTCTTCAGGATTTTCAGTTTGAAGAGATTGATGAAGTTCTGAAATATTACCCGCACGGTTATCACAGTGTTGATAAAGAAGGCAGGCCTGTGTATATTGAAAGGTTAGGGAAAGTTGATCCTAACAAACTGATGCAAGTTACTACCCTTGATCGATATATAAGATATCATGTTAAGGAGTTCGAGAGGAGTTTTATGATCAAGTTTCCTGCCTGCACAATTGCTGCAAAGAAGTATATTGATTCGAGCACCACTATTTTGGACGTCCAAGGAGTGGGACTGAAGAACTTCACAAAGTCTGCTCGTGAGCTTATTACACGGTTGCAGAAGATTGATGGAGACAATTACCCTGAGACCCTCCACCAAATGTTTATCATCAATGCAGGGCCAGGATTCCGTCTGCTTTGGAGCACTGTGAAAAGCTTTCTAGACCCCAAAACAACTTCTAAGATTCATGTATGTTAATACATGTTTTTGCTTTTTTAGTGTACCTCTAGTTAATGGCTTCCCTTAATTAAACTGCTCCTGGGATTCCATCATTAACTTTTTCATTTTGTAATGTAGGTACTCGGATACAAGTATCAGACTAAATTGCTTGAGGTTATTGATTCCAGGTATGTAGCTTGAACTCCTAATCCTTTTTCCCCTCTAGAATTACTCGATTCTTCTGTGTTTTGCTTACATCAGTTATGTATCTTTCATTTGTTTCAGCGAGTTGCCTGAATTCTTGGGAGGTGCATGTACTTGCGCAGATCAGGGTGGTTGTATGCTTTCTGATAAAGGGCCTTGGAAAAATCCAGAGATTGTTAAGGTTACTTATTTGTCCTTTATTGATCTCTTTACACTCCCAAGCTTTCATATTATCAGTTTATGTGATTTCAAAAATTGAAACAAATGGTTTACTGTTGTTGCAGATGGTACTTCATGGGGGAGCTCACCGTGCGAAGCAGGTGGTGAAAGTTCTTAACAGCGAGGGGAAAGTCATTGCTTATGCTAAGCCGTCTTATCCATGGATAAAAGGAAGTGACACATCAACTGCAGAATCAGGTTCTGAAGCTGAAGATATCGTTGTGTCTCCAAAAGCAGTAAAGAGTTATTCCCATCTCCGCTTGACCCCAGTTCGTGAAGAGGTGTAATATATGTTCACACTTCGTTTTTTATAGAATACAGGATTCGTGGTTCTAAATCGTCCTAGTGATTATTTTGCAGGCAAAGGTAGGCTCTGGTGAAACGAGTTTTACCGGTAGTTTTGCAGGTTATGATGAGTATGTTCCAATGGTTGACAAAGCTGTTGACGCCACCTGGAAGGTTAAATCCACCGCCATCAACAGGGCTCCTTCTAAAGGTAATTTTTTTAATGCTTAAGTGAAAGAAAGGTTTCACTTATGACATCAAACACTGGGACATTTTTTGGATCTTTGGTCTCTTATATCTTTTCGCAGGAGCTCATATGCCTCCAAATGTCCCAAAGGATCATGAAAGCTTCAGTGCTCGTGCCCTAGTAATTTTCATGGCTTTTGTGATGGCGATTCTCACATTCTTCCGCACAGTATCATACCGTGTTGTGACCAAGCAGCTTCCACTGCCTACAAGCCAACCGCAAATTGAAGGAAGCGCTGCTACAGAGGAAGCTGATCTCCTCAATTCAGTGCTGAAGAAATTAACCGAACTTGAGGAGAAAATTGGAGCGCTCCAGTCAAAGCCATCTGAGATGCCTTATGAGAAAGAGGAACTGCTTAATGCAGCTGTCTGCCGTGTAGACGCCCTTGAAGCCGAGCTCATAGCCACTAAGAAGGTAACTTAATACCATGTTCAACAACTAAAATCCACTAAAATTAGAACCTGAAATATCTAAAATGTGTTTCTTATTTGGAGCAGGCTCTTTACGAAGCTCTGATGAGACAAGAAGAATTACTCGCTTACATTGACCGTCAAGAGGCAGCTCAGGACCAGGTCGGTTTTTTCTTTTAAACCCGAGAATTCAAATTTGTCTTCTTGAATCTTATTCATTTAAATTCTTTCAAATGCAATTATTGATAAACATCAATATTGTTTTTGTTTCCAGAAGAAGAAGAAGAGGAAGCAAATGTTCTGTTTCTAGAAGAAGAAGGAGAAGAAGAAGAAGAAGAAGAAGAAGAAGAAAGGAGGCATCTCTGCTTTCTCGCTCTCCCTTCGTAGGTTTCAATTGAAACAGAACAACTCTCATCTCATTTTATGTGAAAAGCTAATCAGTTATTTCTCTTTTATGATGATGATTAGTTTATGATGATGATGATGACGAATCGGTCTTTTTAAGTTTATAATTAACAAAACAATAATACCAAAAAAAAACAGGAGAAATAGAGAGTCCTTAAATACAGACAAAACATGACTTCATCTTTATATCTTCTCCAGTATCCATATTTATAAGGTTACGGTAATTGGAATTGTGTTTTATTTTCCAGGCTTCTTAGAAACTGGAAGCTTTAAGGCAGAGGTTACTGTAAAACCTCTGATGCAGTCTTCTAGAATAATAAGAACTGAAAATGCAAGAAAAAAGTAGAAATTATTTCGAATATAACTAACTACAAGCAATAAAGTACATAATCATCTTAGGTGTTTTATGTGTACTTCAACAAACCTTTCTCTTCTTCTTCTTTTTCTTCTCGATGTAAGCCATTATCTCATGTTGCCTCGTCATTGTCTCGTCCAGTGCCTAAGTTATTAAAACAGAGCAATCACAAAACAAAGTAAACAGAGCAAGAGACTAGTGAGTAGAGAAGGAGAGCTGTACCTTGTTGGTTTCAGACAACTGAAGCTCGAGCTGGTCAACACGACGAAGTGCAGCGTCTAGAATCTTCTCCCTCTCCAGTGAAAACGCAGCTTGAGCTTCCATGGACTTACACTTCTCCTCGAGATCTGTCATCTTCTTCACCATCACCATATACTCCTGCCTCGACATAACAGTCACTCCGTCCTGGTACACGGCGCTGCCTTCGCGGCTATACACATTTGCCTCGGTGAGCTTCCTTGGCATGTTCTTGGTTAGCCTCATCACTCCTACTATCCCCATTAGCAATGCCATCACGCTGCCATATAAGTACCCTTTCCTCTCCAACGGATTCACAGCCGAGTACACATCTGAATTGACAGTTTAACGGAGTAAGAAACTTATACACAAGCAAGCCCGGTTTGGTTAACGAGAATACTAACCTTTGAGCTCGGTAGAGCTGTTGTTAGCCTTGTGAATCTTTGTAGGCCAATCAGCAACATCCACATTCTTGTCGATGAACTTCTTCTCCTTCTCCGCAGCAGATTGCTTGTAAGTCTCTTCGGGTTCGCATTTCTTCTAAAGTTCAAAAAGAATTATTTTTTACTGAAGAAAATTCAAAAATAAAATATCAAAGATCATTGCTTCTTACCTTTGTTTCGCTGTTATACTCAGAGATTGTCTTTTCCTCGATCCCTGACAAGCTCCTCCGCAGGCATCTCCCTTCACCGTTCTGAACCAACTGTGTATAAATAGTTTACATATGAATCAGAAGAAGTTATATTGTAATGTTTTTGATAAAGGATTGCCTTAAGGTTGGTTCTCTAGAACTACCTTGAAGATCTCAGGGTCGTTCCATGGACCTTTGTCTGAACGCATACATCCACCTTTGTCTGCGCAGGTGCACTTACCACCCAAGAACTCAGGCAGTTCACTAAACAAACAATGAGAAGAGAGAGTTTTGGATAACATATTTGAAGATAACACAACAGTTTCAAGGTCAAGAGTTATGAAGTTCTTACTTGGCCTCAATGATTTCTAGAAGTTTGGTTTGGTATTTGTTGCCAAGAACCTGCCATTAATGAGTAATTTTTAACTAACTAATCAATCGAGAAGCGGATGAAGTAAATCAAAGAAAACTTTGGATCTTTTTAAGTGAAAAGGAAAGCTTTACGTGAATCTTCGCTGTAGTCTTTGGGTCAAGGAAAGATTTCACTGTGCTCCATAAAAGCCTAAACCCATAACCAGCATTGATGATGAACATACGGTTCAGCGTCTACAATGAAACACAAACACAGAGGTCATTGTTCTGTGTCAAAACCATTAGCAACTCAAAGAAGAAGAAAAGGCACAACCGAACCTCCGGGTAGTTATCGTTGTCGATTTTCTGAATACTCTGAAGAAGATCTTTTGCAGCTTTGTTGAAGTTATTAAGCCCCTGCAAATTTAAAAACACACACAGAGATTGAATCGTCCAAGATACCACCTTACAAAGAATCTATGAGGGGAATATTTTTGTATAGCTTATTTGAGCACATACCACGCCTTGAACATCCAAGATCGTTGTGCTCTGATCAATGTGTCTTTTCGCAGCGATGGAACAAGCCGGGAATTTGACGTTGAAAGTCTTCTCGAACTCTTTGACATGGTACTTCACATACCTATCAATTGTGGTCACTTTCATCAGCTTTGTGGCATCAACTTGGCCTAGCCTCTCAATATAGATAGGTCTTCCTTCCTTGTCAACACCATGATATCCTTGTGGATAATGCTGAACCACTTCGTCGATTTCTTTGAAATCAAAGTCCTTCAATAAAAAAGAGAAAAACATTAGAGAGACACAGAGACAAAACATAGAGTCAAGAAAAGTGAGCCTTTGATGTCACCTCCATGATCGTGTCTGCGCCATATTCTTTCCTCCAGTTAAGCATATCAGCCCACATATGCTTCGCCTTTTCGAGATCAAACTTTCTTGCCCTCAAGAACCTGAAATATTTCGATTATATAGAGCAATGAAGAAGAAAAATCAAAAGATCAAGAGGAAGGACCTAACCTAAGCATCATGTGATGATCATCGTGTTTAGAAGGAAGTAGTTCGTCTAAAATAAGAGCTTGACGGAAAGCATCAACCGCTTGCAACTCTTCCGTATCGATTTCATCAACGATTGAGACACACGCCACACGGCTATGCCTTCGACCTTTCTTGGTCATGGAGTGCTTAAACTTGTTCGTCGCATTTATTGCCTTCTTCTTCAGAGAGCAAAGTTTTGTTAATCTGTTATCATCTTCTGAGATCTCAACATCTGCATGATTCTTGCTTTTAAATAATGTCTTGATTCCAAACAAAAAGATATTCGCTATTTTCTCAGCTTACCTATCTTATTATGTCGATCCAAATGAGCAACCATTGTATCCGCCATGATTTAAAGTCCTATTGAATCACACACAAAGCAAACAAATGAAAACTCTGTTCTTGTTCCTTGTCTAACAATCAAACAATGAAAATAAAAATTAATCACAAAAGAAACATTTCATTGAACACGTTACATTCCAACCCTAAACAAATTACGAGAAACAATCCTTTAAAGCCTAATTAACATAAACCAAAACTTATCATAAATCGCACGTTTTGTGTGATTAGAGACTGAGACCCTAAAGATTCAAGATTCTTTTAGCGTGAGATTCAAAGGGTTTAGGTGAGATAGAAGAAGAGATTTATATTCTTTACCTGTGGATTTTTTTATAAAAAAAAAAAAACACTAAGGGGAGAAGAAGAAAAGAGAGATCTATATAACTCTCTCGCTCACACCCCAAATTAAGAATGGTTCCAAATTTACAACGCCAAAAATCTCAGACAACAAATCCAGAGAGAGAGAGAGAGAGAGCATTGACAAGGTTTTACCTTTTCTTGAATTCTTTCATAAAATTTAGCGTTTTCCATTTTGTCTACATATTTTTAGCTCTAATCTTATGTAGGAGAAACCATTTTTGTAAATAATAAATTGAGTAAAATTTTTTTTCTATATTTCTCTCTAAATCTGGTCTTATTGATATGCGAAATTGAGTAAATAAAACACATTTATTGTTGGTATTATTTATTTCGAGAACAAAAAAATATTGGTGTCACAATGGTTTTAAAAAAAAATCTAAAAAGTATATATATTTCCTCCTATATATGGAAAATAATAATAAGCTTATTCCTAAAATTTTATGTAGAAACATATCATCATGGATCCTTTTCTTTTTATATTACTCACCATCAATATACTTCCAAAATTAGTTTTTTGGTAAGGTTTTCGAAAAACTCCAGATACTATAATCTGGTGAACATAAATTATCATGGAGCATTTGCATTAGTAACCGATCAGTATTCTTCCAAATTGTATAATGAATATCCCAATACAATAAGTGTTATAAAACATATTACTATATTCTAGAAATCAGAATTATCAAAAATTATACAAAGAAATAAAAAAATAAAAAAAAAAAGCTAAACAAATATTTATGCCAAATTTCGAGGGCTTTAAAACAAGTTTTACCCTTCTATAACAAACACTATAATATATACGTGAATGCTATTTGCATAAACTACTGTCTTTTTAATTTTTTTTTGCTTATTTTTTGTATTTTATCTAAATTATTCAAACCTATTCATCAGTTTGATTCCTTCTCTGCCTTGCAATGAAAGACTCGATCTTGTATCGGAGTTCATCATCGGAATCAACTCTTTCAGCAGATGCATCCGTCTCTGATCTCTTCAATCTTCTACAAGAACTCTTCTCCAAAACCTTCAGATTCTCCGACTGGCTTCGTTGGTAACTCTGAATTTGCCTCTTCTCTGTCAAATTCTGTTTCTCCATCTTCACAGTTACGTCCTTATGCTCAACTACGCTCTGTTTTGTCAACCTCTCAGGTTTGCTCTGTTTCACTTTCTTCTCAGAAATGATCTGTTTCGTCTTCTTCTCTGTTACGCTTTGTTTTACTCTGCTCTCGGATATGCTCTGTTTCTCCTCGTTCTCTTTTGCTTTGTTCTCGGTTATGCTCTGTTTAGCATCGTTCTCTGCTTCACTCTGTGTTTCTCTGCTTCTCATCTCAGCTTGTGAAACTCCACCTCTCCTTGAGCTCTCCAGAACAAACTCCTCGTAAAGATCGTTGCTTTTGCACTTGGGATCAAGTTCTTGATTCAAGAGAAGACCGGATTTAGCGATCAGAGCGATGACTATCCCGTTTCCTACAACAAACGCAAGGCTACGGTTTGCGAGAATAACCGATGCGACACTAGAATCCTCAAACGTGACAACGAGCTCATAAGAGAGCTTAGCTACTGTAACCAAAACCACAACTATCTCGATCGCCCAGAAAAACAGATCCAAGATTATCTCAACTCGAGACTTTTGCGCAAGCCTCTTCTTCATCTTTCTTGATTTTGTTTTCTGAGTACTAAACGAATCCATTGAGATAACCAAAGAAGAAAACAGAGGATTTTGAGTAGTTACTTCTTCAGAGCTTGATTAGAGTACCAATTGTGTTCTTAGTTTAGATTCATGAAAGGAAGCTGATAATCTAAAGAGAGGAGAATATGTTTTTCCCTTTGTTCTCTCCTTTTCTTTCTTTCTTTTGCTTTGTTTCTTGAGAGAAATTAGCTTTGCTCTATGAGTATATATATATATATATATACAGAGTCGTTGAATGGAGCAACCTTTTTATTTAAAAGAAAAGCACTAATCTAACAAATAACAGTAAAAATGTATTGCAGCATTAACGTAACAATTTGTTACAGTCTTTAAATATTAAACGTGGTATATATTTTTCCGTAACAAAAAAATTTAGACAACCTCATTAGAATATTTTTTTCTAAATTTAAGCAATTTATTTAGGGGAAGTCCCAAAATATACACCATTTAAAAAAAAAAAAAATTTGCAATTATATTATTTTGTAAATTTCCGTGGACTAATATATTTTATGAAAATGTGGTATTGTACCAACCGAACAAGCTGTAGCATGTTAACTTTTTGTTAGTTGACATTAAAAAATTTCTTTGATATAAGATACTATTGATCATGGAAAGTATGCAGCTTCTAGAGATTTTGTAGTTAAAGTGCCCTGTCTTGTATCAAATATTATAATTACTCTGTTTCTTCTTCTTCATCTTTCTCTTTTTTTTTTTTTTTTTTGATAAAAGTATTATAATTACTCTGTCTATATACTTTTATTTATTTATAAGATTTAAGTAGTTTTCATGGTTTAAAAAATAAAATTTGCTACTGAAATTAATTTAAAAATTTGCATATTAAGTTGATCACTAAGGAAAAAACTCTAGAAGAAGATTTAAAGATTATGTTAATTCAGAAATTCCCTTTTTATCACTGGACGATCACCATTACATACAAAATCATGCTGCTTATAATAGACTCGTAAATCATAATTCATGTAAAAGGCTGATATATATGTGTTTTTTTTTTTTGATTAAAAGATACTATGTGTTCTTCCTTTACAGAAAAAATCTATTTTCGGTTTTTAAAAAACGTCTACAGGTATCCAAAGACAGTTTTTTCTTAATTAGTATCGTTTCATACAACAATTTCTTGTGTTAATATGAAGTTGTGACCTCTAATTTATGGTCGGAAAAAGGCATCATCGCACTATATTCGTGACTTTGTCCATTTGTAATTATTTACTCGACCGGTAAAAAGCAGCTGCCTTGATATCGACATGTCCATTTCATATCTCCTTTATTTTTTATAATAAATTAATATGTGAAAATCATTTGTAGCACATATGTATTGATTTATATAATACCTTTATCGTAAAAAATTTTAGGACTTGAATGATCAGTACAAAGCATGCCCCACTGTGCCGAAACAAAATACAATAGGGTCGAAAATTATGCTTATTTACTCTTTTTTTCTGGAATGCAGATAACTATTATGAAAAGAAATTTATGTTTATTAGGGTAATATGGGAAACCTTATATTATTTTTGTCTCGATGGGTTAACTTATATATCTCCTAAGAAATATTATTACTTAGTATTTATTTTTATTTTTTGTACATTTTATTGTATTTCATGTAAGGATAATGAGAAAAATATAATTCAATTACTTCTTCACTAAGAGATGGAGAAATGGCTTGTAGGTCAACAACTCTTTGTTACTTTTTTAATGTCTTGTCTCTTTCTAACCAAAAGCATAAGCATATATACAAGAGGTGGTCTCATGATTTAAATTTTAAAATTTTCATTATTGGATACACTTTGACAAAAGCCTCCTTTCTTTTCTAAAAAAGTTGAAATGAAGTTCATTATTGGTGTATCATAATATTATTCAGAACGTCCACAAGTGAAACGTGTCTTCATATCTTGATCGGATCTTTCGTATTAATGCCGCAGTAGTAAGAAACAAAAATAAAATTTGATCAATTAAGAAAAAAATGAGTTCGTCACATCACATGCGGCTTAATTATAGTCATCATGTATCTCTAACATATAGATATTTATAAATGCAAACAATTGACGGAAAAAAATGTAAAAAATTCCGACCTGCCGGAATCAAACCAGCGACCTAAAGATTTACAGCAACTACTACAGTCTTCCGCTCTACCAACTGAGCTAAGGTCGGATTGATAAAGTCCGTATATGTGAAATATATATACATTTCACTTGATAATGGGCCCTAATGGGCTTTCTAACAGATTTGTCAAGAGTTGGCGTATATGAAGGCTAGAGGTGAGATTGGTGGAGCCACCCATGATACTTACGTGAAAAGCAACCACAACAATAATGTGCGCTCCACAGCCATGAGTGGAGAAGAGGCAGTGGTTAAAAGAAGTTAAATTCAATCTGAATGCTTGATTTGTTCAGTGCTTTGAAACAAGATTAAAAAAACTTGACATTCTGACTTTTATAGATACTGTAATATTTAAGATAAGAGATAACTAAAAGTCGAACTACATGTGACTGGTTAAAAACCCGGTGAGGAATCTGAAGAATCGTTGGTGATTTGGCCATCAACATAGAACGGATCACGCGGGATTCTGTTATAATTTTTCTACTTATTTTTTGTTCACTAAATATTCATATTCTATCTTACTGGACCCGATTAATTTATACTTTTCAAAAAAACCCTCATATTCCCAGCTTTTTACACACACTCAATCTCATGATTTAAATCATTAGAAAACGTATTCGCTATTTGATACACCTATCTCCGTGACTCTATATAAACCCTCTAGTGTTCACCTTTATGTCAAACCACTTAAACCACACTAATTAACCAAAAAGCAAGTAGAAAAAATGGCTAAGTCGTCATGCACTCTCGTTGCTCTCCTCTGCCTCTATTTTCTTCTTCTTTCTTCAACTAGTCAGTGATTTATATATATACAAAATCTTTTACTATTCCTATATATATACATAGTTAGAGATTTGGTATGTTCAATAACGTTGTGAGTGCTCAATTTAAAGCAGATTTGAAGGCGGTAGAGGCCGGGGTATGTCAAAGGTATAGCGGTTCGTGGGAGGGAGTATGCATTTTCTCGAGCAACTGTAATACCCAATGCATTGAAAGGGAAAGCGCTAAATACGGAGCGTGTCACAGGGATGACAACGGTTTAGCTTGTTTCTGTTATTTCGATTGCTAGAGAAAATTATCGTTTGCGTTTTTATTCTAAGTTGCTTTTTCTTTCCAAAGCTTCCTATGCGTTGTGTCTCTCCTTCCCTTGGTATCGTTTTGTTGTTTTTATTTTATTCTATGTTTCCTTACGAATAATGCACTACTGTGATGTGTCATGTGTAACTACTGTATCGTTAAATTTCGAACTTTTGTGTTTGGTTTATGTTACATGAGTGTTACGAAACAATATGATGGTCTATCTTATCTGCGTTTGGTTTGTATATTCGTGGAGTTATATCTTATAATTGATTTGAAGCCGATGTGATTTTTGAGACTTAACTATACGTCTTGTTCTTTAGAATAAGGCGAATTTATATGCTTCAAGACAATTTGAAAAGAAACAACTCAACAAGTATAGTCAAGTGATGCAGCTTGACGGTTCGACCCTAATCAAGATTCCCATATCAATTAAAACAAAAATCCAGCTAGCGGACTACATCGTTAAAAGAGCAGTATTGGCTTGATATTGCCAACTATATGCTATGCTATGATACTGCTAACTTATTTAAACTAACCAATTAAGACTAATGGATGATCACCAAGAAGTTGGACCACAAAACAAATGCATAGTATATTTGGTTTATTGATTAATCAATAAATTTGACGTTACATGCATGATAATTAAGAAGGTAAACTCCATGTGATTAATTAAGAACTTGGTAATAAATTTGAAAAAAATCACTGGTGATACGACCAGCAACATACAACGGATCATGCGGGATTTTGTTTACGTTTGGATTTTAAGAACCCACTGGATAAGATCAAATTTATAGATTAATGAGAAATTGTAGGATGCCAATAAAAATCATGATATCCAACTATCAAAATATTCTAAGCAAATTAAAATATGTTATTTTTTGAGCAAAATATGTTCACTTTCTAAGCAAAATATGTTGAAAAAATAAGTTTTGCTACGACAATTAGCAACAAAGTAGAGGAGTTAGAGTAAGAGATAGTTATGACTTACATATATGAAGATGAGTAACCGCTTCATTACATCTTCTAGGTTTCCAGCTGTGAATTTTCTTCATTATATCTACTAACAATGTGCGATACAAATAATATAGTGGAGTTGGGTTTGGGTTTATATATCATTTTCATCGTGGATTCCAAAACAGTTAGATTCAAATTCTAATCTCATTTGCACAAGACAATTTTTTCTCCAATTCTCATAGCAACATGACAAAGTGGGGGAAACATCAAGCGTAGGACTTTGATTTCGGATGGAGAATGAAATTTATGATCTTCAGATAATGAAAACTAGAGGCTGGAGGATTTCCAGTTAAAATATTACTGAGATTCTTCAACGTATCAAAACTCTTGAAGTTTACAATCCACTGTAAATATTTTATAGATGCATATCTGACCAAGTCACTAGGTCGTCAAGCAAGTCTACTCTTCATATTCACTTTTAGAGACAAGTGTTTTGTCTCCCATCGCCTCTCCCCCCCACCAATCACCATTGCTCCTTCCGTCCATGGTCTGATTTGCTCCGGACAATCTTTGCACTAGAAGATCCATTGTCTTGCCCAAGATCAATTCAAGAAAGAAGAGACTTAACCACTATGATGACTATTTTGATAATTGTCTACCTGTTACGGTCTGATATTAAAGGACATATATGATGATATATCAACTTTTGTCTTTTTTCTTTGTTTATTTTTTTTATATACTATTATTAGCTAATGGATGCAAATAATGTCTATAACATGAGTATTGTTGATCATTTCTCTCTTTAACAGTTCTATGCGATTTCATATCAAATAATGTCTATAACATGAATATTGTTGATCATTTCTCTCTTAACAGTTCTATGCGATTTCATATATCATATTTGTTTTGTTTTCAAAACATAATTCATTGATGAAAAAAAAAATCATAATTCATCGTGACTTCTAACCAAATAATTCTCCTTCGTATTCAAACATGTATATTTTTATCAAGGACATGTTAAAAATTTGAATGGAACGAAATTATTTATTGGTTATAATCGGTTGTTGTAATATATAAACCGTAAATACCAAACCGGATTGATACACCGTATACAAGAGAGAAAAGACCCTGTGCAGAACACACGTGTGTCACGCAGATGATTGTGTTTAGGAGAGAAAACTAGTGTGCCCTGATTAAAACAGAAAATCCAATGTTTACATGAAAATGAAAAATCAACTTAAAGCCCAACTTAATAAATATGGGCTTTGTTTTTGAGAGAGGCCCGTATAGATATTAACCTCAGACTTAGGGAAACCCTAATATAAGAGCAAACCCTAGCGCTCTCTCTCTCAGCCTCCTCATCTTTTCATCCACTTCTCGCCGTTCGCTCTACCGTCACCGTCGAAGTCAACATGGTATCGTTTTCTACCCTGCTCTCCTCTTACTAATCATCTCTACGTTTCTCTTCGTTCTTGTCTGAATCGTTATTTTCGCTGTCATGGTTACAGGCGCCGAAGAAGGATAAGGTTCCGCCGCCGTCATCAAAGCCGGCGAAATCCGGAGGTGGAAAGCAGAAGAAGAAGGTTCGTTTCCTTAATTTCATGAGCGATTGATCTATCTTCCGAAAAGAATTTAGGTCTCATAGGAATGCGTAGAGATCTGGTTCATAAATGGATTTGTTTTGCCATTGATGTTGATTAGTGTTGGAGTTTTGCATTGTCCCCGTGTGCTTAATATAGTTGCTTTTTTTTGTGATGGTGACAAAAAAAAAACAGAAGTGGAGCAAGGGAAAGCAAAAGGAGAAGGTGAACAACATGGTGTTGTTTGATCAAGCTACTTATGACAAGCTTCTCACTGAAGCTCCTAAGTTCAAGCTCATCACTCCTTCCATTCTCTCTGACCGTATGAGGGTACATATATCTATCTGTCTACTTCTTGTTTCCGCAATTTTACTAAAGAAATGGTTGTTGTATCATCTGGCAGTGAATTAGTTTGAGCTTCTATTTAATCAAGTAGTGAATATAGTTGGGTGTTTGTAACATGATCTACTCTCGCTAGAAACTGTATGATGTTGTTGGTATCCTTGTTCATGCATGTGTATTATGTTGTAACTTTGGAGCTTTTCAAGAACCTTCAAACTTGATTCTTTTTTTCTCCTTGTTTGGTTTTGTCTTCTGAAACTTAACATTGTTGTTATTGTTGAAAATTCAGATTAATGGGTCGCTGGCAAGGAGGGCGATTAGGGAGCTTATGGCCAAAGGTGTGATCAGGATGGTCGCTGCTCACTCGAGCCAGCAGATCTACACTCGTGCCACTAACACCTAAGATGTTTTGGTTCTTTATCCGCCTTGGTGCTTCATTTGTTTTTCTTATTACCTCTTGCTGTTTGATTCTTGAGGAACTCGTTAGAATCTTTGTTTCGTATTCCGTTTTTTGAGATATATGGCTATTTAAAACGCATCAAGACTTCTAAAATTCAGTCCAACCTTTGCCTCTTTGATCCATCCGTTTTGTCTTGGTCAGATTTTCTTGAATTTGGTGGACCGCTTCCCGTTTGGTTATCCATCAAATAATTTCAACTGTAGTTCACTATCATTGGGATTGGAAATATCTAAAAGAAATCACCTAAAAGGCTAAAATATTATTTGCCTACTTATGTGTTTTTTTTTCAGACTAAGAATCAATATCAGCTGTAAGACGAAATATGGTAGACTTTGTATATTTTTTGAGTTATGAGTCAATAAGGCATTTATTGAGAAATCACTCAAAAAACCAAAATAAGAATGTGATAGGTCATGAAAAGAATTTCCAAAGAAGAAAAAAAAAAAAAAAACCTTCGAGAGAGAAAAAAAAGAAAGAGTAGCCGCTGTGTCTTCTCCTCTCCGGTGAAGGCGCGTCGTCGCCGGATCTGTGAGGGGAGGGTGTATAAAATTTCCCTTTTGGTCATAGGAGTGTTGCGAGCCCATCGGTGTCTTTCGTTGTTGTGGTTTTCTTCTCGCGTGATGGGATTCGGTGGTGCCTCCGTTTTCGGCGGTTTTGATCTCGTTGATGGCTAGCCATTTTAGTCAGGTTGAGTCCAACCCTTGCTCTTCTTTCCGATCCTGGTCTCCTCGTCTCAACCATTGATTCACATTGGGTTTGTTTCCTTGCTAAGATGAAGTTCTGTTTTGTTGGCGTGGATCGATAGACTTCTAAGTTTTCAGTTCCTTCTTCTCCCTGATGTGGTTCGTTGTGATTGTTAACTGTCTCGGTTCTCATCTTTCTTGCTCTTGAGATTGATGTTTTTCGAGAGGTTGGACCTTTCTCCTTGTCCTTGCTTTCCTGATGGGGTCGCCTTTTGAAGGTTTCTAGTTTGACGCTAGTGGACGCAGCAGTCGTCGATCGTCGTATTCGGAAGTGTGCTCGAGGTTCCCTTAACTCTTTTGTCTTGCTTGCCGGGTTATGAAGCTTTGGTTCTTGGTTTGGAGAGATCTCCTCTCATTTTGATAGGAGGAGGTAGATGTTATCTTCGGGTTGGCCGCGGGCATCCTTGGTAAATCTCAATCGCTTGAGCTTCTGAAGATTTGGGTTACTTGTCTTCTTGGGTCTTTTGGTTTTTTAAGGTTTAAGTCTGGTGCTTCTTTCTTAGTTTTTGGTTTCGACCTCTTGCGTTTGTGGTTTGAACTCATTTGCTTTGTTCTATTACTATGTTTAGTTTCCTTTTTTTAGGGCCTAGTTTCCGGGAAAATCTCTTTTTCTGCCGGCTTTGTCTCTGAGGACTTTCATGTCGTCTGCGGGCTTTAGTTTCCTTTTTTGGGCTTTGTATTTCACCTTGATACCATTTTAAGATCAATAATATAATTCTAGATGACAAAAAAAAAAGAATGTGATAAGTCATATGACTGAATAACATAAAGTGATATAGTAACGCCTACAGCCCATGTGACAATTTTAACTGTCCCTTAATATTTTGTTAAAATAAATACGTTTGCTTTTCTAATTTTTGTCTTCTAACTAAAGAATTTTAGTGTCTATAATTTTGCTAATTGGACATACACTTAAAAGAGTATATTTATTCAAATAATTTCCCGACATTATCCATGCGTGCTTTCGATCTCGTCTTCTCCCCCGTTAATCAAATGGGCCCAGTTTTTCAATCCATTTGCTAATCTGATCAAATTTTCCTATAATGCTTACAAAACACAATTTGCAAAACATCGCCGTTGATCACATGAAACTTCCCTTTAGAGGCATTTTGTAGTATGTGTTACGACGTGTACGGACTATATAGCACCTCGAAGTTGGGCCAATTAGATGAAAATGGGCCTGGGTCCACATGCAAGCAGACAAAAGATATCGATCGACGTGTCCCATATGAGAGTCTCGTAGCAAGAGTATGGGAGAAACCTGAGTCGTCCATTTTTGGGTTCAGTGACTGTCATTGTCAGACATCTCTATAGCCTTGTTGGTAAGATTTCACATGATCATCATATGAAAAATTACAGAATATATAAGGAAGAGATTTTGGAAGAGAGAAAAATGCAATTTGGCTCCTCGCTGATAAGCAATTTTCTTCTTCTCTTGGTTTTCCTTGGATTTCAAACGACAATAACCAAAACCAGAGAACACGATTAAGGACTCTACGTTTCGGTGAGTTCTCTCATTTATTCGATCCTCTTCTATATATCTCCGTGTTCATTTACCTTTTGGTGTTCTTTCTAGCCTCTATGCATTTTAAAGTTTTTACCTTTGGAGGTTTCACATTCTCTCCTAAAACGAGTTTGCTTTATTTTGTTCAGCTTCGAATCTTCTCGTTTTCTGTGAATGATCTGAAAAATCTAAAAAATGGATTAGGATTTAAACTTTTTATCTGTTCAAACTCATTTATGATCCCAAATTTGTTCGTTTCATGTTTATAAATTAGAATCTCTTGTTTGTTTTGGCAACTCTCTCTTTTCTATGCTTTGAAAGATTTGTTACCTGCAGAAGTCAATTCCATTGATTTCTTGAAGATACAGTATCTCTTGGTAACTTACAAGAGTTGGAGATTTTGTCTTGATACGATGAATTTCTGAGAGGCTCTTTCTTAAATCTGTGTATTTGAATCACCTGTGTAGTCAAAGTTTCCTTCTTTCCGAGAATTTCTTTATTGGACACACAAAAATTGTAGTTCATTATATTCGCATTTGTATGTTGTTTCACTTTACATGCATATCTAGTTTTACTAACGAGCTTTACAATTCTGTTCTGTCTCATTCCAGCTAAAAAAAGATGGATTCTTTTTGCAACTTTAGCTTGGGGACAAACACTTTCTTGTCCAAAGACAGTTTCAAGAATGTAGAGAACAAATTTTTGGGTGAGAAGATCAAAGGAAGCGTCTTGAACCCTTTTTCTTCAGATTTAAGTTCCAAGAAGTTCAGAAATCGAAAATTGAGGTCCGGTGTTGCTTACGCCATTGCTACTTCAAAAAATGCTAAAGAGGCTTTGGTAAGTTAAATGATAAAGGTTATCAAAACACTTAACAACTTTCTGTGGAACTTATCTTGCTTGGTTTCATGCTTTTGTTTTTCAGAAAAATCAACCTTCAATGTTCGAGAGAAGAAGAGCAGATCCGAAGAATGTGGCTGCAATCATTCTAGGAGGAGGCGATGGAGCTAAACTCTTTCCTCTTACAAAGCGAGCAGCAACACCGGCTGTGAGTGATTATCAATTATTGATTGAAATGGTTTTGAACAAGATTTTGTTGTGTTAAGGGGAAGTCTTTAGTTTTCTGATTCTTGAAACAATATTTTCAGGTCCCTGTGGGTGGATGCTATAGGATGATCGATATCCCGATGAGTAATTGCATTAACAGTTCCATAAACAAGATTTTCGTGCTGACTCAGTTTAACTCGGCTTCCCTCAATCGCCATTTGGCTCGTACTTATTTTGGGAATGGCATAAACTTTGGAGATGGTTTTGTTGAGGTATATATAACAACAATATGGTTTCTTTCAAAAACTTCTCAGTTTTTTTTTTTTTTTTTTTTTTTTCGGGATTTGATGAAATAAAACAAATGTAAAATCTTATTGAAACAGGTTCTGGCTGCTACACAAACTCCTGGTGAAGCCGGGAAAAAGTGGTTTCAAGGAACAGCAGATGCTGTGAGAAAATTTCTCTGGGTGTTTGAGGTATGAATAACTTATGATCATTTTACTTGTTTTATCAGACACTAAGTCTGTTCCTTCACGATTCTTTAAAATGGTTTGGATCTGCTGGTATTTTTTATTATAGGATGCTAAGAACAGGAACATTGAGAATATACTCATCTTGTCTGGAGATCACCTATATAGAATGAACTATATGGACTTTGTTCAGGTAATATAGTAATAAACACATTCCTCTTAGTAGTTTCAAACTAGTCTTGCTAACTAACTCTAAACACTATGCATTGGACAGTACCATGTCGATAGTAAAGCGGATATTACTCTTTCGTGCGCGCCAGTTGATGAGAGGTTAGTTTCTTTAGCACTATGATGTGCCTATTGTATGATCTTTGTTTTAAGATTTTAACTTGCCCCTTATGTGAATTTTTAGCCGTGCATCGGATTATGGACTGGTCAATATTGATCGAAGCGGGCGTGTAGTCCATTTCTCTGAGAAACCAACTGGCATCGATCTGAAATCAATGGTACAGTTTTATTTCCCAAAACTTAATACTTACGAAACTGAATGGCATCGATCTGAATATTTTTCTGTTGTTTTGACGTTTATAACTGAATGCAGCAAACCGATACTACTATGCATGGACTGTCTCATCAAGAAGCAGCAAAATCTCCATACATTGCGTCAATGGGAGTTTATTGTTTCAAAACCGAAGCTTTACTGAAGCTTCTGACATGGCGGTATCCAAGTTCCAATGACTTTGGTTCTGAAATTATTCCTGCAGCTATAAGAGATCACAATGTTCAAGTAAAAAAAAAAAAAAAAAAACTCTTCTCCTTATAAAAGAATTTCATGAGCTTTATCACTTTATCACAAACGATTTAATCAAATTGTCTTCTTTAGGGATACATCTACAGAGACTATTGGGAAGATATCGGAACTATAAAGAGTTTCTATGAAGCTAATCTTGCCCTTGTCGAGGAGGTCAGTTTGATGAATACTCAAAAATGTTTCTTACTTTCTATGATCCAATCTCTCAACTAATGTTCTTGTTTTACGCAGCATCCCAAGTTTGAGTTTTACGATCAGAATACGCCTTTCTACACTTCTCCTCGGTTTTTACCACCCACCAAAACCGAGAAATGCCGGGTAAACATCTTTCTCTTTACGTGGAAATCCTCTTTGTTTGTATTTCTCGAGTCTTGATTCACTGATTGGTATGATCCTCTTGATGATTTGGCAGATTGTAAATTCGATAATCTCACACGGATGTTTCTTGGGGGAATGCAGCATCCAACGTTCCATCATTGGTGAAAGGTCACGTCTTGACTATGGTGTTGAGCTTCAGGTGTGAATCCTTGGTCATAAAAGGACCTAGCTATATAAGGACATTGTTAGGTTCAAAAGCTGAGTCTGGTTTTTGTTTGCTTCTTGCAGGATACTCTTATGTTAGGAGCAGATAGTTACCAAACCGAATCTGAGATTGCGTCTCTGCTCGCGGAAGGAAATGTTCCAATTGGCATTGGCCGAGATACAAAGATCAGGTAACAAACCGAAATCACAATATTCTTCTCTGAGTTTGATTCTTAAACTCTGATGCTATCTTTTATACATTGAAGGAAATGCATCATTGACAAGAATGCAAAGATCGGGAAAAACGTGATGATCTTGAACAAAGATGTATGCTTTCTTCTCCATTCTTGATTCTCTTTGCGTTTTCTGTTTTTAAGATCAGTAAAGATCAAGACTTTTGAGAGATTCAACATTTTTAACATTAACGGGTTTAGTTGTTTTATCTCTCAGGATGTTAAGGAAGCTGATAGACCAGAGGAAGGATTCTACATTCGATCTGGAATCACTGTGGTCGTCGAAAAGGCCACCATTAAAGACAGTACTGTGATATGAACAAAACGATCTCAAGACCGCCGTGTAATGAGCATTACAACAACAAATTAGCCGGAAGTTTGAGGTGTTTTGGCCGGAAGTGAAAAAAAAGAGACAGTTGTGATTTTGTCATGTAAATTAGAAGAGTTTGAAGAGATAGAAGAATCATACAACTTAGAGTTTAAGCTTTACAATAAGAGTGATAAGCCGATAAGGTTACTATCCTTCTCTTTTCATATTAGGAGAAATAAATAAAGCTATCTTTCTTCTTTGGCAATTTCTCAATTAAGGGTTTAAATTCAATATTCCAAATAATTGGGGTAAAATCGAATTTTTCGGTGGTTTTGCGTAAATGTTAAGGGGTTAAATTGGTATGGAAAAAAAGGTTGGGGTCAGATAAAATCGAGTAGCTTTTATAAGTGTATTCTTTCGTAAATATATAAAAAACTAACGCGGAAACAATTAAAAAATAAAAACAAAAATAAAACGCCGATCGAACCATCTTCTCCTTCTTCATTTGGTGTTGCGTCTTTCGTCGTCAGATCTGCTCGTTTTTCGCTCCTTGTTTGGGTCACCATTACTCAGCTTTCCGTAAGTGTTTTGATCTTTTGCTTTCTCGGAAGTTTGAATCAATGATCTGAGAAAGTTTCCCTGTTTAGATCGATTCTCAAGGTTTTTGTTATGTGCTCATTGGAACCGATTAAGTTTCCAGATCTGAAGTCGAGCGGGTTTTTTTTCTGCTGCGAGTTCTTAGAATCATTTCAATCGGTAAAAAAATCCGATCATGGTTGAGATGGTTTCTGTTACTATGGGTTTGATTCTCTGGTGAGATAGATTAAGCTGATAAACAGTTCATGGCTTTTTCTTGTTTTCTTCTCCACTCTTAAGTAGTTTCGGTTGTGTTCAGAGGCGATTTCGTGGGAAAATACATCTCCGAGGATAAAATCTTCTATTATGGGGAGAGATTCTGTGTAATCTTGTATATTAGGAAAGAAACTTGGGGATATCAATTGTGTAGATAAGGTGGTGCATAGATATTAAAGCTGAGCTTCACAACGAGCATTAGGTTTCTATGTGAATTTGACCAACCAACTGTTTTGTTTATCCTCTAGGTTTTTAAATATCACATTAGATGGAAGAAAGCGGAGGCGATAGTGGTTCAGTAGCTACGCCTGTTCAACAGCGAGCACATGAGGCATGGAGGATTTACCAACACTATCTTGACAAGACTACACCTCATGCAAATTACAGGTGGATCGGAACTCTTGTCGTCGCTCTTATCTACTGTTTGAGGGTTTACTATATTCAAGGTTTCTACATCATCGCCTATGGTCTTGGGATCTACCTTCTCAATCTGCTTATCGGGTTCTTGTCCCCTCTTGTTGATCCTGAGGCTGGTGGGGTCTCGGATGGGCCTACTCTGCCTACTAGAGGTTCTGATGAGTTCAAGCCTTTTATTCGCCGTCTCCCCGAGTTCAAATTCTGGTAATGCCATGTTGAATTGTCTTAAATGCACGTCTCCCCGAGTTGATTTTTTCGAGTTTGCCAGCTGCCATGTCAAATCCTTTCATGATCTGCCATGAGTTTTAAATTCCTTCATGATCTTTTTCACTGCATTGCTGCCTTACATGGGGTCATGATTGATGATGATTTTAAATTCTGGGAATGTTCAGAATATCTCACATGAGCCAGTTTTCTTTAACTGATATGCAATTCCCTACAATGTCGATGATGAATGCATGTCTCCATTATTTGTCCATATCAGTATTTTTGATGTTTGAGGCTCTCACAACTGATCATGGTAGATCTAGAATCACTAATATGTGAGCAGTAAGCTTTGTCGTCTTAACACATATTGCATTCTGTACAGTTACAACATCAGAATCTCTGTGGTGGTAGACTATAGAAAGATGCACTTAATAAAAATAGAAGATACCATTGTGTCTTGGCTCATCAAGGTTAGCTGATAGAAGATACCATTGTGTATTGTGGTCTCAGGTACTCCATGACAAAGGCTTTCTGCATAGCCTTCCTCATGACATTCTTCTCGGTGTTTGACGTTCCTGTGTTTTGGCCAATTCTGCTGTGCTATTGGATCGTTCTCTTTGTTCTCACCATGAGACGCCAGATCGCCCACATGATCAAGTACAAGTACATCCCTTTCAGCTTCGGCAAACAGGTAAAAGCTTTTTATTGATTGCGGTTTTGAGTTGCAAGTTAATTCCTTTTTTTGTCTACTCAATGAGTAGTACTCATGCATGTTACATTTTGCAATTGAGTTTTGATAGCTACTCCAACTTAGCCACATTAATATCGGTCTCTGTTTTCTTGGTAATAATTGTTGGTTTGTGTGGCAGAAATATGGACGGAGCAGCAGCGGCTCACGTGCGGATTGATCTGACCATTAGCCACTTTTTTGTTTTTGCAAAAAAGAAAAAGAAAACTGTTAAGAATATCATTTTGGACTATTTTTACAAGGAAGAATTAATTAGAGGCAGGATAAAAAAGAAAGACAGCATGGAAATTAAATTTGTTTGAGCTCGGAGGAAAATTGTTCGTGTTAGTTGTTTAACCATGATGTAGGATTGTTGCTTTACTAATTCGATTATACAAGCCACTTCTAAACCCGTGAATATTGGACCGTGTAGTAGCCCGCTGGGCTAAACTCGCATAAACATTGTAAATTCGTCGGGTGTTGTATAGTAATAGTATTGACAACATCGTTATAACGGTGATGCAAGACACTAATTGTGGACTAAAAAATTTCATCATGCAATATTAAGCGGTTCTAAAGCCGCACATTCAAAATAAAGCACCACTTAGGTTTTCATTAGCCAATTATTTAAAACCCAAAATAAAAAGTGTGGAGAGTCTTGGAGTGACACTGTAGTTAAGCACTAAGCTTTAGACATACTGGTTGAGGATTTCATCAACAGTAGTGTATTTGACATCAGGGTAAAGGTCAGAAGCTTCTACTCCAAAAGAAGGTTCGATTTCAAAGCTTGTGTGTCCCCCTTTCACGAAAACGCAGTGACAAAGGGATAGCATCACATTGAGTGGAGGCGAAGATTCTGCAGAAAAAAGGAAGAAAAAAAGCTAAACCCATCAATGGACATAGCTAAACAAAATTGGAAGAAGAAGAAGAAAAGGTTTAGGATCAAAACCTATGATCTGTTTGAGGAGTTGTTCTTCTGGAACGTAGATTCTTTCAAGTGTTTTGCCAATCTTGTTCTCCCAAAGCGAAACAAGATCGTTGAAGGAGTAAGTGTTCATTGGTGGCCTAACATATAAGATTTTGTTCAAAGTTCTTGGATCATCTACGGCATTGATTGTGTAAGTCGCGATGTCTTCTTCCTTGTTGAACACAGCTGCAAAATATTACCACAAATCAAACACACAAGAAGGGAGTAACTAGACAAGAAACTGCAGATGTTTCAGATAATTGAAACGTAGTATCCTTCGATCCATGTTATAAGGTTCTGACAAAGACTAACCATATCAGTCCGCGAGTTCTTAGAGAATTTGTATTAGTAAAAGAAAAGAAAGAGTTGTCTTACCTTTGAGGGTTCCATCACCTAAAACAATGACCTTATCCCGAGGAGCAGAAGTAGCCCCGGGCTGTGCCAGAGTTGGAAGAAAGTAGCCAGCGAAGAAGTTGCATGAGACATAAGTGTATGGGATTCCTTCGGCTTCAATTGTTCGCCGGATATTTGCCTTTGTAGCATAGGCTGACTTGGCGGGTTCGACAGTGTGAACACGGTCTACATCATTTCCAAACTCTGAGGGAAAGAATCTCTGCAGATGTGAATATGGTGCATCAGCTGTTGACGGTAATTAGTGGATACAACAATATCAGAGTCTATAAAAATTCTATGCTTGCACAGCATCCAAGTTCAATGATTCTATGAAGTATCACAGAAGAGACCAACACCAAAGCCATTGGTTGATATGTGGTGAAATCAAACAATTCAATACAGGAAATGACGACAAATTCATTTAGGGGTTCCAAATGTGAAATGAGACTAAGATTTATAGACAATTGGGGTTACCTTAACATTACCGGCTTCTTTAATGGCAGAGATGATCTTGTATTGATGTCCCAAGAGGGAGTGTCCAACCGTAGAGATGACCACATCCGCTTGCTTTATGGAATTCACGAGACTCGTATGATCGTCAAGATCTCCCTATCCAGTTTTAGTCAGTCATAATCAGCAATAACCATTAAAGGAAAGAGAAGAGCGTTAAGAGAGATAACGATACGAACGAGGAGAAACTGAACGCCGAGATTCTTGAAATTCTCGATGGTGATCGATCGTGAAGGGCTTGTGAGCGTCGAATTTCTAACGAGAACTAAGGTTGGGTGCCCAGATCTTGCGCTCGCTTCCACTATATATTTCCCTATGTAACCCGTTCCTCCGATGAACAGGATTTTGCTCTTACTCGTCATTTTTATGCTCGGAGAGAGACACAGAGACAATAAGCACAGTGGCGGGTAACAACGGAGTGGTTCACAGATGAAAGAAGAGAATTATGATCCCAAAATTGCGGCTTTTTATAAATAGTATGAACCCACTCTGAGAGAGAGAGAAGCGGCTTATTATAATGACAATAATACCCTCTGTAGTCAACACTTGAGCTACTTTTTTTAGTCAAAATTTTCTTTGAGACGTGGGCCATTATCCTAATAGTTGTAATAATGTTTTTTATTGGGCCATCGTAAAGGCCCATGTATTAATTGTATAATAAAACGAAGCGTTTTTCTAATAATAGCTGATTACTACTATCTAAACAAGTCTAGAACCGCCTCTTCTGGTTTAGGAGGAGAAGAAGAAGAAAGAAGTGAAAGATCTCGTGGAGGTAAAGTTTAATCATGAAGGTCTTCTTGTTCTTCGATTTCTTTCCTTGCTTGTAGTTAGGTGGAAATATATAAACGGATAATTAATGGTGATGTTTAGGAATGGAAAGAATCATCTCTTCAATGTACTTTTTGTTTAGCGGACATATAAGTTTCCAATTTTTGCGTGGAGTATTTGTTTAGGGTTCTTCATTCCTGTTTGGCATTTGATCGAATACTTGGTGGATATCTTTCTTATTCTACCAAAAACGTTGTGGAATTTGTTGTCTTGGATGCTCTGAGTTTCGGTTTTGTTCTAGCTGCATCTCTGTGTTTCGATCAAATACTATCTATGTGAAGGTTTTGTGCTTGTGAAAATCTCCTCGGAGGTCTTTGGTCTTGTGATTTTTTCTTTTCTTACTTCTTCTCAAGTAATGAATGTGCATAACTAACTGTTCTTGGTTGCTCTGTGTTTTACTAGGGTTCATTCTTGTTCAAGTATTTACAGGCAGGAACAAATGGAGACCCAGAAAAATCAAGCCGAAATCCCTCCGAAACCGGCCATGACTTCATGTAGGAAGAAGGTAAAGGATGATGCCACTTTCTTTGAGGACGTCAAAGATCACATTGATGACTTCATACATGCCTCCATGGATGAACACAAGACCTGTTTCCAGAAGACCATCAAGAAGGTTATCTCTCAATTCTCTTATAGTTTATATTTAGTCCTCATAGAGGAGATTGTTCAATACATTTGCTACAGTTTGTGATTTCTGGCTTCAAGCAATATGCTTTTTGCAGCTTCATTTGTTGATCATCTGTCTCCTAACTAGGCTTATGTGGGTTGATTTCAGATGTTTGGATTATCAAAGGCGGTCGCAGAGAAGCAAGCTGAGGAGGCAAAGGGAGTCGAGAGTCAATTGCCTCTTCAGACGACAGTGTCAGAGTAAAGACTAGGTTCTTTCCAGCTGGGTTTGATGTCGTTTCTCTTGTTTAAAATCACATCCAAGTTTCTTTGTAAATTAACTTTTCTGACCTAAGAAACCAGATTAAAATTCAAACATTCCAAATGTTATTGGTTTGATCTTTGTCAAACAGCTGGTAACATAGTAGCTATTGATCATACAATATACTTGCATAATGCATACATAAGACTCGTACAACAAAGAAACAAGAGAAATAAATTGCATAACTTAGCCCATAGATCCAAAAAGATATCTATATTAGGTTCTGGATACCAACATCCAATAAAGCCTAGTATGTTGTTTGTTTCTTCTTGAACAGACCAAGCTGCTCCGGTACACGTTTACAGATTTTCAAGCTTGAAGCTGCAACATACAAGAACATGATTTATAAATTCCCCATGTTAATAAATATACCATCAAACTTAATCTAAGTAGGAAAGTATCTGAATGCCATTGTTACAAAACATACCAGAAAAGCATCAATCAAATATTCACTTATGAATTCATCACAAAGCCAAGGACATTGGAGCCAGAAGCATACCTTTATCAAACAGTTACAGCTAGACATCGTACAATGGTGGAAGGTTCTTTCAAGGTAATCACGATATTAGACCACAGAACCGTCCCCCAAATCTTTCCTCCTTCTCTCCTTTCCAATCTGATCTCCGTGCAACATATTTGGGTTGAACCCTTCTCAAGGTTAAACATAATTGCAAGATTTCCACCGAGATTCGACATTCTAGAACCATCACGCTTGTCAGGAAGATCGTCGAGACCCTTCAAACGATCCCAAACCATGGCAATTGGATCAAACACCCATATTCTATTCTTGCTACCAAAAGTGTAAATCCTGCCATCAATGACGCAAGAACCAACACTCCATTGTGTGTCCAACAACTCATCAGTCTCCACTCTACCTTCTTTAGGATCGTAAACAAAGCTATTCTTCCGATCCATAATGTAAATCTTACCATCTATGGCAAAACTTCTGATGGTTAAGTCATGCATTTCCACATTATGAACACCCAAAACAGACTCCCAAGTTTGAGTCTTTAGATCAAAAGCCTCAACCCAATTCACAGACTGAGGGTTACAACCTCCGATTACATACAATTTCCCGTCAACGAATCCCACGGCGGCACAGCCACGTGCCTGCTTCATGCAAGGGAGGAGACGACACGTGTGAGATGGACATTCGACAACAAACCCAGTGGAGACCAATTCGTCATCGATGCATCCACCAAGGACGTAAATTTCAGATTCAATAGCGACAATTGACATCCCCCAGCAAGGAATCGAAGGAAACGACGGAATCGGAACCAATCTATGGTTAATTGAATCATTTCCAAAGGGTTTGAAATTGAGAGTGTACCATCGAGGAGTTTCCGTAGCGTGAGATCTAAGCACAACATAAAGGACACGCTCGGTGCGGCGAAGTAATGATCTTTCGACGTAGATCTCCGGCGAAGCGATGAGACGCCTGAAGGTCTTGGAGACGAGTGAAATCACCGGGTAGTAACATCTCGGCAAGCGTGCTAAGCAATTCAGAATGATTTCATCTGGAAGTAGTAACAGAGACGATGAAGAAGACGGTGCCAGATCAAGCTGTTTCTTTGGCGGCGGTTCTTCGGCGATTGAGCTTACGGAGTTCGAACTCGCGACCGAATAAGGCATAACCGCTCCGCCGCTGCTATGAAATGTCAATCGCGAAAGCAAAAAATACTTTCCCGTTTTTTATTATCTTTAATCACCTAAATGGGCTTATTAGATTAGGCCCATATATTTATATTACGCCTCAATGTGTAATTTTATAAGGTCTCTTTTATTCTTTCCCGCTTTTATTATCTTTATTTAATCACCCAAATGGGCTTAGGCCCATATTTTCTAAATTAGGCCTCAATTTTATAAGGTCTCTTTTTTGCAAGCATCAAAATTTCCCGCCATGTCTGTATTGAAACAAGTTTTCGTTTTAAAATCCCCAATTTAGAAACCCTAGCGGTTCGTGGATTTTGTTGAACCAAAGCTCGCGATTACTAATGGCAGATTTTTGGAGGTAGGTATTTCCAGCTTTGTTTTTTCCGCTATAGTTATTAATACTAAGACCACGATTCATGATGATGTTGAACTTTTCATTACAAAGAACCTTAATACTAAAATTGGAGATTCGAAAGATATTGATTCTTCAAATTTAGCGTTAAGCTTATGTCATAATTAATAATTCGCCATTGAATGCTTAAAGAGAAAAATCGATAGGTGTGTCCTCTTTTATTCTCGATGGTTTTTTATTCACTGCAGCCTCATGTTTCTCATCCTGCATACACAAAGTATATATTAATCAAATTGGTGGTTTTGTATTCTTAATTATAGCATAATGTGTCTTATTTAGGACATTACACGTACCTTTTTTCCTCCTGACTAAGCCTGCCATTGGTGCAGCCTCCACTAGTTCTGTAGTTTGGGAATGGAACATGACCGTTCTCTATGTTGTTGATATCTTGCACTAGGAGTTCGTAGTGTCTCTTTACCTCCTCTGTTGTTTTTCCACCCACGACTTTTGCTACATTTTGCCAACGGTTAGGAGTGTCCTGGTCATAGGTTGCTAGAGCCTGCTCAAAGGCTTTGTTCTGCTTAGCGGTCCACGAGCCAGAGCTGTGAGAAGACATTGAGCTTGATGCCATTGTTATATGACTTGTTAGAAAGAGATTTTTTAAGTATGGGGAGATTACGAGTCAAGAGGATGATATGTGCATATATGTTGCAGAATGCTTCCTATTTATAAAGAGATGTATAAGGTGATTTTAGGTAGTGCCATTCGTAGCAAATATCTTGCAAAAACGAAGAGAATTTTAAGTCATTGTCTCCATAGGAATCGACTAATGAGCAAAATGAGAATATCAGCAAATATTGTGGAGATCAGTATCTAAAGATCCCAACTAATCACTAATATTTGGTTCTAAGTTCTTTTTTTTCTTCCACATTTTGCATATGATGCTTAGGGTAATATTACCTATACGTGTTTTTACTGTTGTGATTACTTTCATGTCTTCTTGATTGAGTTAGAGAGGTGTTACGTCAGAGCAGGTTCTCACATTCAATTCTAGATTAAGCTTAGAAATAGCTTAGAAATTTAGCAAATTATTTGCCAGTCTTCATCTACTTTGTGAAATAACGTTTGGGAGAATTCCTTGTTATTTCTGGTATACATTCGATCACATTGACTATCAAGGTTTTTGGTATCAACTCTAAATGTTTTGAAAGGAGAACTTGTATCCAAAAAACAGTAAATGGAAAGTTCGCCATTAGCCATAGGTTCTCTTGAATTAAAGTCCTTGCAGGAAACTTTATTGTTGATTGGACATCAGGGATACTCTGTCTTGAACATCATATCAAGTTACAGAAGATAAACTTGTCCATACATGTGGAAAAGGTCAAGTCTCTTTGAAGTTTGGCAACCATGCTTTTCTTGGTCATCTATATTATTATTTGCATTTTGGTCTTCAATTGTTTAAAGTTTAAACAATCACTTTTCTTGGTGGATATTGAAATTTCTGTTGGTTTCTATTCTTTGGTGTCAAAGATTTGCAGCTTTGATTGCATTTAGTCATTAGTTGCGGTTACCTATTACTTCTTTATGTTGATGGTGAATTTTATATCCACTCTACATGAGAAACCAAGGATAAAGAAGATCGTTTTTTTTTTAATGCTTTTTACTGGTTATGTGGATTTTACTGTCTTTATTGTTTGTTTATCATGATCAACTAGGCACCTGGTTTGCTAAGATATATGTTCAGATAGATTATTTCCTGAAACTAATATATTCCTCTATCGGCCATATCAAGGTGTTATGGGTGATAGAAGACCATTCTTATCTCTTGAATTCATATCAGGTTAGGTATCATAAATCCTAAACTATACAAGTCTATAAATGTCATACTAAATGGTATTAACTTTAAGAACTAAATTGGTATGATTCATGCACGTAGATTTAGTCTATTTTCTTGATGTACACCAATTTGTGGCCTTACAAGATATTTGCATTTGTGGTACAAATTTTACCACAAGGTTTAGGTTTTATTCCTTGCTAGATATTGCTGAGAACTCAAGAGACTGCCATGGTTTTGGGATAGGGGATAAACTACTTTACAAGAAAGAAAAGTGAAAAAGAATCTTAATCATGAGACTGGTGGCACAATATATTCTGGAGATATAGCTGCTAGTTGCTATGGGATTCTGCAAGTAGGCATCCACGATATATGTTCTCATCATCGGTTTCTTTCTTACATAGGTGTTAAAATGGTAGAAAATACACATCCCCACATTTAGCTTTAAGCTTCGTGTAATCTCTTGAGCTGTGAGATATTAGTTTTTTTCAGTAACATCTGAATTGGTTGTTACGCAATATGGATTCGCTGCATCTTTACTTTTGTGACATGAAGAGTTACATAGGGTAAGATTTGGTGGATTTGATTCCATATCTCCAGTTTCAAGTTGCATTTCCTATAGCAAAGGTACTGGCCATTTATGAAACACGTTTCCTAGCTGGTGATGATTGGTGTAAATTGTCACAGTAGCTTTCCAAGAATATGTGGGAAAAAGAAAGGAAAGGAGAAGCATTTTCTTGCAAAACACCAAGTATTATATTCCTCACCTAGTGGTTGCTCCTTTTGCAACTTGAGGAACTAAATCCTCATGTATTCTTTAGTTCCTTTGTAGACTTGGTTGTTGTAGCTCAATTATTAATATGGGGTTACTAATATTATAGTCGTAAGAGGCAAAATTTTGGCCTAGTACTAAGGCTGATGCTATGCTATAATATAATAATTTGAAAAATTAGAACACTTTGAAGTTTGTTTCGGTAATCTTTGCAATCTTTGATCATAAAAACTTAGAATTCTTTGTTAACAAATGCTACGTTAGATTTTTATCACAAACGGTGCAGACTGTTGTTGTCACTTGGAGAATGAGTAAACAGAGCATTGCTCGACAAGCCTCTACACATTTGTCAAGAGACAAAAAAAAATGCACGATTTATAGCATTGTCCAAATTTTCGGTTCGGAGCTGCTTTGAGTTTAAAATAGTAAATATAGAATCATAAAATTAAACTTGATATGATTTCATTAGTGTTTAATGATCATTTTATGGATTAGGGTATAAAGGAGAAAATCATGTTTCCTTCAAATTTTTTCCTTGAGCTGACTGGGTCTCTTTTTTTTTTTACTTTCCGAAATGTATTACTGAGCTGGCGCCCGGAAGCAATTATTGGCCGGTTTAAGAAGCAATTATTGGCCGGTTTAAGAAAAGTAACGGAAGGAGAATATTGAGAAAATGTCTCATAACTCCCCTTTTGTAAATCATAAACCTCTTATATCCTTTTTATGTCTACATATCCCCTTCCCAATTAATGAAATGTGATCTGACGATTTTACCCTTTCTTTTTCTTTTTCCCTCATTTTAATTAATTAATTTTGTGAAATGAAAAAAAAAAAAAAAAACGTGAGAACGCGGAGAAGAACGCGAGCTCGAGCTCTCCTCGCCGGAAAATTCGATTTGAGTCGCCATTGCAGCCGTATCCTCTCCTCCGGCGAGCTGCGTCGAGATAGAGAGAAAAGGTATGTTGTTCGAGCTGCATAGAGTTTCAAATTGAAGTTTTTGATTTAGAAATGTAGGAGATTCAATTCAATTAGATTTGAGATTAAGCAAATTGTGTTTGGATATGCACATTGGAAGTTTATGCATAGTTTCTGGGTCGAATAGGTCTGTAAATGGGTAAGAAATGGATTACAGCAACTGAATCATAGTGAATTGTAGTTTTGAACCCGAAACCATTCGATTTGAGTTCTTGTCGCGAAAGTACAACTGGTAGAACTGGGTAGAATTGTACCTGAATCTATTGAAAAATATATACGTAGTATTACTGGTTATATTAGTATTACCTAGATGTATGTAGTATGACTAGTTACACTAGTATTACCCATTTACATGTAGTATCACCAGTTACACTAGTATTACCCATTTACATGTAGTATGACTAGTTATACTAGTATTACCCTGAATTGTAGTACAACTAGTACAACTAGTATAACTGACAGAGTTTTTGTATTGTTTTTGCAGGATACAATGATGGAGAACGTGATCATATATTTTAAATGCAAAGGTCGCATGTATAGCTTGATGATGAATACATCGGAGGGGAAAATAACGCTCTCCATGTTAGAAGGTAGGATATGCACGAAGCTTGGATTAGATGAAAGTAAGGTTAAATTGCAAATGAGATACAATGCTGTGCTGATGGGACCAACTGAAGAGATTTACATTAGTGATGATGAGGATGTAGGTGTCTATATATCTTCAGGTGAAAATTACCGTAGATATGTTTTGAATGTGGACGTCATCACTCCACCAGAATTGCCCGAGCAACTGTCGAGAGTGGAGCTCCTCAATAAAAGTTCTGTTGGTAAGAACTATGTGGAATTGGATTCAAATGAGGATGAAATGAGAGATAGTGCTGCCATCGTTTTGTGCGAATGCGAGGAGGAACAAGGAATAGTACCAAATGAGGCAATAATGGAGGTTGATGATACTCAAGATCCTGAGATTGGATCACGTGATGAATCTATGGATAGATGTGATGATAGGGGTGATGAATACGTTGAGCCACCGCCTGTTGTAGAAGCTGGTCAGTTTAAAAAAGAATGGGAAGACGGTATTGGACTGATCCCGGATAAGTCACAGTGGGATATCCCAGATGAGATCAAAGCGTTGAAGGTATTACCTCTGCCTCGTAAAAAGAAGAAGGGTAGAACAAAAGTATTGAGGCTTCCATCCACCGGGGAAAGGCGTCCAAAACGTCAAAGGACTCAAAACAAAAGGAGGCCGAGGCAATCGCTGCAATGGTTGTTATTTGGCAACCATAGTATTTGATTTTATCTGAACTTGATGATTTGTAAACCATATTTGCGTTGTACAACTATGTAACACTAGATTTGCCTCCTGTAATACTAGGTTTTAATTCACTGGCGTAAGGGTAATACTAGTATAACAGGTATTACTAATGAAAAAATTAGGTAACACTGGTATAACTAGTATAACTACTGAAGAAAATTATGAAATTTGATATTTCTAATTTTTTCAACACCAACTATAACATAGACTATTAAGTGATAATAAACTCTTACAAATGATTTAAAACGAAGTAAGAATAGGGAAAAAAAAATATTTTCATGTAAGATTGTTTTATGAGACTACATCCAACATATTCCTTATACTTTTAAGCTCACTTTTGATATAAACTCCAATTTAGGATTGATATTTTACAATTTTATATATTTTTAACATTTTATTACATTAAACCTTTAGAATTCAATAATAATAGAGTTTCCTCAAGTGTACAACTAGATAAATCATTTTTAAGGATGTGTAATACTGGTTAAATTTGAAAACACCAAAAGTAAAACTATGTGGACAATTTGTACAACTGAAAACTAGGGTACAACTATGTTAAAAAAAACGGCGCACATGTCACAAAGACTGCGCACACGTGGATTTGACTGCGCACACGTGGGTTTGAGTGCGCACACGTGGGCATATAATTCCAATTTCTCCCCCCAAATTTTTTTTCCCTCCAATTTTTCCCCCCAAAATCAATTAAACCCAAAATCAACAAAAACAAATAACTAAAATTCTTTTTTTCTCCACTTCTAATTCACAATCGAGACTTCTCCTCTCTCTCTCTATCTCTCAATTTACTCTCTCTCTCTCTCCAAGCTCAAGAAAATGAGATCCAACTTTTTCCTTCTCTTCAATCTTTCTCTCTTTTTCAATTATGGATCGATTGTGTGAGAGAGATCCATGGTATGATGAGATGAAGAACGCTAAGAAGATTTATGATCAATTAGAAGAAGTCGGAATGATGGAAGGAATTCCGAATAGATGTCCTTGTGGTGGACGCATCCTCGACAAGATCTCTGAGAACGATGGTGACAAAGGGAAGAGATACTATCAATGCAACGTGTATAAGGTAAATAGATAGTATCATTATTGACCCGAAAGTAAAACTGGTAGAACTTGTTGAACTGGTAGATCTCTGAGAACCCAGATGTATGTAGTATTACTAGTTAGACTAGTATTACCCGTAAACATGTAGTATTACTAGCTACACTAGTATTACTCAGATGTATGTAGTATTACTAGTTACACTAGTATTACCCAGATGTATGTTGAATAATTGAACTCGATATAGAATTCTTGTACTGTAGAATGATGGTTTACACATTCGGAAACTTTGGGATAAAGCTATGGAAGAAGAGGTGACTAACTTAAGGGAGGAGGTTGATACCCATCACAAAAAGATTCAAAGCTTGGAGTACTATCAAGAAGAAATGCGTTCGGAGTTGAAAGGTAATGGTAAGGAGATCCAAAAACTGAAGGAGTTAGTCGCTCATCTAGCGGAGAAATGCGTTCGGAGTTAGTCGCTCACTAATGTATAAGCTTATTTTTTGCTTTGTAAGACTTGTCTATGCTTTGTAAGACTTTTCTATGATTTGTGAGACTTTCCTATGCTTTGTAAGCTTATTACCATTATCAGTATTACTAGTTTTACACGTATTCCTTAATTAGTAATACCAGTTTTACTAGTATTACCAGTATTACCATTATCAGTATTACTAGTTTTACCCGTATTTCTTAATTAGTAATAGCTGTTTTACCCGTATTCCTTAATTAAATTTATAAAACTAACTTAACAAATCCAAATTAAAATCCTAACAAGACAAATCCAAATTCAAATCCTAACATAACAAATCCAAAACAATTAACATAACAAATCCAAGTTCAAATCCAAACATTAAAGAGACAAATCAGTCAACCAAGCTGTCTCTTGCTCCGAGTCGTCATCTTGGTGACTTGTGGGTCTCTTGGCATGTGGAAGACGTGTTGAAAACTCGGATGATTCTCAAAAAATGCCCTCTCAGACTTGCTCATCGGAGGCTCCAACTCGTCGAATGTAGTCAACACTTCGTGAATATAGCACCGAGTTGATAGCTTGATTTTCTTCACATATTCTGAAGGCGGGAAATACATACTCAGCGGTGGTATTGCTATTGTTTCCTCGTCGATCTCCTGCAATAGAACAGACATTCATCCATATATCATTATTCTGCGAATAGTATTACGAGTATTACCAGTATTACCCTGAAAATATACACATAGTTGTACCCCAGTAATACCAGTTTCACCCAGAATTCAAACACATAGTTATACCCTAGTAATACCAGTATTACCCAGAAATCAAACATATAGTAATGCCCTAGTATTACCAGTTATACCCAGAATTCAAACACATAGTATTCCCAGTTCTACCAGTTATACCAATAACCATAGAATTCAAACACACATTATACCTCAGTTGCAATAGTTTTACCCTGTTCTACCAGTAGTACCCAGATATACACATAGTTTTACCTTGTTCTACCAGTTTCACACCATTCAAATACTTACCATCGCATTTTCCGGCTGATTTTCTGGCGCAATCTCATCCTCCTCATTATCATTCTCATCAGAGGAGGACTCTCCGCCCAAAGATCTACTACCATCATCATCGGAGGACTCCTCTCCTTCCTCATTCCCTTCTTCTTCTTTCTCTTCTTCTTTCTCTTCTTCTTCGCTCTCTTCTTCGCCACTCTCTTCTTCCTCATTCTTCTTTGAATTTTCTTCCTCATTCTTGTCAGACTCTTCTAAAACCGGACTTAATGTCTCTGGGACTTGTTGTTCTCCCTCAATTGCCGTCGGGGATGGCTCCTCCGTCGAGCCTGGCTCCACCGTCGTTGTGGTGGATGGCTCCACCGTCGGGGATGGCTCCTCCGTCGAGCCTGGCTCCACCGTCGTTGTGGTGGATGGCTCCACCGTCGGGGATGGCTCCTCCGTCGAGCCTGGCTCCACCGTTGCCTTTGTTAATCTCTTCCTCTTTAACCCTTTCTTTGGAGGCATTATCGGAGAGGTTTCGAAACGGGATACAAGAAACGAGAAAAGGAATCAATAAAGTTGGAAGATGATTTCGCAATCTCTCAACTACAGTTTCTGGGAAGATTTGAAGAGGAGAGGAAGTCGGAGCAAGAGAATCTCCAACGGTTAGGGTTTTCTCTTTGAATTGGGGATGAGTTTTCTCGTTTTCGATTTCAAAAACAAATCAAGAAATTTGGTGGGTTGAGAGAATGGATCGGGTCTGGTTCAAATAGATCCAAGTTTTAGCAGTAATATTGAGGTTTTGGTTGGGGTATATCAGTAATATCCATAGTTTTCGATTTAATTTTAAATAAAAATAAAATTGTGTTTTATTAGGGGAGATATGAGACGATGCTTGGACAAAAAGGGACTCACGAGACAATTTCTTGAGAATATTCGAGCAATATATTGTTTGTTGGACATTTCTATTCCCATTAAACAATGCTCACGATCGGCGCATACTTGTGTCTCTAAACAATAAAGTCGTGCAACGAGGGATCGGCGCATACTTGTGTCTCTAAACAATAGGTCAATAATAATTTTATAGTTAAAAATTAATACAGATTTTGTTTCAAAATAAATACAGATTTAGTACTTTGCACAAAAATTAATACAGATAGTTTCAAAATATAGGCCTGACGGTAATTCGGCTGTACGAAATTATAGGTTTGTTGAGTGTCGACAATGATATATTTCTTCTTTTTTTTTGGCAACAATGGAATATTTTTGGGGTGTTAATGGAAAATCTCAAATCTGGTTAAGAGGAAACCTTATAATTTAGTGAACAACACGCGAATTAACATTTCGTTCCAGACAAAGAAGACTTTAAACGATATGTTTCATCAAAAAAGTAAACCAAACGAACGATAACCAAACCAGAGACAAACGGTGACACAAAACCAAATCTAAACCAAAAACAGAGCGGCACGAAAGCCACACCATCTTTGATTACCAGCCACCTCCACCGCTTCCTCCGTAACTTCCACCGTCACCTCCTCCGTAGCCACCTCCCTCACGGCGACCACTACCACCACCGTATCCTCCTCCTCCTCGGCCACCACCGCCTCCACCAGATCCGTAACCTCCACTACGTCTCTCGTAACCACCACCTCCTCCTCCGTATCCGCCACCGCCTCCGCTGCGGTAACCACCGCCTCCGCCTCCACGGCCTCCTCCACCGCCGCTACCTCTTGACTGAGCCTCGTTCACGGTGATGGTACGTCCATCGAGCTCTTTTCCGTTCATCTCCTCAATCGCATCCCTCATGGCTTTCTCGTCCTTGAAAGTGACGAATCCAAATCCCCTTGACCTTCCGGTCTCGCGATCGTTAATGATCTGCAAACAAAATCAACCAAATCAAACAGATCAGCAAAAACAATCGTACAAGGAATATAAAAAAAGCAATGAAATAAAGCAAAAATCGATCGATCTCCGAGCTCATAAAAGCAGGAAGATGAACGTACCGATTGGAAAAATTAAGTAACAGTAACAAAGAACGAACGAGAGAGAAGATAGTAACAGTAATCGAATCAAGTAACAGAGAAACACAGATCGGAATCAGATCCGTCGAGAATCAGAATCATCGGAATCGGCTGGATCCGGGAGACCGATCTCTCGTGTAACAGACCTTAGAATCGAGAACGTCGCCGAATTGTGAGAAGGTCCTTTCTAGATCATGATCTTGGGTGGCCCAGGCAAGGCCGCCGACAAAGCACCGGTACTCAACTTCTGACATTTTTTTTTAGGGTTTCGAAATTTGAGAGAGAGAGACTTGTATGATTTGGGATGATAAGACGCAGCCTTAATTTATAGAAGAGGTGTGACGTAATAACCACTAGGGTTTGCTCAAAGATTTGGAGCTTTAATGGAATTTTAACTCTGATTAGGATGTCTGGTTAAATGGGTTAGTGGTTAGGCCCACATCATGTGAGCGTTTTGGAAAACTAATGATTTTTCTCCTCGTTTCGAGCAAAAAATATCTTTATTCTGTAATGACACTTTTATCCCTCGTCTCGTCTTTGTGTGATAGTAATTGGGCCTCATGTTTATATTGGCCCTATTTACTTTAATTGAAACAATTATAATTTCGGCCCAATGAATCTCCAGTTTTTAAAAGCTCAAAGCATCACCAACTGTGCATGCAAATGGTGTTTAATACAATTTGGATTTTTATCATCTGGTTGGGTTACCTCAGTCACAATGAAATTCACGATTTTTTGTTTACCTGATCTCGATTAGAAAAATTGCAAAATAACAAATTTACAGAGAAATTAGTAAACTCGCAATGTTTTTGAAATCACAAAGTGGTACGTAACTAGTATCGTACTCTACGGATGCTACATTGTTTAAAAGATCATTTACACATTAATAAAATGAAACGATGTGCAAAGTATGTCGATAATGTGCAATAGATTTATTTGTTTTGTCATTAATTATGACAATAATGCGAAATAGCTTATTATTTTCCGTGTATTGCATTATTACGTTTCTAAAAAACAAGCTTGAAAATTAACCCTCTTGACTCTTGCATAGACGTACAGTGATTGGATTATTTATCGGTCACACAATATGTGATATCCATAATTTACCATAGATTTTAGTGTTTTTCCTGTATAAATATTTTGGTATGTTATGTGATATTGAAATTAAAGCTAGATATGCAGATATGTAAACATATCAAATCGTTCAATGGAATTCAATTTTCAATCATTGAATATCTGGATACACTCAATCTCTACTAGAAATAGTTGCTGTCTGAATATTATTTTTTGACAGCCTGAATATTAATTGAATTGTTTTACATGTGTGTATAAATTATACCAAAATTAGACGGATGAAGCTATAGAGTAAATGTAATACAAAGTCAGTTAAATGGTTTAGAAGTATCTTGATTTAGATTTTTGTGCTGAAAATGCTGACTAAAGCGTGTAGAAGAGCTTTTTCAAAAAGAAATATGTCTAAGATAAAAAATTTTTGAAGTATTATACTGCACGTAATATGAAAAAGAATAGTAGACTTTTTTTATAAGAGGGACAATTATTTCATTTTTCTCATAACTAATTAGGGTATTTTTAGTCGTTTTAATACGAGGTAAAAAAAATGAACTAATAAAACTGTACTATCGTAGCTCCTAGGAATTTTATCATTTACTTTTTAAACTAGTAAAATGATGGTTATCATATTAAACGTAAACAGAATATTAAGTACAGTATTTAAAAAAAAAAAAAAAAAAATTTCAAATGAGTATTAGTTTAATAGTTCGATAAGCTGTCTTGGGCGGGATCGTTGAGAGTCAAACTTGTCAAAACTTGACTTTCAATTATGTGCGTCTCGGTGTCACGAGATCGAACCATAAATCTTGGGAACGTGCGAGTATACAACGAAAGAACCTCTCATCGGCCGAGTCACTTTTTTATTTTCATACACTTTCTTTTCTTTTCTTTTTGAATCGGCCGCTGTTCTTGACCAGTATGAAGCTATCTCTGTCCAGAACAGTTCTGTAAGAAGTTTTATATCAAATATTATAATATTGGTTTCGTATTATATTAGACTTTCCATCTTTCTCTCTCTAAATCTAGGACAAAAAAACATGGAAGAGTTAGAGAGAGAGGGAGAGGCAGCAGAAAATGATTGATAACCAACAATGAATGGTTTTGATTCTGAAGTGCACAGAGAAAAATTAATTGCCAAGAAAGTCGCAGAGGTAACAGAGTGAAGAACCTTTTTTTTTTTTATCTTTTTTGAATAATCATAGAAAGTCACAAAAAGAAAGTTTCCTTTTTTGATCCGATTCGAAGGAAAACCAAAAAAAAAGATTTGATTATTTCCATAAATCGCGAAGATTCTTTCTAATTGAATCTTAGGCGATGAATGGCTTTTAAGTTTTTCGAATTACTAGTCATCAGGGTTTAGAGAAACCATGGTGGTTCTGAAGAAGACATCCTTGCTGGTCTTCTTCTTCTTCTTTGTCTTGTTGTTAGAGTCAACGTTCGAGCAACAGACAAGTTCTCTGGATGAGAAATCGGCGCTTCTGTTGTTAAGGTCTTCTCTTGGGTTAAGGAGCAGAGATTGGCCTGTGAGAGGCAATCCTTGTCTGAACTGGAACGGCATAGAATGTGATCAGAAAGGTAGAGTAATTAAGGTCAACATTTCAGGGTTCAGAAGGACTAGGCTTGGGAATCGAAACCCGCAATTCTCAGTTGATTCGCTTGTCAATCTCACCCGTTTGGCTTCCTTCAATGCCTCAAGGTTCTCTCTTCCAGGTCCAATCCCGGTTTTGTTCGGATCGAGTCTGTTGACTTTAGAGGTTTTGGACCTTAGCTCTTGTTCAATCACAGGAACAATCCCTGAAAGTTTGACTCGGTTAACACACCTCAAAGTTCTTGATCTTTCAAAGAATGCAATCAATGGGGATATTCCTCTGTCTCTTACCTCTCTTCGGAATTTATCAATCCTTGATCTTTCCTCAAACTCGGTGTTTGGTTTGATTCCTGCTAATATTGGGGCACTCTCAAAGCTCCAGCATCTCAATCTTTCGCGTAACACCTTGTATTCTTCAATACCTCCATCACTCGGAGACCTTTCTGCTTTAGTCGACCTTGATCTCAGCTTCAACGACCTGTCAGGTTCGGTTCCATCCGATTTGAAAGGGCTAAGGAACTTACAGACACTTGTAATTGCGGGAAATAGCCTTTCAGGATCCCTACCTCCTGATCTGTTCAGTTTCCTGAGTAAACTTCATATTGTTGACTTCAGAGGCAGTGGTTTCATAGGCGCTTTACCGTCCAGGTTATGGTTGTTACCGGAGCTGAAGTTTCTAGATCTTTCTGGAAATCACTTCTCTGACATGCTGCCTAATACCACTGTCAGTTTTGATTCTACTGTCTCCATGCTTAACATATCCGGGAACATGTTTTACGGTAATCTCACACTTTTACTGAGAAGGTTCCAAGTTGTTGATCTGTCAGAAAACTATTTTGAAGGTAAAGTTCCTGACTTTGTGCCAACCAATGCTTCATTGAGCAACAATTGTCTTCAGGGCCCAGCGAACCAGCGGAAATCGTCGGATTGCGCTTCCTTTTATTCCAACAAGGGCTTAACTTTCAACAATTCCGGACCTCCTGAAGAAAAGAAGAGTCCTAAATCTTCCTGGTTAAGCCACACGAAAATAGTTATACTTGCTGCAGTTGGAGGGTCTATATTGCTAATGCTCATTCTCATAGTGTTACCTATAACAGTGAGTTTCTGTGTCCGTCGAAGAAACAGAACATCAACAAGTAATCATCCTAGAGGGAGACACAACGGAGTTGGCCCATTGCCTCCTGATGAAACACTTCCCTCAAGAGGAGGAGTCTCTATAAACTTTGGGAGTCTTGGATCATCATTTAACTATCAGCAGCTGCTCAATGCCACCAAGGATTTCAGTGATTCGAACCTGATCAAGAAAGGACATTCGGGGGATCTTTTCAAGGGCGTTCTAGAAAACGGAGTTCAAATCGTTGTAAAAAGAATCAGCTTGGAATCTACAAAGAACAACGAAGCATATCTTACCGAGTTGGATTTCTTCAGCCGGTTTGCGCATCCAAGAATAGTCCCATTCGTAGGGAAGAGCTTAGAGAGCACAACCCATAAGTTCTTGGTGTACAAATACATGCTGAATAGAGATTTACCAAGCTCATTGTTCTATAAATCCAATTCCCTAGTTGACAACGGATTGAGATCTCTCGATTGGATCACCAGACTGAAAATAGCACTGGGAGTAGCAGAGGGACTTGCTTATCTGCACCATGATTGCTCACCATCTGTCGTCCACAGGTATGAAAAATCATCCCTTTTACTGTTTTTCACTTTCAAGCCACCATTAGTTCATCACTGATCTTGAGTCTTCCAATGTAAATGTCTTAAAAAAAAAGGGATGTTCAAGCGAGCAGCATTCTCTTGGATGATAAGTTTGAAGTTAGGCTTGGGAGCTTTAGCAAAGCTTGTCATCAAGAAAACAATGGCCGTCCACGGAAAATAGCCCGGTTGCTCAGACTATCCCAGTAAGTGTCTCTGATTCATCATTTACCCAAATTTTGGATTAAACATCTAACAACAAGCTTGCTACTGTTTTCCCTCTTCAGATCTTCTCAAGAAAGTGTTCCTGGTGCGTTTATCTTCAAATGTTAAAGAATCAGATTCATAAAAACCTCTAATCTCTTAAATGTTCTAACAATCCCTAAAATTCCAGGGTCTCCAGCTACAGCAACATGTGCATACGATGTGTACTGCTTCGGCAAAATACTTGTGGAGCTAATCACAGGAAAACTCGGAATCAGCTCATGCCAGGATACCCAATTCAAGAAAATCCTAACCGAGATCATGCCTTACATTTCATCACAACAGAAAGAACCCGTAATGAACATTCTAGACCAATCTCTTCTGGTCGACGAAGACCTCTTAGAAGAAGTCTGGGCAATGGCAATCGTCGCAAGATCTTGTCTCAACCCTAAACCAACGAGACGGCCGCTTATGAGACACATAGTACAAGCCCTCGAGAATCCACTGAGGGTCGTGAGAGAAGACAGCAGCGAATCTGAGAGATTCCGTACGACGGGATCTTCGAGAGGATCTTCGAGTAGCGGTCGAATTTTTGGTAGTTGGAGACAAAGCGTGTCTGATCCTGTCGCGGCGGGAACCAGTAGCCTTCTGTCTCAAGCGGAGGGTTTAGCGACGGGCTCGTCGACGCGAGAAAGTAGCCGTGGCGCGTCGAGTCGACCAAGTATGAAAGATGTATAGAAAGGAAGACACACACGATCAACATTTTTACCTTTTTTTCTTTTAATTTTTAATTTTTTTTTTGTGGTTATGATTTGATCTCTTGTTGATAAAAAATTCCCATAAATTTATAATCTTTTTAGATGATCAAACCAGACCTGTCTTTTGATCTTCTCTTGCAATTTAGGTTGTATTGGGGTACGAATTGAAAAATAGTATACGTTTGGGGCAATAATATAAAAACAAAAGTTTCTGTAGTACTGGATGAGGCTAATTGGGCTGCTTTACTATATCTAAGCATTTAGCGTCTTTGCACTTAATGGGCCTAAGAGCCCCCTTACTTATTTATTTAGCTACATTCTTTCTTATTGCATATATCGTTTTCTTGTCATAGTAAATACTTATGTTAAAAAAATCGCTACGCGCTCGGATCGGGCCTAGCGCCTAGCGAAGAAATCGGAGATTAATCGAGGATTAGTCGGGGATTCATTTTAGGGTTTTTTTTGTTTAAAACAATATATAAACTATGTTTAAAACAATATATAAAACAATATATAAACTATATTATAACCGTGGTCTAGTGATTTCCGACCAGGTGTTTACTTCTTGTCAAGGGTTCAATACCCGACCAACACACCATCATTCATTTTTTTTTTAAAAGAGGGTAAAACTGTAATTTCTTGTATCATCTTCTTTAAGAGATTCAACTGTGAAACCCTAATCTACGACGGCCATGAATGCTTTTTAACAAAATCAATCATTTTAATGTGTTTTTGTTGACCAAAAGTTTATAGATCTAACACATCCTAACTTAATCCAAACTTATAAAAGAAAAAAAACAGAATTTTTCTTAACAAATCCGATTATTTAACCGATTATACAAAAATCCCGGCGGTAAGATGCCGCCGAGCGACTAGCCGCCGTGGAATCGGCCAATTTGGCCGAGTTTTTGAACGGGGGTTAATACCAATACGAAGCAAACACAAACTTTTTCTTTCAAAACCAATACTAAATGAATATTAAAAAAAATGACAAGCCAGATTGCAATTGAGTCGAGTGTACACGCGTTTAAGAGGGAAAGGTCAAGTCAAGTAACTACAGCATCTTGAATCAAAATATCACTCAGATTCCAATTCGGCAGATCGGATTCCGTTTAATAAGATCGAGATCCACCTGCGACGAATAATGACACATGGTTTGAGTATATATGGCAATAGAACCAAGGAAATATGTATACTTTATACAAAGATATCAGAATAAGTGATGATCTTGTGCTTACCTTGTGTCCAAACAAATCTCGGATGTTGTCGATACCATATAATATCATTGTTGGTCTAGTTTATGAACAAAAACCAAGAAAGAATCAGCAACGACCCTGAGATGTTGAAGGAGAATAAAAAGTCGTACCTTTCAAGAGAAAGACCCCAAGCGATGACTCTAACATCCTCGGGGAGACCCATTGGTAGAAGCATTTCGGGTCTGAACATTCCAGAGTTTCCAATCTCTACCCACTTCCCTAAACCTTCATGGTAGCTGACATCCAGGAACAGGTAAAGTTTTACTTTTTGTCTCTGTTTTAAGCAATTTAGATGATTATATTTTTTTTAACCAATTACCTGAAAATCTCCATGCTTGGTTCTGTGTAAGGGTTGTAAGCTGGCTTGAAACGCAGTTTCGACATCCCTGAAAAGCATGATCGCGTAAAGAGTTAACTTTTTCTCTCTCGAGCCTGAGCGAACCAAAGGAAAGATTCAATCAAACTTAAGGATAAGTTTACCTAAGCGTGAGAAGAAGTCTTTTAATACGCCAATCAGGTCTCCAAGTGTAAGGCCCCGATCACATATCAAACCTGATCCAAGTGTGAGATCATTCAACTCATTGAAAATAAAGTTTGACAAAAGATTATGCTAACTTTAATACAACTCCCAACTGTGACAAATCTGAGCATTAGAACTATACCTTCAATTTGATGGAACTCTGCAAGGTGGGTCCGATCAACAGCCTCGTTTCTGAAGACACGGTCAATCGAAAAGTACTTCTTGGGCACAAAAGGTTTCTACAGTAAGATAGAAATCTAATTATACTACTGAATTTTGGAAACTAACGTCTCAAAACCTGTCAGCTAAAGTCTCATTGAACCTGTGCTAGTGCATAAAGCATCCTAGATGAGACAGCCGTTGTGTGAGTACGAAGAAGATTCTTGTTTGCTTCTTCTCTTTTCCAATCATAATTATACCTTTAATGCAAAAGGCCATGTCAGAGTGATTGCAAATTAATTATCATTAATCCAAGGGGATAAGAAGATACAAGTCAATTACCCTCTTGATCCATAACCACCAGACTCATGAACACGTTTCACCCTCTCAACATAATCTTCCGGAAGTGTCCTTGTAGTAGAAGGAACTACATTCAAAGATTTACGCCTTAAAATTAAGAGATATATTCTTTGAGATGTCAACAAGTAACCTAGAAAAATCTGTCCCAAACAACAAATTTAGTGACGAAGCATTCAAGATTTGAACCTTTTAGAAAGAAGGTATCATGAGAATCACGAGCAGGGTGCTGCTGAGGCTGGAACAAAGCATCAAAATTCCAGAAGCTGTAGCGTATAGGAAACAGGTTAAGATCAGCCAACAAGCAGCAAGAAAAAAATGTATATTTAGATATCCTTAAAGCCTCCATGAAAAGCTGAACCCCAAGATTCTGTAATAATAAGACGATACCTGCTCTCCACAAAGTTGTTTGTTGGCATCTCCTCAAACCTGTGACCACATAAGGCTCACCATTAATTTTGGCAATCAACAAAATGGGGAAATTACAATATATGCGTAGAGTCTCTCTCACCCCATCTGAACAAATATGTCTTTAAACTGCTTCCGCACCTAAGGAACAAGAAAAGTAAAATAAACAAAAACTTAAGAGGTTTGTTAAAGAAATGGTTACCCAAATCCGGCACAACAATAGAAAAGATAACCACTAATAAACAATATATACACTTGAGCTATACCAAGCACCAAGCTTACTCTAAAGGGATACAACAAGTTTATTTTTTGTGCCAGCTTACCTTGAGAAGGGCATGAAGATGCCCAGCCTCAAGAGGCGCTCCTTTAGCTTCAAAGTTATACTCCTTAAACTCTAACTCTTTCCAGCTGCAAATACAGCAATTTCCTATCTTAATTGCATATCCAAACTACACTACCATCAAAAAGTTGAGAAAAGGCAAGGAATAGGACGAACTTTTGAAGATTTTCTCGAGTCAAATCGGTAGCCACTTTCTTTCTCTCGGGAGCATAATTAGGACCTTTCTTTACGGAATACCCCTTCCATATCCTGAGAAGTAGTAAGGATATCAGCTATTGATAATGATGTCTCCCAAAAGGAACGAAACATAAAAGAAACGTGAATTTAATTACTGTGGTACGATTAGTTTTCTGGCTTTAAGAGAATTGATACTGTCTTTGTCAGATTCCTGAAGGGGTGAAAGAGACACGTCAAATTAATATCAACTATTAAGGCATATACAACAAACGAACTCTCTACAGAAATAGTATAGCACAAACCTTCCCTTCTTGTATTTGTAAAAGCTGGCCTTTCACTTTATCTTCCACATGTTTAACCTACACTAAAATGGTTCAGATTGATGCAGACTAAACAAACTAAAATGTGACTGCGTGTGACATAGGTTAAACTGATTTGTACACTAGAAAACATCCAAAAAAGGAGATAGTAAACAGAGAGTAAACGATTTCAGAAAAATCTACTTGCTTACCTTCCTCGAAACTTGCTTTCCCATTTCCACCCACTTGTTTTTACCAGCTTGTGAACAGCCGATCTTGAAGACTGAAGGAGCTAGCTTTTTCTGAAATAGCAAGAATTTTACAGCCGTTATTTTAGCATGACTAAACAAATCCAACCATATATACATCTACATATCCACAACAATCACCTGGAGCTCATCTTTTGATATGCTGCCTTCTTCCGGCACAGCTAAAAAAAGTTGTACCTCTGGTGACCCTTCTGCTGCATATTTCTTCCCTTCATCAGTCAGAACCCATGTCTCCTTTTTAATGTCCTGCAGAGAATAGTCAACCCATGTTAATGACAATGCAAATCTAGTCCCCTAAACCTTGTTAATGATAGAAACTTATGGCATAATGTGATTCATCAGTGGCACTCAAGGAAAAAAGTACAAAACTTTCAACCAGATATCAAAACGTCTTAATCTAACACCCTAGACCCATAATCCAAACCCTTTATCGAATTTCTCTTTCTGCGCAGACCAAATTCAACCAGAGAAGGAATTGGATACAAGATTTAAGATTATAAATACGGGGAAGGACGAGTACCTGAACATCGATGTAACGAAAACCATGGAGACTTTTGATGACATTGACGACTTCGTTGTGGTCGAGGTTGAATTCAGCAGAAAATTGACCCGAATCCGTGATCTGTTCATTGTTCTGCAGGAACCCTAGTATCGCCTCTTCCGCCATAAATAAATCTCTTCAAGTTTTTTTAACAAAAGAGCCTTTGCCCTACTCTTCTATATCCTCCGGTCAAACAGAGAGTGAGTAACGCCGCAGAATAGTATTTGCGTTAAATTGGAATTAAGGGTTTGACTTTAGAGTGCGTTTTTAATAGTCTCCAATTACTTTTGAAATTGCAACATAGACCCAAATATTTAAAAAAAAAACAAAACAAAAAAAAAGGGCTAAACAAACTTTCATTATTGTAAAATACTCCTAACGAATTAATGAACGAAAAAAAAAAGAAAAAAACAAATTCAATTTACATGCATGATCATAAGCCATTGCGTCAAACATTAGTAGCAAGAGCATGCTCTAATCGATTCATCTCATCGGTTATAAAGACAACCTCAGACCACTTAACCAACCCCCAAATCTCTCCTCGATGTTCTTTTTCAATAACAATTTCTTCACACCAAATTAGTTTCTTCCTATGGTTGTTAAGAATCATGTCCTCCTCCCACAAAAGAGCTATGTTTCCTCCATAATTCACCAATTTAGCACTTTTACCACGCGAATGCATAAACGACCTGCACATTAATCCTTTCAAATCTTTCCATATTTTTTTATAGGAGTCATACCATTGGAGCGACTCCGTTCAATAACGGTAGAACACGTTCTCTATCACACAATTAGGTGAGTCAAAAGATGCATGATTGAACATTAAGTGTGCCTCTCTCCATCTTCCTTTATGTATCTTGTAAGTCATGTCAGTCACATAATTCTCGTCTAAACAACTTACGTATACAGTTTCTTTATACACTACACTTTTGTATTTAAAACTTCTGCATATCTCTTCGCTAGGAATCTGCAAAAACTCCCATGTTTGGGTCTTCGTATCGAAAACCTCAATCCAATTTGTTGAATCGAGATTCTTGCAGCCTCCTATTACATATATTTTCCCATTAAGGACGCAAGTAGATGGGGAGTTGTCACGTGCCACGCGCATGCTTGGAGCCTCACGCCATGTATGAGAACGGCAGTCCATGACCATGACCTTAGACGATGCATTCTTATTCAAGTCTCGCCCACCAATAACATAGATATTACTATATTAGAATCAACCACCACAACACCCGACCTATAGTCAAAAGGAGAATAAGAAGATATAATTGGGACCAAAATTTTGGTGCAGCTGTTTATTTTTTGGCGGAGGGTGAACCAAATTCGTGTGTCAGTGTTATAGTTGGTACGGGGCAGTAAACACACATAAAGACCACTGCTAGTGCAACCTAAGAATGATCTGAGCTCTTGAAGATCCGTTGAGGCAATGAGAGACCGGAATTTCTTGGAAACGAAGGAAAGGCTCGGGTAATACACTTTGGAAACACGCTAAACAGTTTAATACCAAATTATCAGGAAGCATCGAAAACGTCATCTGTGATTCTTCTTCCTTCGACATTATCACACACTAGTGAGCAAAATCTTTATACCTTTTCGCTTCCACTCGATCTATAATAATAATAATACACATAGTATCTGGGATCAGGCTAACTGGATACCTCTGGAAAAAAAAAAAAAATTAAATAAATAATAATTAATCTCTTCTTTTCTCTTCTCTTTGTTTTCAATAATAATCTCGTCCTAAACCCACTGCCACTAATACAGTATATATACCCTCATAGTCATCAAGGATTTGGTCTCCAATTCCAAACCAGATTCTAAAAAATGGAAACTCGTATCCCTTGAAAAGTGGAAAAAACTATTTTTATTTTAAAAGGATTAAGTTTACAAATTGAACTGTTACGAATATATTGATTTTATCTAAAACTGATTCACACGGATGGTAATATTTTTTAGTTGACAAAACAAAAAACAAAAAAAAACTGGATGATAATATTTTCTTATGTTTATTTTTAATGAAAAAAAAAAAATCTAGGGAGGGTGATATTGATAAATTAAAAGTCAGAGGGCAAATTTGTGCTACTTCTTCGAAACTCAAGAAACGACGCCGTTTCTGTTGTAGGGTTAAGTGCTCTGTTCACTTGTCGTTCCCTCTCACTTGTATTTTCCTCCTCTCCTTTAGATTCCCATTCTAAGGAAAAAAAACTCAACTTTGTCTTGTGCAAAATCTTAAGATCAGAGATGGCGTCGTTTTGCAGATCAGCGTTAATGGCAGGTTCCAGAAACTTAGTATCAAGATCCAGAACCGTAACTCAAAAGTCCCTCAATCTTAAACCCACAACTACTTCATCTCCTTTCGCTTCAATGTCCCAATCCATCCCTCGCGCTTCAAGGTAAGTACTCATTTTTCAGCTGATTCAAGAAATTTAACACATTTCTTATTCGAACAAAGTAAATTTTAGAGAATACTCATGTTTTTAATCAGAAGCTTTCTCAATGCAATTGTGAAGGGTTCTCTCTGCTTTGGGAAGTGTTGAAACGATGATTCCACTTCACAGTGCCGTTGCTTCAGCTCGGCTCCGGTCAAGCATCGCTGCTGATTCCTCTTGTTGGAGCTTGCTTTCTCAGGGTTTGTTTTTCCCTCTCTTCCTTGCTGTTTTCTTGTACATTATCCTTAAATTTGTTGTCTTCCGGTGGATTGATTCTGTTTTCTGCTTTATCTATTGTGCATTTGGAAAGTTTTGAGGGTAAGATTGAACCTGAAGATTTATTCTTTAGTAAGCTAGAATCTCTCTTTTGAAATGGGATCAAAACTCTTAAAAGGATAGCAAGAGGTTAGATTAAGTTAGATGATATTCTTCAATACAAGCATGATTGTGGCAAGAGGTTTTTCATTAGTCTACACTCTTTAGATTCAAAGTGGTTTTTTTTAGCTCAAGCAATACTGCTTCAGATGTGAAAGACATGTTTTTTATAGTGAACAAAAGTTGGAAGGATTGTGTCTTCACTCGGTATAGTTTCGATTGGGACAAAGCCTGATAAAGATCAAAACTTTGACAGATTTTTAAAGAAAGGAATTGTTACTTCTCTGTCTTGTTGAGATGTCTAGTTGGTCTTAGATTATTTAGCTGCTTATTATGTTTTTCTAAAGCTTTGCTTCTCTGACTTGTGGTTTTTCTACTTAATGCGATAGGACTTGCCACGCCTTTGTGACCCCGGTCTGCTGGATCTATATAAGGCGAAAATAATCAAAATATTAGGACTTGCTTTCACACAATGAATGAACAAGAATAGTGTTATTTTCTAGTTCGAACTCTTTCGTCAATGTATTGTTGTGGTTCACAAGGATTTGTTGTTTCAAACTTCTTGCAATCTATCTATCGCTATTTGGATCCACACATTTTGGGGCCTTTTGCTGCACTCTAAACTCAGCATTTCTTTTCTTTGTTCATGATATCAAATTGTGTTCATGCAATTACAACTAGGAATCTCTGCATTTTTCGATTTCTGAATCTTGTTAGCTGATCCTCTTCCCATTTCTCTCGTCTCTTAGAACTGGGAGTTCCTCGGTGACACGATCATTAGCATTGGACCATTGGTCTTGATCTTGAAGCGTCCATGGGTTGATACTTGATACTGTACTGTTTAAGACTACTTGATGTGACCAGTTTTTGGACCGGTTTGCTCCGGTTTAGGACCAGATTGTTTCCCAATTTGGTTCATGCTATCTTGGTTCAGTTTTTTTGAGTATGGAAGGGGATATATACACATCTCAGATTATTAATCATCATATTTTAAGCATTCTAGTGAACACATAAGAATTATTCATTGCATTCTAACGAACATAATCAAACTGAAAACCCTACCAACTAATAATTGTGAATCCAAACTTTCTTGCAGTCTACTCTTAAACTCATTCTTGGTCACCAACTATGTATGTATGTAACTATAATATTGATATTTATGAACAATATACCAAACAAACATATTCGAGAGCCCCACATTCACCAGACAATTCGTCCAACGCCAATCTCGCCAGCCTTGAGCTTAAATTACCAAAGGGACAAAAAAAAGTTAAAGATGAAGAAAAAAATTGATTATATTTATAAACACTAAATTACTAGTTGAATTTAGTGGGAATTTGTTGATAATGCCACAATTATGAGTTTATATTTTAAAATGCCATTTCTGAAAACTGCTTTTTCAAAAAGCCATTTTTTACTTATGAATAATATTAAGAAAAATATACAAATAGGATTTCTTATACAAATATACATGATTCAGCCTTCCGTTACAAATAGTCGGAACAAAAATATGAATTTGCTCCATAATCTCTTTACCTTTGGCATTAATTAGTCATTTCATTTGAACGTCATTTCTGTTAAGTGAAGAGTAAAAGTCTAATACAAAAATTTGAAACGAAAAGTTAAATCGATTTTACTTTTGCCTTTGTGTCTCTGTGTATCCCCCACCACCTCCATATCTAGTTAACCGCGTAACGAGATGGACGGGCACAACTATATAGTCTATATTATAAGACATGTGTGTGTGTGTGCATGCCTATATAATATAGCTCATGTTCTTCTAATTCCTAACTCGAACAAGAAACAGTAAGAGAGAACTTATAATAGAAAAGGCTATATGGGGAATTGTGCACTAAAGCCAAAAGTTCTGTCAGAAACCGGAGCTCCGGCGCCGGAGGAGCTCAAGGATTCACTTCTTGAATACCATAAGATCGACGCTGCAAAATCTCTTAGCAACTTGTTCCTTCAAGTAAGCCACTACAAATTAAACACACCAACATAATGTAACACTGTTAGGATGCTATATTCTTGATTCTGTTATTTTTATGTCTCATTTGGAGTTTTGGTTAATAGGACAAGACAGAGAAGACAACGAAAGAAGACGAGAAGATCACACCAGAAAAAATGCCGGTAACTGAAGATCTGAAAACAGCTTTGGCGGAGGAAAAATCTCCGACTAAAGAGGCAAAATCTCCGGTAACAGAGACCAAATATGCGATAACAGAGACAAAAGCTCCGGCTGACGAGAATATAACTGAAAATCTGAAAACAGTTTTGGAGGAGGCAAAATCTCCGGCAACAGAGACAAAAACTCCTATTACCGAGACAAAAGCTCCGGTTGATGATCAGAAGGTGAAGAACGAAGAGGCCATTCGTAAAGAGAAAGTCATTGACGTTGTGACTGTGAAAGAGACCGGAACAGAGGCGAAAGCAGAGGAGGTGGGAAGAGAAGCAGCACAGTGAAACAGCCTTGAAACGCCAGTTTTTGCGTTCTTGATAGCAAAATGCTTGTTTTGGAATTTTGTTTAGATTTTATTTTTCCTCGATAGAAAACCGCAAACGCTGGATTCGTTATATGAATTGAAAACTTCAGATTTCCTTTAAACCGTTCCGTCAACCAAAATAAAAAAGTCCTAAGATTGTTAATTCATTTGAAACGCCAATTTTCTGCGACAGCGATTCATAGAGAATGCATGCATAAATGGGGGCCCGTTACAACACCTTCTAAACTTTTTGTTTGCATTCACACGGGCCGATATGGGCCGTAGTATTAAAATTTGTAAGCTTAGTGGGCCGGGCGATCGAGATCTACCGAGCGGGTAAGAACCGGATCGGAAATACGGGTCCGGATTTTGAGCATTAAATAGTGAAACAACTAACTCGACAAACCTTTTAATTGCAGCAATTTAAGAGGCCACCCAACTCTCGAGCCTAGACTTCTCAATTATACATGTAGCGAACAGCCAATTACATATAGACACGTGTACATAGTTTGTTGGTAGTTATAATAAACGCGGCCACTACTAACCACCACCGGTTCATGGACGACCGACCTACCAAAGTTAAAGTGAGTTCTTCAACAAATATGCAACCAAACGAAGAATTTTTGTTTAACATCAAATGTGTTTTTGTGAAACGTTCGATTAATATTTAGATTGGTGAACATATATATTTCGATTTATGGTATATCAAAGTCCAAAGCTGGATAATACTTGCACACTTCTTTGAACTGAATCTATTTTCTTATTTTTATTAAAAACAAAAAAAAAATCAAGAAAATGAATTCAGTCTTTTTTTTAATCTCAAAATGGATTAGTACACGATAACTTATGAGGAATCAAACGAAATCTTTGTAGATGCATGGTTTTATTTATTTCATATGATTCAATTATAAAGCTGATCACATAAGTGATGTGAAACGAGAATGAATGCATTAATTGTTATAGGGCGAGATAGGTAGTAATTCGAATTTTATCCACAACGTCCAACCGGATTGTGTTCCATAATGCTAATGACAAGAAGAAGAAGAAAAAAATCCACAACGTGGCATAGTCATATAGTCCAAAAATAGAGAAAGTGAAAAGGACATCTAAATTATACTATCTAACTATTTTTATCCATAGCTAATTTACATGCTTTTAAACCGTGAGAGTGTTATATTTCCGTCATAAATTCCCAGCAAATAATTCGGCCATGCAAGGAAATTCACAGGACGTTTAACTGGTGCTACCAGTCTTGTAGCTAATTTGGGTATTACGAAAAAATCTAGGACAGTAAATTCAGTCACGTGTCAACTATGACACAGTAGTTTTTTTTTTTTTCTTAATAGTGAATTTAACCGCATAAAACAAATTATGGCCATTTTGCTGTTAATTTTTATAAATGGTCATTTTCTAGTCAACAATAATTTATAATGTAATTTTGTTTTAAGATTTTTACCCTAAAATGGCATATCAGTCAACATTCATATATAGTATTATATCCAATGAATTAAATAACTTTCTTAATTTCATGCAATGAAAAAGTTAAGTATAGAAAAAAATCCTAGTCTCATAATTTACTGGTGAAAGCAATAAAAGGGTTATTAATATCTCTATCTACTCCTCTCATCTGTAAATGCCCATATATGCACCACTCCCTTGAGAGAATCACACAACATAAACCCCAATCTCTCACTCAGACAAAGACAGAGACAGAAACAATGGCGAAATCTCCAGAAACAGAGCATCCGAACAAAGTCTTTGGTTGGGGTGCTAGAGACAAATCCGGTGTTCTCTCTCCTTTTCACTTCTCTAGAAGGTTTCCTTACTTCTCATCATCTTCTCTTTTCATTATCTCCTTTGATAATTCTTTTCGTACTTGTTTCAACAAAAGATTTTGTCTAAATTTGGTCCGAGATCTATTATAAAGTTTTGCTGTTCTTTTGTCTGTCTCCGATAATTGGTCTAATTTTTGCAGAGACAATGGTGAAAATGATGTGACAGTGAAGATCTTGTTTTGTGGAGTTTGCCACACTGATTTACACACCATCAAAAATGACTGGGGATACACGTATTACCCAGTAGTTCCAGGGTAATATCGAAACAAAATTTCAAACAGAGATTTCGAATTAAACAAGTTTTCGATTATAGTAACAAAAACTTTTTCTATAATAAATCAGGCATGAAATCGTTGGGATCGCTACAAAAGTTGGTAAGAACGTGACTAAATTCAAAGAAGGAGATCGTGTCGGAGTAGGAGTGATCGCTGGTTCGTGCCAATCTTGCGAATCTTGTGACCAAGATCTTGAAAATTACTGTCCTCAAATGTCTTTCACATACAATGCGATTGCATCCGATGGAACCAAGAACTACGGTGGCTATTCGGAGAACATTGTGGTTGATCAACGGTTTGTTTTGCGGTTTCCTGAGAATTTACCAAGCGATTCGGGTGCGCCGTTGCTGTGTGCTGGAATCACTGTGTATAGTCCAATGAAGTATTATGGTATGACTGAGGCAGGGAAGCATTTGGGTGTTGCTGGACTTGGTGGGCTTGGTCATGTTGCTGTTAAGATTGGTAAAGCTTTTGGTTTGAAAGTTACTGTGATTAGTTCTTCTTCTAAGAAAGAAGAGGAAGCCATTAATCATCTTGGTGCTGATTCGTTTCTTGTCACATCTGATCCTCAGAAAATGAAGGTAACGAGAGTCATTTTAAACTAACTTGCTTCAATCCGGTTCAGTTTCAGAAAATAATTAAATAGAGTGACTTTATCTTGGTTTTGTTTTGTTTGGAACACTTAGGCTGCAATTGGAACAATGGACTACATTATCGACACAATATCAGCAGTACATGCTCTGTATCCGTTGCTCGGGTTACTCAAAGTCAACGGAAAGCTCATCGCTTTAGGCTTACCTGAGAAGCCTCTAGAGCTGCCAATGTTCCCTCTTGTTCTCGGTAAAAAACGGAACATAAGAAAACTTTTGTCTGCAAGATCTTATATTGAGTGTAACACAAGTTAACTTGACTTACTGTTTACAGGAAGGAAAATGGTGGGAGGAAGTGACGTGGGAGGGTTGAAGGAGACACAAGAAATGCTTGATTTCTGCGCTAAGCACAACATTACGGCTGATATTGAATTGATTAAGATGGATGAGATTAACTCTGCTATGGAGAGGCTTGCTAAGTCTGATGTTAGGTACAGGTTCGTGATCGACGTGGCTAACTCCTTGAGCCCTCCATGACTGAGCCGAATCTAAGAATCAACCATTGAGGAGGCTTTAAATCTATGTCATAATCTTGTGTTCGTGTCTCTCGTGTTATCTTCGTTTTCTGCTTTCTGTTTGAGAATCAGTTTCTTCTCAGACAAGTTACCTTATTTCTTTGTTTTCTTCTCATGTTCTGTTTCCTAAGAGAAACTCTTTCTTATTCGAGATATAAAACTTTGATCCATCTTTATTCTTTAGTTTGCTTAATAATATAAAATTGGGTCTCAAACCTAAATATAGCTTTAAACTCTTAAGAATCTCAATATGCAAAATCATTGGATTGAGATTTAAAATCCAACATATGAGTTTATTAATTAATATGGAAATTACAATCAAGCTATTTTGGGAGAAGGAGAAGGAGAAGAGTCGTCGGAGTTTGGATTCTGACAAAAGCCACGAAGGACATTGGCTTCCTCAGGCGTAAATCCGAGAGAAGTGAGCATTGCCGGCCAACAATTGGTAGTGATGATATCGACGGCTTCGCAACAACTAACACCAAGTTTTGTTTCACCGTTGAGGAAGAAGAGAACGATCTCATTGGTGCACGATTTCAGCTCGTATAATACGTTCCAGCATTCCATTAGCCCTCCACTTTGAAGCCTCGCCGCTATGTTGGTTGATGACTCCGCCGGGAGATCTCTGCCAGAGACGGTGGTGTTTAGGAAGAGGATGAGAAGTGTGACGGTGGAGAAAAGGAAAGTAGTGTGTGAAGACATTGGTGTAGTTTTTGTTTGGAGTTTTAGTGTGATAAGACTAGCTTGTGATGGTTTGGTATTTATAGCATGTTTATGGAATGATCTTTTGGGTTAGTGGAGATTAAAGAGTAATTAAAAAGTTTATTAGTGGGGGGGATAAGTGAAAGTAAATGATTAGTGGTGGATGGTGTGATTAAGAGTAATTACACAAAAATTAGTGAAGCGTCAAGCGTATTAGGCTTTTGGTGAAGAAGGCCAACGGACAATGAAATAATACGAAAGGTTGGATTTCAAAAATAAAAGGTTGGCTTTCAAAATATAAATTAATATCTGATGCAACCTAAACAACAAAAGTGGCTGTAGTTTAGTGGTAAGAATTCCACGTTGTGGCCGTGGAGACCTGGGCTCGAATCCCAGCAGCCACATTCATTTTTAGTAACTTTCTGAAAATAATATATTTTGGGCCTCCAAACTTAGTGGCCCACTATACTTCCTATTAGCCCATATATTGGTATCTATATATTTTGACTTAAATAAAAAAAAATTCTGGTTTTATTTCAGACTACATATAGCTACAACTTTTTTTTTCTGTGTGCAACTCGTTATGGCACTAATTTAACACATATTTTTCAATGTTCTCATTTTTCAATATTTTTAAAAAATGAAAATGGTAAATAATAAACGAGAGCAAATAAATGAACGAGAGCAAAAAAAAAAAAAAAAAGAGCAAATGAAATGAGAAAACAAGAGCCGAGAATAATTAAAGAAAAGAACGTAAAAGTGGTAAAAAATTAAAATAGAGTTCAATTAAAAACCCATACTACAACTCTATAACCTCGATTGGGTCTAGCTAGTTGGAACTTTGACTTTTGATGGCTCAATCATTCGGATTTAGGCCTAACCTTAATTAGTTAACTCCCATATGATTAGATGATCTAATTATAAATTAATCGGTAAAGGCACTTTTTATCATTGGAATTTTTGATTAAATAGCCTATACTAGTCGAGTAGTCGTTACATGTGATTACTGTATCAGTGATATAATTAACATGGGTTTTTATTTTTTTCCTAGACATGGAAAGAGGTTAAGCGCCAATAATAAAATAAGACTTCCTAATAGTAAAATCCATGTGATTACTTTTTTTTTTTTTTTTTCATCTGCTAGTAGTTACTAGCTACCGACAGATTGTGAGTGCGAAACAGACATAACACAGTAGATGAAAAATTGAAAAAGTAGTTAAAATAGTTATCTTCTTTTTGGAACCAGTTTTAACACGAAAAAGACACGAGTCATTGACCTATATAAGCTAGCCTATAATAATATATACATTTATCAAACTGTATACACAAAAGTTTGCATATTTAAATGTAATCCCGAATAGCGAATAGTATTAGAAGTTTAACAATAAATTAACACTAACTTTTTCCTGTGGATAACACAATAATTCGATTCTAACAATTATGCCTGTCTAGTGTCTATTAGTCGCCAGTTTTAAAATAGTGCAATACAGTGAAAACATTTTAAAACACATGCTTCATCTAATCTTTTTGGCAATTCTTATAGCTACTTTTTAGTGGTGCCGATATTATATATGTTTATGCTATTAGTTAATTATGAATTGTACAGATTGCCCGATTTGTTGGTGGAGCCTTGTAGGCCATCGAATGCTTTCGAACAAATAATGGCCCATATATCGACCGACGAATATTTGTACTCCCATGAATACAACAATCTAGTTTCAAGTAAAATGTGTTCAAATTATTTTAGAACTTGTATCGTAGTTTTAAAAGCTAAACCAATTGTATAATTACGTTTGTTTTTTCCAGCTGCTTGGCTGGTTAAATATGGCAATTTTTGGCAACATCTATATAGGAGCATATTTTATATTTTTGTTCACCTGTGGCTATCGTATATTAATTTTGATAGAAAGACTAACTTTGTACCATCCAAATAATGATTCGGTTATCATTTCGCCATCAAATAATCGATTTATACCTAATACTGCGAAGATAGAGACATTTTAACAATACTATTTACGATAATTCGGTAGAATATAGTAGTCTATGCATTGATGACATCGTCGGCTCTAATCAGCTTTTATAATACTTATTAACATCATTATGAACTAGGGGGTTTTACGAATTCACCATAATAATACTCCCTCCGTTTCACAAAGAGTGTCGTTTTAAGGTTTTAATTTCGTTTCACAAAGAGTGTCGTTTTGTGTTTTCAATGCAGTTTTAAAGACTAATTTCTTTTTTAACCTCACTATTTTAGCTTATTAATTAGAGAGAGGGTATTGTTTAGTGTATTAATAAGGGGTATAAATGAAATTTGTTTACTTTTCTTAATTTGTGTGAAAAAAATGTTAGAATGACACTCTTTGTAAAACAGAGAGAATATTAATTTAGGCAAACAAAAAAAGACATAATTTGTAGATTTTTACACGTTTAAAATTATTTATAGAATGTTTTCTAAGAATCATTTTATATTTTGAACACTATAAAATGATTAAAGCGCCCAAAATGAAGAAAAGGGTTACGCCACCGACAAGATTTTTACCTTCTACATATTAAATGTTAAAACTCACAAAGAAACAAATTGTTTATCCAAAGTTGGTTTGGAAAAGATACTGATCCAACGGGCACGGATTTGAATACATTGTTTAATTAATACAACCAAATTATTCTTATGCAGTGTGTACCTACTTAGAAGCTTACACAGAAAAAAAAAAGCTTCTAAACTTTAGTTTTCTTTTTTTCCATCATTATAATATTCACATGTTACATAATAAGTTTGGATGTTACAATAAATGATCCAATAATTAACAAAATAAATCTGATCCTCCAAACATAATAAAGTTTCGCATACTAAAAATAGTTTCTCCATTTTATAATATAAATCGTTTTAGCTAAAAACACGACGACTAAAAAGATCTACTTTTTTAAGTTTAGTTAATCATAAAAGAGACCGCATAATATAAATAATTATAAAATAATAAAATAATATATATCCTGCATAGAAACTCCAAAACGACTTATATTGTAAAATAAAAAAGGTTAGCTAAAACGCTTTATATTATGAAACGGAGGGAGTATTTTATTTTCCTAAAAACGAATTCTTTGATATATGGATTGGTTTTTTTTTTGGTTAAAATTGATATATGGATTGGTTGGCAACATAAAAACGAGTTCTTTGATATATGGATTGGTTGGCAAGAATAACAAGATGTGGAGTTTAATAATAGACAATAAAAACTTCAGGGGCTTTTTGGAAATTACAGCGCTGTAAAAATCAACGACATTAATCTGGACCCGATCACGAGGACCCGGATCCGTATCGCTAAACAGTTTAACTTTCGCCATCTCAAAATTTTCTGAAGAACCTTGTAAATATCTCTCAGTTTCATTCACTCACTGACTCGCTCGAAAATAAAAATCCTTTTTTTTTTTTGGAGTATTTCTTCTACCTTTCACCAACTCTTGAAGGTGGGAAACAGTCCAGCTCCACCACCACCATAGGCCATAACCATCGTCGTTTTCTACGGGACCCACTTATTTCGTGACGTTTCTCTTTGTGTATATACATACAATTGTTTCAATCTCAATTTGCTGTCCACATTTTAACACAACTCTATCTGGGGTTGTGTCTGAATCTCTTCTCTCTCATTCCTATATATCTCAATCTAATCTATCACAAACCCTGATTTCACATTGCTTTTGTCAGTCTGTAAAATTCTCTTGAATCAGTGAATCACTCACTTAATTCCAAAAGAGCTTTTTCTTTTCTTTATTTGCTTGTTGTGGAATCTATAGCTGTGTCTCCGGAGAAAGTGAGACTCTTGGAAAATTTCGTTTTTTTTTCCTTCGGGATCTCTTCTTTTCGTTTTATTTAATAATTATAAGGCGACCCAACATTTATTGTCGATTCGGTTTATTTCGTCTCATTCGTCTTCCTAGTGCATCTGTGCATGCTCTGAATCTGTGTAATGGGAGTTCAACAGTCTGGATCCATTATCCTAGCCGGGTCGGGTCAAGGTCTCTGAGCAAGAGAGACAATTCGTTTGATTCGGTGTAGAAGACATGAATACTGGTGGTCGGCTCATTGCTGGTTCTCACAACAGAAACGAATTCGTTCTGATTAACGCTGATGAGAGTGCAAGAGTAAGAAAATACTTCCTACAAAAGAAATTTCATTTTTCACTCTTTTGTATGAATTTATAACGAAAAATGTTTTTTTTTTTTTTTTCCTGTTCTGGGATCTAAATTATGAGAATCTAGATGGAATATTTGATCTGAAATTGGAAGTTTCTAGGGAGTAATGCCGCAACCCACATGTTCTGTTTTTCTTTCTTGAAGTAGTGTTGCATGATTCATACGTGTCGGCAGAGATGTCCTGCGAACCGAATTCAATGTCGTAGCAGTAGCAATAAGTTCAATGAAAGTCCTTTTTTTTTCTTGGTTTGTTTGAGCTGGTGTCTTTATTGCATTCCACCTGATTCAGATGGGATACTAATTACTAATAACTGTCTCAATTATGTAAAAATGACAACTTTATGAAATTCAGTTTCATAATTATGTAATTCATACTCTATGAATGTTGTTTTGAGTCTATATCATCTTTAGGATTTGATAAAGATGCAATTTGATGATAAAAAAGACTCATTATTTGTTCTCTTTTTCTATATAGATACGATCAGTACAAGAACTGAGTGGGCAAACATGTCAAATCTGTGGAGATGAAATCGAATTAACTGTTAACGGTGAGCTCTTTGTTGCGTGCAACGAATGCGCATTCCCGGTTTGTAGACCATGCTATGAGTATGAACGTAGAGAAGGAAATCAAGCTTGTCCTCAGTGCAAAACTCGATACAAGCGGATTAAAGGTAGTCCACGGGTTGATGGAGATGATGATGAAGAAGAAGACATTGATGATCTTGAGTATGAGTTTAATCATGGGATGGACCCTGAACATGCCGCTGAAGCCGCGCTATCTTCACGCCTTAACACTGGTCGTGGTGGATTAGATTCAGCTCCACCTGGATCTCAGATTCCTCTCTTGACTTATTGTGATGAGGTGAGGAATCCAAATTGTTTGATATCACTGAAAATGTTGTTGCTTTGATGATTCTTTTTCTTATAAGTAGTATATTTTTGTTTTTTCAGGATGCTGATATGTATTCTGATCGACATGCTCTTATCGTGCCTCCTTCAACGGGATATGGGAATCGAGTCTATCCTGCACCGTTTACAGATTCTTCTGCACCTCGTATGTGTTTACTTTTATGATTCTTACAACTTGGTTTTTAGATGATTTATTCACCTTCTAATGAGTTATGAAATGGTTTTGTTTGTTGTTAACAGCACAGGCAAGATCAATGGTTCCTCAGAAAGATATTGCGGAATATGGATATGGAAGTGTTGCTTGGAAGGACCGTATGGAAGTCTGGAAGAGACGACAAGGCGAAAAGCTTCAAGTTATTAAGCATGAAGGAGGAAACGATGGTCGGGGTGTCAATAATGACGATGAACTGGATGATCCTGACATGCCCATGTAAGTTTAATGGTTTGTTAAAATCTAACAAAATGTCAGATGAAATCATGCTCTGAAATTTTTGTCTTCAATGGTTTTGTTTTCTTATTGTTGTTTTAACATTTTTGGTGCTACCTAAATCAGGATGGATGAAGGAAGACAACCTCTCTCAAGAAAGCTACCTATTCGTTCAAGCAGAATAAATCCCTATAGAATGTTAATTCTGTGCCGGCTCGCGATTCTTGGCCTTTTCTTTCATTATAGAATTCTCCATCCAGTCAATGATGCTTATGGATTATGGTTAACGTCAGTTATATGCGAAATATGGTTCGCCGTATCTTGGATTCTTGATCAATTCCCCAAATGGTATCCTATAGAGCGTGAAACATACCTCGATAGACTCTCTCTCAGGTATCATAAACATAAAAAGACTACTTCTTGTCTGCAAATATTCATTTTTTACATTCCCAAAGATTTTTGAAACTCTCTTTCTCTTACATTAGGTACGAGAAGGAAGGAAAACCGTCAGGATTAGCTCCTGTTGATGTTTTTGTTAGTACAGTGGATCCGTTGAAAGAGCCACCGTTGATTACAGCAAACACTGTTCTTTCGATTCTAGCAGTTGATTATCCTGTGGATAAGGTTGCGTGTTATGTATCGGACGATGGTGCAGCGATGCTTACATTTGAAGCTCTCTCTGATACAGCTGAGTTTGCTAGAAAGTGGGTTCCTTTCTGTAAGAAGTTTAATATCGAGCCACGAGCTCCCGAGTGGTATTTTTCTCAGAAGATGGATTATTTGAAGAACAAAGTTCATCCTGCTTTTGTCAGGGAACGTCGTGCTATGAAGGTTTTCGTTGTTGCTTATTCTTTTTCTGCGTATATCCCATCATAAGAGTTCTGTTTTAAGAATTTGATTTACGTTTTTTGTTTGTTTGTTTGTTGCAGAGAGATTATGAGGAGTTTAAAGTGAAGATAAATGCATTGGTTGCTACAGCACAGAAAGTGCCTGAGGAAGGTTGGACTATGCAAGATGGAACTCCTTGGCCTGGAAATAACGTCCGTGACCATCCCGGAATGATTCAGGTAATGATGAGTTTGATCGAATATAGAAAAACGAAAGCGGTTTTTATCCTCTTCACTTTGTTTTTCTGGATCGGTTTTGGTTCGGTTAAACTGGAATGAACATTCTAGTTCTCAATATATCTTCAGCCAGAAGCCTTTTTAAAAGATTTTTAAAATGACAGGTGTTCTTGGGACACAGCGGAGTTCGTGATACAGATGGTAATGAGTTACCACGTCTAGTGTATGTTTCTCGTGAGAAGCGTCCTGGATTTGATCATCACAAAAAAGCTGGAGCTATGAATTCCTTGGTAAGGATAATGTGTTTCTTTATTTATTACTCTCTCTTTTCGCGTCCCTGAGTTCTCATAAACTAAAACTCATCTTACATCTCTCTCTTCTTGAAGATCCGAGTGTCTGCTGTTCTATCAAACGCTCCATACCTTCTTAATGTCGATTGTGATCACTACATCAACAACAGCAAAGCAATTAGAGAAGCTATGTGTTTCATGATGGATCCGCAATCCGGGAAGAAAGTTTGTTATGTTCAGTTTCCGCAAAGATTTGATGGGATTGATAGACATGATAGATACTCAAACCGTAACGTGGTGTTCTTTGATGTATGTGTCCTTATGTCTTTGGCTTTGTTTCTGATTATGTTTTACTGCTCTTCCTCCTTTCTCATTTGATACTTTTTTGGTGTGAAAACAGATTAACATGAAAGGTCTTGATGGGATACAAGGACCGATTTATGTCGGGACAGGTTGTGTGTTTAGAAGACAAGCTCTTTATGGTTTTGACGCACCAAAGAAGAAGAAACCACCAGGCAAAACCTGTAACTGTTGGCCTAAATGGTGTTGTTTGTGTTGTGGGTTGAGAAAGAAGAGTAAAACGAAAGCTAAAGATAAGAAAAATAACACTAAAGAGACTTCAAAGCAGATTCATGCGCTAGAGAACGTCGAAGAAGGTGTTATCGTCCCAGGTAAAAAAAGGGTAAAGAAACAAAACATTTCTTATGTGGTTTCTATCTTGTTGAAAGTCTAAATAGCTGTTTTTGATTGTTAGTGTCAAATGTTGAGAAGAGATCTGAAGCAACACAGCTGAAATTGGAGAAGAAGTTTGGACAATCTCCGGTTTTCGTTGCCTCTGCTGTTCTACAGAACGGTGGAGTTCCCCGTAACGCAAGCCCCGCATGTTTGTTAAGAGAAGCCATTCAAGTTATTAGCTGCGGGTACGAAGATAAAACCGAATGGGGAAAAGAGGTAAAAAACATTACAAAGTTTTCTACTTTTGAAAACTACAAAAGTTCTTCTGATCTCATTCTAGCTAATAATTACTCGCAGATCGGGTGGATTTATGGATCGGTGACTGAAGATATTTTGACGGGTTTCAAGATGCATTGCCATGGATGGAGATCTGTGTACTGTATGCCTAAGCGTGCAGCTTTTAAAGGATCTGCTCCAATTAACTTGTCAGATCGTCTTCATCAAGTTCTACGTTGGGCTCTTGGCTCTGTAGAGATTTTCTTGAGCAGACATTGTCCGATATGGTATGGTTATGGTGGTGGTTTAAAATGGTTGGAGAGATTCTCTTACATCAACTCTGTTGTCTATCCTTGGACTTCACTTCCATTAATCGTCTACTGCTCTCTCCCGGCGGTTTGTTTACTCACAGGAAAATTCATCGTCCCCGAGGTACTATATCGATAACCTCTGCATTTTCAGTTTGGTTTGTTCAGTTTGGAGATTTTCTAAATGTTTTGTTTTTATTTTGACAGATAAGCAACTACGCAGGTATACTCTTCATGCTCATGTTCATATCCATAGCAGTAACTGGAATTCTTGAAATGCAATGGGGAGGTGTTGGAATCGACGATTGGTGGAGAAACGAGCAATTTTGGGTTATCGGAGGGGCCTCCTCGCATTTATTTGCTCTGTTTCAAGGTTTGCTTAAAGTTCTAGCCGGAGTCAACACGAATTTCACAGTCACCTCAAAAGCAGCAGACGATGGAGCTTTCTCTGAGCTTTACATCTTCAAGTGGACAACTTTGTTGATTCCCCCGACAACACTTCTGATAATAAACATCATTGGAGTTATTGTCGGCGTTTCGGATGCAATTAGCAATGGTTATGACTCATGGGGACCTCTCTTTGGGAGACTGTTCTTCGCTCTTTGGGTCATTGTTCATTTATACCCATTCCTCAAGGGAATGCTTGGGAAGCAAGACAAAATGCCTACGATTATTGTGGTTTGGTCTATTCTTTTAGCTTCGATCTTGACGCTATTGTGGGTTAGAGTTAACCCGTTTGTGGCTAAAGGGGGACCAGTGTTGGAGATCTGTGGTCTGAATTGTGGAAACTAAGATTCTGAGTGAAGGAAGAGCAAAGGAGTTTGTGTTGGAGCTTTGGAAGCAAATGTGTCGATGATGATGATGTGTACTCTTTTGGTGGTAGTTGGGTTGGGTGCAAGTGTGTTGTAGACAAAAGATGTGCAGTTTTTACTTTTTACGAGTTTTTTTAAACCATTTTTGTTACCCCTAAATTAATTCTTTTGTTATCATGTTATACTACTAATAGAGTTGTTTTGTTTTTCTTTTTTACATATACTTTTAGTTATTCCCTAGTTATTGTATAATACTGATAAGGATCATATACACACACTTTGTTAATAATGGATTTTAGTGCTGTTTTATACTTTTTTTTTGTAAATTAAAACTTGTGTTAAACTATCATTTGTATAATTGTATTTAAATCCGTCTGTTGCGGTAATAAAACTGTTTTATAGTAAATGACTAAATGTGATATATAGAAGAAAAAAAAGGTTACCGATTTGCAAAATTCTCGTAAAAGTTAATTGTTCATATTCGATCGTATCGTAGATCATCAATTATGAAAAAATAAATGTAACGTTATGATTGAAAAAAACTTGTTACAGTAACGTAAATAAGACTTACTAAACCTAATCGAACGGCTGCAAAGCCACCGCATGTCCAACATCGGATGATGCTGCGATTAAGATGAGAACACGTGGAATGAAGCAAAAGGGCCCCAAGACGTGTTTATTCCTTATCTACACCGGAATGGCTTTGCATGGACCCCACCAAATCGTATAATTGAAGTCAAACGCATCTCGCTTCAAAAAAAATGGAAATTTAGTAAAACCCCATTAAATTAGTAACAGACATATTCACAGGAGTCGTTGGATCAAGAAAATAAAAGATCTTAAAGTCGGTCAATAATTTTGACGATTCAGGATCGTAATTAAAATACACTCGGTTTCACTGGATCAGGCATGGTTTATCAAGTTTTAATATTATTATCTTTCTCTGAAAGTTGCAAATTTTTCAGAAGACACGTTCTTCTTGCAAACCGACATTGTAGTTTTCTTTTTTTTCATGGTTTAATAGTTTTCCATTTTCCTTCTCTTATATATAAAAGACGACAAAACAAAACGATACAAACAAAAACACAACGATTTACACGTAAACGTGATCAGAGTGGTCAAAAGGGAGACAAGATAAATTCGATCGAGAGAATCAATTATTCGTAAATAATGTTCAATGAAATGGAGACGGAGATTGTTTTTTCTGGAGAATCGGAGACTGCGTTTTCGGAAACGGAGATGGAGGCGGCGGAGCAGCTAGTGCAGTTGAGCGAAGAGGATACGTTGAGCTGTAGCAGCGGCGGCACTGGCTGGAGCGTTTGCGGTTACGACGGATCAGAAGGCAATGATACGAAGAGACAAGAAGATGTTGTTAGTTCGAAGGTTAGAGATCATATTGTCGGAAAGGAGCAAAACGACGGCGTGTGTAGGAATAAGAATGTTACGAACGGACAGAGTTTTATGAAGACGATCATGGAGACGAAGACAAGGATAAATAAGAAGAAGAAGTTTCGGTCTCTCGCGAGCATCTACAGAGCGACGAAGGAGATGACGAAAGTTGAATAGTCGAAGGAATGATGGCTAATTACTTTTTAATGACGTTTGTTAAAAGCGTGTGTTTATTACTATATGTCCTCGTTTTCAATGGTTTTGTATGTCAGTATGTAATATAGAATCTATTGGCGTTGAACCGGGAGAAGGTGCTAGAAGAATTGTGAAGCTTTGCAATAACTTTAACAGAAAATTGTTTTTTTTTTTTTTGGTGAATCACCGGGAGTTTAACTCCCGGATATTATTATTAAAAAATAGAAAAAAATTACAAAATAACTTGTCTCGGCCTCGGTGGCCCAAAAACATCATCCCGTGTAAACTCATCTAAACACGGGGGTACAGAAGAAAACGAATGAAAACCTAAGGGTAGACGTAATGGTCCTGTTATAAATTAAGGTAGACGTAAATGCATTTTGAAATTACATAGATAGTTCCAACTCTTTTTTTTCCCCAACAATTGTGTTCAATGTTGATACTATAGATATCAACTTTTTCTTTCCATATAAGAACCAAAATTCATGGACCATGATAAAAGAAATATGGAGTTTGCGAAGAGGCAGATATTTCTTAAAGAAATATATTTAAAGCGGTTACATGATTAAAATCGCAATCTCAATTCTCAAAGCTTTGAGTTTGATCTTATAATGTCAACTGGTGATTTAACTCGCATGCATACAATCTTACAATCTCGTATGGATTCTCACATATTATAGTGTTCAACCTTAGTATAATAAGTTTTTTAATTTATACCTACATAATATCATGTTTAACTCATACACTAATCTTTTATGGATTCTCAGTTTCTCACACCAATTATCTAGAAGGCTAGTATAATTAATAACTAACAAGTAACAAAGAATAACAAGTCACATCTTCCTACTACAGAATATAATAAACAGAATATATCCTTTTTTTTTTTTTTTGACAGCAAACAGAATATATATCCTATAATGTCCATAAAATATTATCATATTTAGTTAATTCATAAAAAATAGTTATTAAAACCATCACTATCATATACTTACATATAAATCTGTGTTTTATGTAGCGTCCAAATTTCATAATTAATTCATTCTTAAAGATTAGAAAATAATAATATTCACATTTGATGCCCTAATTTTAATTGCTACAATTTTTGATCGAAACGTTAAAATTTATAATATGGGCCCATGCGAACATCACGGACGCTTCATGTGATGGGCCCACATTCAAGCAGGTAAACGCTCCAACCTCCAAGTTTTAAAAGTCACTTTGCTTCAAAGCCTTACGGATTCTTCTTGCGGAAGCTGGCGGGAAAATCTGAAACATTTTCGCGGGGAGAAAAAGAAATCAAAACCCCATTTATTTCATTTTCTATCATCAGACTAAGACGCCTAACAAGTGTTCGATAGAATTCCTCAGAGAGCAAAAAATGTACGTTGTGAAGCGTGACGGTAAGCAGGAAACTGTTCACTTCGACAAAATCACTGCGCGCCTAAAGAAACTTAGCTATGGGCTTAGTATCGATCACTGTGACCCTGTCCTTGTCGCTCAGAAAGTCTGTGCCGGTGTCTACAAAGGCGTCACGACGAGTCAACTCGATGAGTTAGCCGCCGAGACTGCTGCTGCTATGACGGCCAATCATCCTGATTACGCTTCCGTGAGTCTTTCCCCTTTTTATTTGCTTCTGTTTCGTATTTACGTTTTGATATCTATCGAGATTCGAAATTTCCCATGTTGATTTATTCGGAGTTGCATAAATTGTTGCTTGATCTGTTTGATGTTGCGATCCTTGATTGTTCTGGATAATAATTTAACATGTTTCAATGTTTATATTACTCAGCTTGCGGCTAGGATTGCTGTATCCAATCTGCATAAGAACACTAAGAAATCATTTTCTGAAACGTGAGTCTTCTCTTGATCTATAAACATTTGTCTCGATGTATCAGTGACTATGGATTCATGTGTGTTGACTTTGATGGAATCTTCAGGGTTAGAGACATGTACAGTCATGTCAATGAGAGATCTGGACTCGCTTCTCCTCTAATTGCTGCTGATGTATACGAGATAATTATGAAGGTAAAATAGCGAAATTGTGTTATAATCCTTCAACCTTGTGATGGAAATTTAACATTTTGAAAATCTCTCATCTCTTGTTAAATTGGTGCTTCCTTTGGTTAATTTCAGCATGCTACTCGTCTGGACAGTGAAATCATCTATGATCGCGATTTTGAATATGATTACTTTGGATTTAAAACGCTTGAGAGATCATACCTCTTAAAAGTGCAAGGCAAAGTGGTTGAAAGGCCTCAACACATGCTGATGAGGGTTTCTGTTGGCATCCACAAGGAAGATATCGATTCCGCTATCAAAACTTACCATTTAATGTCTCAGCGATGGTTCACTCATGCATCTCCTACTCTCTTCAACTCAGGAACCCCAAGGGCTCAAGTAATGTATTTATAATGATGTTAAACCAGACGCATACTTGAATCTGCAATTCTTTTACTGATATGCTGTTGTAAATGTTTTTAATATGCAGTTAAGCAGCTGCTTTCTGATCTGCATGAAGGATGATAGCATCGAGGGGATATATGACACATTGAAAGAGTGTGCTGTTATAAGCAAATCGGCTGGGGGCATTGGTGTTTCAATTCACAACATCCGTGCAACTGGAAGTTACATTCGTGGTACCAATGGAGCATCTAATGGCATTGTTCCAATGCTGCGGGTATTCAATGATACTGCTCGTTATGTTGACCAAGGAGGAGGCAAGAGAAAAGGTATACATTTCAGGATACTTTGCTATTATTGTCATGATTGTCTGTGAAGTCATTATAGTTTAGATTGTCTTATGTATATTTTTCGCAATTGGTGAAGGTGCCTTTGCCGTATACCTGGAGCCCTGGCATGCTGACATTTTTGACTTTCTGGAACTCCGTAAGAATCATGGAAAGGTACAGTTGCACCAAGAAAATATTACTACTCATTATAATTCATGAGATGGCTCACAACAAACTTTTTTCTCCATTTCAGGAGGAACACAGGGCTAGAGACTTGTTTTATGGTCTTTGGATACCCGATCTTTTCATGGAGAGGGTCCAGACTGATGGACAGTGGTCACTGTTTTGTCCTAATGAAGCTCCAGGTTTGGCTGATTGTTGGGGTGCAGAGTTTGAGAGATTGTACACTCAGTACGAGAATCAGGTGAATGATCCATGTTTTGGAAATACTTCCTTTCGATTTCCTGTTATCTTAATACCAGTCATATGAAGCATCTCTGTTTGTATCTTAAGGGGAAGGCCAAGAAGGTTGTCCAGGCACAGCAGCTTTGGTATGAAATCTTGACATCCCAAGTAGAAACAGGGACACCATACATGCTTTTCAAGGTAAGAAATAGTTGTAATTTTGTGGCCATCCTGTACAAACATAGGTTCTGTGGTTCCCACTTTTGATTTTTGAATTTCTTCTGTAGGATTCATGTAACAGTAAAAGCAATCAACAAAATCTGGGTACCATAAAGTCTTCCAACTTATGCACCGAAATCCTTGAATACACAAGTCCAACAGAAACGGCTGTGTGTAATCTTGCATCTATTGCCTTACCCCGGTTTGTAAGGGAGAATGTGAGTCGAAAAAGTGTTCTCAGATTTGATTTTGTTTGGTCACTTTTTAGTGCATAACTCTTGACATTTCTTACATTTCACAACAGGACATCCCCTTGGACTCACATCCGTCTAAGATTGTAGGCAGTTTGGACTCAAAGAATCGTTACTTTGATTTCGACAAGTTAGCAGAGGTCATGACTTAATTACTTGGTTCATTTTGCTAGCTTTCAATGTCTGCAATTTGATATTGACTTCTTCTTCTTACCTTTTTTCGTCAGGTGACTGCCACAGTGACTGTTAATCTTAACAAGATTATAGATGTGAATCATTATCCAGTGGAGACTGCAAAAACCTCAAACATGCGACATAGGCCTATCGGTATTGGTGTACAAGGTCTTGCAGATGCATTTATCCTTCTCGGAATGCCATTTGATTCCCCTGAGGTAAACTTACTCAGCATAAGTTGATCAACTTTTTATAGTAGTTTGATCTATTTCCTGAAAAAGTTATTTGGAATGAATCCCAGTCTCAACAACTGAACAAAGACATATTTGAAACCATATACTACCATGCACTCAAGTCATCTTCAGAGATTGCTACTAAGGAGGGTACATATGAAACTTACCAAGGAAGTCCTGTGAGTAAGGTATGCATCACAACCCTATATTTGTACTATGTTGTCATAAATTCTTGTTCCTAATTGCTTGGTTTGTGGATCTACTTTCAGGGAATTCTTCAACCTGATATGTGGAACGTAATTCCATCTGACCGCTGGGACTGGGCTGCTCTCAGGGATATGATTTCAAAGAATGGAATCAGAAATTCTCTTTTGGTGGCACCAATGCCTACTGCTTCAACCAGCCAGATTCTTGGGAACAATGAATGTTTTGAACCTTATACCTCAAACATTTACAGTCGTAGAGTTTTAAGGTATGTTCTTCAAGCAAATAAAATAGCTCCAGGCAGTTATGTTTCTGGCTTAATCGTTGGTCTTCTGTTTTCAGTGGTGAATTCGTAGTAGTGAACAAGCATCTTCTTCATGACCTGACTGATATGGGACTCTGGTCTCCTACACTGAAAAACAAGATAATACATGAGAATGGTTCTATCGTGAATGTCAAGGAGATACCTGACGACTTGAAAGCGATTTACAGGTATAGAACTTCCTTATTTTTTATGCCATCATTAATCTGTGTTCATAAAATATAACCTGTGTGCCCTTTTGCAAAATGACTCAGGACTGTCTGGGAGATTAAGCAGAGAACAGTGGTTGACATGGCCGCTGATCGTGGATGCTTTATAGATCAAAGCCAAAGTTTAAATATACACATGGAAAAGCCAAACTTTGCAAAACTCACTTCTTTACACTTCTACGCTTGGAAAAAGGTAAAAATTTATCTTAACTCTTAAAATGGTCAGTATGATTACACTTGTAAGTAGGAAAGTTTTATTTTATTATTTGCCTCGCTTGTATAACCTGATCTATTCATGAAACCCACGTCCTCATATTTAGTACAATTGTTATTGTTGTGAATACTAACAGGGTCTGAAAACGGGAATGTACTACCTGCGATCACGTTCTGCAGCCGATGCGATAAAGTTCACAG